TGAACTACCTGGACGACTGGCTAGTGTGTGCTCAATTAAGAGAGCAAGCCACAGCAGACACAATGATAATCTTGAAACACATTCAAGACCTGGACCTCACCCTAAACAGGGAGATGAGCAACCTGACTCCCTCACAGACGGGGATGTTGATCGACTCAACTCTTATGAGAGCACATCTCCCTCAGGTGAGATTGGGGAAGATACAGGCCTACCTCGACTGTTTCCGGCTTGGACGAGTCATGTCCTTATTAGAGTGCCAGAAGTTACTCGGCCTACTCACGTCGGCTTCTCTGTTGATTCCGCTGGGCCTTCTTCACCTCAGGCCACTCCAGCGATGGTTCAACTCTCACCATCTACACCTGAGATGACACACAACGGTGACGAATGAATGTTGAAATAGCACTCTCACACCTTCCTGTTGGAGGGAGTAACACTGAATAAGAGTCCACCACAGGGAGCTAGTGTGCACAGATCAGACAACACCACGGTAGTGGAGTATATCAATCACCAGGTGGGACTGAGATCACGGCACCTACACGAAATGGCTCGGGAGCTCTTGCTGTGGGCTCAAACCCTCTTAGCGTCACTGTGGGCAGTGCATATTCCCGGGGTCCTGAACTGGGTAGCGGACATGCTTTCGAGAGAGGGCCCGCCGGAGGGGGACTGCAGTTGTGGGAAAGGTTCGGGAGAGCGCAGGTGGACCTGTTTGCATCTCAGGAGAACACTCATTGCCCCAGCTGGTTCTCAATGTCGGACCCTCCAGGCCCTCTGGGTCTGGACGCCCTCGCTCACGATTGGCCGGCAAAGACACTTTATGCATTCCCAAAATTTTCTGATCACAGCTACGCCAGGACAGGGTCAGCTTGATGGGCCACCGGCTTCTACCGATAGCCCCATACTGGCCGAGTCGGCCATGGTTCAGCCTCCTGTTTTCCCTCCTCTCTGGGACCCCATGGCCCTACCTGCTCTCTCAGGTTCGGGGGACACTGTGGCATCCAGATCTGCACCGCCTCCAGCTTTGGGCTTGGCCCCTGAGAGGCGTAAATGGGTCTAGGCATTCAGGACAATGTGGTGAACACGTTGCAGAATCCCAGGGCTTCCTCCACCAACGCGTCATATCAAATACGGTGGGGCATATTCTGTACTTGGTGTCGGGGTCATAATGTTGCCTCAAAGTTGCTAGCTTTTGCTACAGCCTATATCAATGAGTTTTAGCATCTAGCTAACAACTGCTGCATCCAAAATAGTTATTTTGCAAAGATCACAACCAAATATAATCTTAGCAACTGTTCAAGCGAGAATCAAAACATCATTGTAAGCATAAGAGAATCCAAAAAAGTTATTTTGATTAGAAGTAATAAAAGCCTAGATTTAAGTTATGGTGAATGGGCGCAGATGGCGATGGCTTTCTTACTGCCGCCAACAGTAGCGCGCATCTGTGTGTGACGTTAGTGTGGCATGTACTGGAAAAGGGTCTATATAAACTTGGCAAAAAAAGAAACGTCCCTTTTTCAGTACCCTGTCTTTCAAAGATAATTCGTAAAAATCCAAATAACTTCACAGATTTTCATTGTAAAGGGTTTAAACACTGTTTCCCATGCTTGTTCAATGAACCATACACAATTAATGAACATGCACCTGTGGAACGGTTGTTAAGACACTAACAGCTTACAGACGGTAGGCAATTAAAGTCACAGTTATGAAAACTTAGGACACTAAAGAGGCCTTTCTACTGACTCTGAAAAACACCAAAAGAAAGATGCCCAGGGTCATCACCTGCTCATCTGCGTGAACGTGCCTTAGGCATGCTGCAAGGAGGCATGAGGACTGCAGATGTGGCCAGGGCAATAAATTGCAATGTCCGTACCGTGAGACACCTAAGACAGCACTACAGGGAGACAGGACAGACAGCTGATTGTCCTCGCAGTGGCAGACCACGTGTAACAACACCTGCACAGGATCGGTACATCCGAACATCACACCTGCAGGACAGGCACAGGATGGCAACAACAACTGCCCGAGTTACACCAGGAACGCACAATCCCTCCATCAGTGCTCAGACTGTCCGCAATAGGCTGAGAGAGGCTGGACTGAGGGCTTGTAGGCCTGTTGTAAGGCAGGTCCTCACCAGACATCAACGGCAACAACGTCGCCTATGGGCACAAACCCACTGTCGCTGGACCAGACAGGACTGGCAAAAAGTGCTCTTCACTGACGAGTCGCGGTTTTGTCTCACCAGGGGTGATGGTCGGATTCGCGTTTATCGTTGAAGGAATGAGCGTTACACCGAGGCCTGTATTCTGAAGCGGGATCGATTTGGAGGTGGAGGGTCCGTCATGGTCTGGGGCGGTGTGTCACAGCATCATCGGACTGAGCTTGTTGTCATTGCAGGAAATCTCAACGATGTGCGTTACAGGGAAGACATCCTCCTCCCTCATGTGGTACCCTTCCTGCAGGCTCATCCTGACATGACCCTCCAGCATGACAATGCCACCTGCCATACTGCTCGTTCTGTGCGTGATTTCCTGCAAGACAGGAATGTAAGTATTCTGCCATGGCCAGCGAAGAGGCCGGATCTCAATCCCATTGAGCACATCTGGGACCTGTTGGATCGGTGGGTGAGGGCTAGGGCCATTCCCCCCAGAAATGTCCAGGAACTTGTAGGTGCCTTGGTGGAAGAGTGGGGTAACATCTCAAAGCAAGAACGGGCAAATCTGGTGCAGTCCATGAGGAGGAGATGCACTGCAGTACTTAATGCAGCTGGTGGCCACACTAGATACTGACTGTTACTTTTGACCCCCCCCCCCCCCCCCCTTTTGTTCAGGGAAACATTATTCCATTTCTGTTAGTCACATGTCTGTGGAACTTGTTCAGTTTATGTCTCAGTTGTTGAATCTTGTTATGTTCATACAAATATTTTACACATGTTAAGTTTGCTGAAAATAAACGCAGTTGACAGTGACAGGACGTTAATTTTTTTGCTGAGTTTAGATGACATTGATTTTAGCATTGGTAAATGCGAATGACGCTCAAATTGGCGTAGTCTCGTAGTGAGGAGCCTATAAAACGTTGCTAGCTTCATATACATATTTTTGGGAATTCTGAAATGTATTGGAATAAATGACCAAACTTTAAAACAAGTTAGCCAGCTATGGGTAACTGTAGCTAGCTAGGTTAGCTTGCTAGGCACATTCATAGCTTTCGGTTGGTTGTTTTTAAACTTAAAGACTTCCACCAAGGATGTTGCTTCTCCGATCATCACTCTCCCTCGGGTAAGGGACATTTGAGGTAAACTCGGATGTGACGATGTCAAACGTCATTCAAGAGCTGAGAGCTGAGGGCTCTACTTTGCGTTTGGACTGTAACGGATGTAAAGTAGGGTCAAGTGCTTTCAAGACAACTGGGAACTTGGAGAAGAAAAAAAACATAAACATCACTGACGTTATCTCGGAAAATCGGAGCTCTAGAAAGATAACGGAGGTACCGACTAACCATTTCAAGTTGGATGACCATTCAAAACGAGTTCCCAGTTGTTTTGAACGCAACATAAACTACAACATACGATTATGAAAACAAGAGTTTATGCGTTTTTAGACGTTAAAGGTTTTTAAAAAGTAGAATTTGTATTAATTTTTTTAAGAACTGATTTTCTAAATCGTTTGACAACCCATGTTTACATTTACATTTTAGTCATTTAGCAGACGCTCTTATCCAGAGCTACTTACAGTTAGTGAGTGCATACATTTTTTTTCCTAATTTATTTTCATACTGGTCCCCCGTGGGAAACGAACCCACAACCCTGGCGTTGCAAACGCCATGCTCTACCAACTGAGCTACACGGGACTGTATGCTTTTTACTGATAGCAAACTCAACCGTTTAGCTATACCGTAGTTTCCAGTGATGAAGTAGACATATTGTCTCATGGCATGGTGGGGTATGCAAAATAAGTCAACTTTGAGAACCTTTAGCTATCTCCTGAATGTTTTGGCACGTAGGTCCAAAAAGTCACCTTCTGACCACTTCTTCCATGTGAATGGGATGATGTCAAAAAGCAATTGAATTCAAATGGATTTACCCTATGGCTTGACAGTTGGCTAGCTACTAAAGCCCATAGCTAGATAGCTAACGTTAACTCCCTAAAGATCTGTCTGGGAAGATCACGTATTTAACCGTACATATGAAATCGAAAAAAGTCCAACGTCCGAGGTAATTTGTTATTTTGACACAAACTAACGGTAACGCGCTAACGTTAGCTAGCTAGCTTTTATCATTCTATCTACTGTAACGACTTACCCATCAGCGGACGTTAAAAGCAGTCATCTTGACAGTATAATGAATGTTAACGTTATCTGACTATATTTTCTTTGATGTAGCTAGCTAGCCAGCTACAGTAACGTTGATATCATGAGGGACGTGGTTGTTACCATAGCCACAAAGTCATAATTATGACTAAACCCCTTCTGTTTCTACAATTTCTCTTCTTAAAATCTGAATTTGAACCTAAGCCTAACCGTAAAATTTAGACAAAAAACAATTTTGGTTTTCATTCATTTTTACGATAGCGAATATACTTTGTGGCTGTGGTAACTAGTGACAACCAAGGGAAATCGTACTAATCTGAAGAAATAACCAATGAGAGGCGAGGTGATTCATCATTGCTTCCGGTATGTGACCGTGACCTATCCTTCAAATTAAAAGACCACCCAGAGCTTCTTATTATACCTCAGTGACCCAGAGTGGATGGTCAGTGGATGTACTTGCTTTCATATAATTACATATAATATAATCTCTGTGTTCTATTTGGCCCACCAGAGCAGATGTCATAAATAAAATTCATGCAAATAGGTTCCTATAACAACTGCTCTGGTACAGATACTACATGGCATGCCTTTAGCCTTGGAAACCCAGGCTATTTTGACTCCACACCCAAACCGACCATATTATTCAAATGTATTCAAAGAGTATATAAAGAATATAAAGAGGCCATACAATAACCAACCACTTCAATACATATTTAATAGTCAAATATAAGACAACATACACTAAATCAAAAAACGGTCCCTTTCCTCATTATCATAACAATGGCACTTGCAGTGAACTGGTGTGTTCACTTCATTCCTTTTAAATGTCTAGATATGGTGGCTATGGGTGCCTGATGCATTTAACAACATTTATTGCAATGGCTGCTTGAGATCAAAGATCCCGGTCCCTCCTTTTACAACCTTACCCACCACTAAGCAAGCTGAGGGAGAGACCAACTTATCATGGGTGCCTGTTGAGAGAGCAAAGACCAGACACATTGTTAAACCAACAACTGATGCAGGGCAGACCAAGCATTGCTCTATTTGTTTTATGATGTAATATTTATGTATTACTTGTTGTATCATGTCTACTGTTGTATTATGTGTACAGCCTACAGATGTAATAATAATAATAATAATAATAATAATAATAATATGCCATTTAGCAGACGCTTTTATCCAAAGCGACTTACAGTCATGTGTGCATACATTTTTACGTATGGGTGGTCCCGGGGATCGAACCCACTACCCTGGCATTACAAGCGCCATGCTCTACTAATTGAGCTACAGAGGACGATGTGTTGTGTAATGCTGCCTACCCAGCATAGTGGCCTGCTTCAGGAACTTGTAGCTTGTCTCGAAGGTCATCTGTTGCAGTGGAGAGGGGTTGGACTGGATGGCGAAGCGGTTGAGAGGTTTGTACACGCCCTCAAAACACATGTAGTCTGCCACCAAGGATAAGTGCCTGGGGTCCACCTCAATACCTGCACAGGAGAGGAGAGCAGAGCAACTCTTAGAGAGGAGATCACACAGCTCTCCAGAGCCTGTTGATGGGAAATGAGTAGATCCCTAAAGAAGTTGTGAGCCTGTTTGTACCGTAGACAGCGAAGACATCTTTGATTTCCTTCTCAATGACTCTCAGGGCCACCTCAATGCCGTACGTGTTTGCCATGGCGTGGACCTCATTGGAGTACAGCCGATTCAAGTCAAGAATCTGAGATCAAAACAGTATAGCATAGAATGTATAAGCAAAGATACCCACATGAAGAAATTATGTTTTTACTGTACAAGTACAAGTTGGTGGATTATCACTCACTTCACTGTGGTTAAACAGCTCGTGCATGTTGATGCCCTCAGTTTTGAGCTCCAGCTCCTTGGAGCCATCTTTCTTAGTGACCTCACCGAGCAGACATCTGGTGATGCCCTTAGTCTCCATCACCACTGCATTCTGGGCCAAGGCCACCACCAGCGACGTCAGGTCAAAGTGCACCTTGCTGACAGGCAGGACGAGCGTAACCTGACAGCAAACAGAGAAATGCAAAACTCCACTCAGTCCACATTCAAAACATTTATATTCAAGTAAAATACTTGGTTTCGCAAGGAACAATGTGGACCATTGGCTGAAATAAGTATTTTAGTATCTTAAACCCAGAAAGTAATATTCCAAAATCAGACAGAAGGGCACAGACTGGGGGTAAATACCTCACACCAGAGACCCTGCTGGCTGTCGTAGGAGTAGTCCTCGATGCTGGAGCTAGTCTCCAGCACAGTGTTGACCCTCATGCTGTCCTGTGTGGGTGTGCTTTTCGGCTTTGGCCTCTTCTTTGCCCCAGCACCACCAGGCTCTGCAGTGCCCAGGTCACCGGGAACCTCTTCAGAGTTCTCCTCTGCCTGCTCCTCGCTTTCCTCCACCAGGTCCTCAACCTCCTCAGCCTCCTCTCCCTCCTCACTCTCATAATCCACTTCCTCCTCCTGATTCCCTCTCCTTTTCGCATCCGAGGCGTCAGCGTCTCCCTCATTCCCCACGTCGTCCACAATCCTGCTCTCCTCCTCCCCATCCCCTTCTCCACTCTCCTACAACAAAGAAAATAATTACACAAATGAAATGGGGATAAAAGTTGCATAATTCTACATTTAAGAAACAATAGTCACTTTGGTAATGATTAAGTCCAGCCTGTAAATCCAAATGTAAAGCAATGGCTGAAAGGAACAGATGAATAGGGAAAAGTCCATGCTTGTTTAACACACACCTGTCTAGCTGAAGAGTCCCCTACATCCTGGTCATTATCTCTAACTGTAGCCTTGCGTGTTTCCACAGCGTTGATAGAGCCAAGCTTGGTATTGCGCTTCTTAATGGCCTCCAGTAGTAGGCGGAAGAACCTGGAAAAGACAAAGGTAGCAAAGAATGCCTTACATTGGTTCAGACCAACAACACAGAAGTACATTTGTGGGACTAGTAACCGTGATCTGATTCACACACACAGGTTGTGCTGGCAGAAGAATGTGTGGGACCAGTGCTGGTTATAATAGCTCACCTGTTCTCCATGTAGTGGAGGATTTGTTGGGGAGTCAGCATCTTGTCTTCCTGGTAGCGCTCTGGGGAAAGAAAGCGAAAGGTGATCTTGAAGATGCGCTCCTTCTGTCGTTTGGCCTCCAATCTGAGTGTCTCCAGGACATCCACTTTGTGCAACACCTTTGAACAACAATGGACAGAACAATGACTCACTCACAATTAATTGAAAAACAAGGATGGAGTGATAACCATAGAAAAATGTATTATATTTCTGTGGTAATAATGATTTAATTACTTTGGAATGTAATGGTTCATAAACAGTGCCAATGTAATCACCTCTGCTAGACACACGCGAGTGAGCTTCTTCCTCAGTGTCTTCACCCGCTTGATGGCTTTTTTAGTGTTCAACACAGGAATACTCATCATCGGAGTCTTGATGCTGGAACTTGCAATCATCAATATTTCTCTAAGCCTGTGGGTGACGGAGACAATATTCAGTCACTAACGGCCAGAGTTTGGACATTTTATTCTGGCAAAGAGTCATTGCACCGTTATATTCCAGGGGAGACCATACTGTACCTTGGGATACCAAGGGTAACGTTCATCTCCCCCCTGCCGGCAAAGTGGAAGGTGTTGAGGGTCATCTGGGTGGAGGGCTCTCCGATGCTCTGAGCAGCCAGCAGACCCACCGCCTCCCCTGGGTCACACAGGGCTCGCTGCCACTTCAGCTGCAGCAGATGCTTCAGTCTGCAGAGACAGAGTGGAGACCATGACATAACCTAAGCACTCAGTAGAAAACACAGTAGCTACAATGGCTTCTAAAATGATGTACAACAGCCCAATCTTAGTTTCTACATCCAAAGTTTGTCATTTTTGGAAGACTTATTTAGGTAAATACTGTATGCAATATAGACGATATGGATTGAAATCTCACCTTTGTGCATCAAGGTCCTTCGAGCTTCCCTCGGGTAACTGCTTGACTTGGATGTCCTTTAGGTAGGACTCCACAATGCTGTCAAACGTCTCTGACACTGACCCAAATGAGATGTCAGGCCTGAACAGGCTCAGGCAGGGCTCAGGACAGTGTGAAGTCTTCTTCAGGTACTTAGATCTGCTGTCCTGGTCTAGAGAACTCCATCTATCCACCAGCTAAGAAACATGGGAAAATAACATATTAGAAAGTTTAACAGAACGGAAACAACCACAGAGTTTGATATGTCACATTGAAAAAGTAGAATAAATAATACACCCCAAACTCAAAATAAATTGGTATATAGTTGTGGAGGGATACTTCATCTAATAAAAGTGCGGTGTTGCAGCAGAGGTACAATACATTACCTTCAGGGTGGCAGTGTCCCTGCCGTTGGCCAGGTTCTCTAGAGCCTGGCGCTCTGCATTCTTGAGTTTCTTCTGGGAGAAGAGCAGGAAGGCCCCCTCCCTGGGAGAAAGATGCTCCCTCTTGGCTTTCCACCTCCTGATGGCTTTGAAATGGTTGGTGGCAGCCTGCGGGTCCAGTTTGGCCAGGACCTCATCCAAGCACTTGGACTTTCTGATGACCTGCGAGTAAGGGGAAATTCTAAATGGGTGCTGCAAAAAGTAATCCTTGCAATGTTTGCCATGCACGGTCTTGAAATGAAGACCTGCTTTCAGTCTCAATAAACACTTTAGAAAACCGGATCAGTTGACTTGAGCAGCTTGTGAGAGGGCAGCGCCAGTTCCTACCTCATAGTTGTCCTGTATGAAGGGGAACTGTCTTTGCTGGAGGAACTGTGTCTTGGGGACATCAAGGCCATCCTCCCCATAGAGAAACTGGACCACGCTGCCGTCACTGTCCCTCACAGTCAGGTCATACTGAACCACCAGGCCCTCCAGGTGTTTGATCACACATCTGGAACCACAATGAGTCAGTTTAGAAAGGGGGAAATTACAATATTGTGTGAATCCCACAATCCCATAGGGCTGTGGTCAAAAGCTGTTTACTATATAGTGCAGTGGTACCCAAACTTTTTATAGTCCCGTACCCTTCAAACATTCAACCTCCAGCTGCGTAACCCCTCTAGCACCAGGGTCAGCGCACTCTCAAATGTTGTTTTTTGCCATCATTGTAAGCCTGCCACACACACACACACTATACGATAAATGTATTAAACATAAGAATGAGTGTGAGTTTGTGTCACAACCCGGCTCATGGGAAGAGACAAAAGAGATCTTATAGGACCAGGTCACAAATACAAATATAATCATAATAATAATAAAAATAATAAAGATTTTGCTCTTTATTTAGCCATCTTACATATAAAACCTTATTTGTTCATCGAAAATGGTGAATAACTCACCACAGGTTAATGAGAAGGGTGTGCTTGAAAGGGTGCACATAACTCTGCAATGTTGGGTCGTATTGGAGGGAGTCTCAGTCTTAAATCATTTTCCACACAGTCTGTGCCTGTATTTAGCCTTCATGCTAGTGAGGGCCGAGAATCCACTCTCACATAGGTACGTGGTTGCAAAGGGCATCAGTGTCTTAACAGCGTGATTTGCCAAGGCAGGATACTCTGAGTGCAGCCCTATCCAGAAATCTGGCAGTGGCTTCTGATTAAATAAAATGTTCACAGAACCGCTTGTTGCAATTTCGATGAGGCTCTCTTGTTCAGATATCGGTAAGTGGACTGAAAGCAGGGCATGAAAGGGATAACGAATCCAGTTGTTTGTGTCGTCCGTTTCGGGAAAGTAGCTGCGTAATTGCGCACCCAGCTCACTCATGTGCTTCGCTATATCACATTGGACATTGTCACAAAAAAATCATACAATGATGTAAAGTAGTCCCGTGTAGCTCAGTTGGTAGAGCATGGCGTTTGCAACGCCAGGGTTGTGGGTTCGATTCCCACGGGGGGCCAGTATGAAAATGTATGCACTCACTAACTGTAAGTCGCTCTGGATAAGAGCGTCTGCTAAATGACTAAAATGTAAAATGAAAGACCTGTGTGTTGTCCTTGTAAATGCAAAAAAAGAGAAGAGCTCCAACTTCTTAATCATAGCCTCAATTTTGTACCGCACATTGAATATAGTTGCGGAGTCCCTGTAATCCTAAATACCGATCATTCAGGCGAGAAAAAAGATCACCCAGATAGGCCATTCGTGTAAGAAAACTCGTCATCTTGCAAGCGGTCAGACAAATGAAAATTATGGTCAGTAAAGAAAACTTTAATGTGTCAATACTTTGCCCCTTGATAACCAGCGCACTTCTGTATGTTGTAAAATCATTACATGGTCGCTGCTCATATCATTGCATAATGCAGAAAATACACGAGAGTTCAGGGGCCTTGCTTTAACAAAGTTAACCATTTTCACTGTAGTGTCCAAATCCTCTTTCAAGCTGTCAGGCATTCCCTTGGCAGCAAGTGCCTCTCGGTGGATGCTGCAGTGTACCCAAGTGGCGTCGGGAGCAACTGCTTGCAGTCGCGTTACCACTCCACTACATCTCCCTGTCATGGCTTTTGCGCCATCAGTACAGATACTAACACATCTTGACCACCAAAGTCCATTTGATGTCACAAAGCTGTCCAGTACTTTAAAAATATCCTCTCCTGTTGTCCTGGTTTCCAGTGGTTTATAAAGAGGATGTCTTCCTTAATTGACCCCCCATAAACGTTACGGACATATACCAGGAGCTGTGCCAGGCCCGCCACGTCTGTTGACTCTTCCAGCTTGTGGGGATCTATTTTCTTATAACTAGATGTGATGCCTAGCTTAATAAGAAAGCATTAATGATAAAACATAATAGGTTTGTACTGTACTGATATAGATTGTTTAATATAACAAGCTGTGATTAATGTGGGGAACTGTTAGGGGGTAGGCTGAGATAGGCTTGTGACTCACTCACAAACACTGCCTCTTTGTTAAACCGCTCAAGGACAAAGTACTGCAACATGAAGAAGGAAACTATGTCTGAGGTTGCTGACTTGGTAAAGATAACAACTAATGCCTGGCAACAGTGTAGCGCCAAGGGGCTGGGACCAGCCTGTGCGCCTACGATAGGCTGGGTAAGTCTAAACCACGCCCAGCCTCTACTCTGATAGTTCCTGCTTGGAGCAGGAACTATCTCTGTCAGAGTATTAAAATAATAACTTTGGGTTGGGACAGTTAGTTCTCTGACTGCCCTGCGTGGTGTTTCAGTGGACCCGTATATACGAACATCATATTTACCATTGAAGTGTTTTGCATTAATTAAAATACTAGTCTATTTTAGAAGACGTGTATTGACCTCTTTTTGTTCCAATACCAGATTTGAATTGACGCAACTTAACAATTGGTGACCACCGACGTGATCTGGTAGAGGGACTTCGCTGGGTATTGTCCGGCCCATTGGACATCTCTGTCATTGGACGGTATGTTTCACAAAGAGTCCGGACTACTAAAAACAGGTAAGCAGACACCTATTGTTATATAACTAAAGTTCTGCACATTGGCTTTATCCAAATTAATTTTGTGAAACACCCGTTTGATGTAAGTGAACTAAATTATGAATTATTATACTAATTATTATGAGTAGATAAGCACCATATTGTGACATGCAAACCTGTGGTGAATGTGATGTTAAACCATGGTACCATAGAGTATTGTTCTACCGGCAAGGTCCGTAACGGCTAGGTTCGAAGAATTACACCGGCAAGGTCCGTAACTACGAGGGTACGGCTAGGTTCGGGAAATTTTAGATAAATACTAGCGACTGGCAAGGTCCGTAACTACGAGGGTACGGCTAGGTTCAGCTGAGTATTTTTTTGATAGGGAGGAGGATAGTAGGTGAGGTTGAATTTGACAATATAAAAGGTAAAAATAATGAATAACTAGTATGACTAAACTGAAATGTTTGAACTGATATAACTGAACTGTAACGTTTGATGTTTGACATAGCATAATACTGGTTTTAAATAATTAAGTTGAAGCAATTTGGTTTATTATTTAATTTAACGTTTGATGTTTGACCCTGCAAAATACTGGTTAAATAATTAGACTGAAATAATTTGGTTTATCGTTGAAATATAAATATGCACCGACTTTAACTAATTAGGTGGGAATAATTTGATTTAAATAAATAGACTAACGTACTTTAAATAATGGACGAATATTACGTTAAAACGAAAAACAGACAAAACCTGTTGGGAGTGGAAAGAGGAGGGAGAACCGCGTAGGGGTAAATTTAAAGAAGCAGTGAGAGAGAGAGAGAGAGTAGGAGGGGGCCAGTACCCACTGATAGCCTTACCTAATCTATTGGCGGGGAATGAAAGAGGCCCCAGCAGCCTTAGAATGAGGTGAGAGCTAGTGCAGTTTTAATTTGGTGACGTCACTTGCTCTATGAACTGGAAGTATTTACTTTGAAAGCATCGCGGAATGTGTGGGGTGACTGGCAATGTATGTAGAGGGTCCCTGGTTCGAACCCAGGTAGGGACAGTGAGTAAAGCTTTCTCATTGGGGCTATAGACCTAGATTACTACGTGGATTGAGAAATGTGAAAGGTTGAATTACCGTATTGGTCCGAATATAAGACGGCCTTTTTTCCCCTCGAAATAGGTCCAAAAAAGTCGGGTCGTCTTATATTCGGGGTCTAGTATTCAGAGCGCAGTTTCTCTTCTTCGGCGCTCCCTTTAAATGTCAATACACATTCGCGGGCACAGATGGCGCCAAAAATTCGTTCCGGACGGAGGGAAGAGGCGTCCTTAACAACCAGCCCGTTACCGGTGTTTAAAGATGGAAAGACAGGCTGACCATTTAGAGACAAGTGGCTCAAAAGTGGGCCAGGTCAATAAACAACAGCGGAGGAGCTATGATGCCAATTTCAAAATAATGGTTGTCAATAAGGCAGAGTCATCTAACAACTGCCAAGCTGCCAAGACATTCGGGGTCACTGAGTGTAATGTAAGAAGATGGCGAGCAGAAAAACAACGTCTAAAAGATGCTAACAGTCAGCGAAAATCCTTCCGTGGTCCTCAAAGTGGTCGTTTCATTGAGGTTGACCGGAGGGTTTTTGAATATGTCAGGGAAAAAAGAAGTGAGGGAATGCCCATTACCAGAGCTGTCATCCAGGTTAAGGCCCTGGAAATCGCCAGAGAGCTCAACATCACTGGATTTAAAGCCAGCCTCGGCTGGTGTCGTAGGATGATGCGGCGTAATGGACTGTCACTTAGACGGAGAACGAGTTTGGCCCAACGCCTGCCGTCAGACTTCGGAGAGAAGCTGCTTTCGTTTCAGCGCTTTGTTATCAACCTGAGGAAGAAGCACTCCTACCCGCTGGATCAGATCGGCAATGCTGATCAGACACCCGTTTATTTCGACATGCCAACATCGGTGACTGTCAATAGAAAGGGAGAAAAGTCTGTGTTGGTGAAATCAACGGGCAACGAGAAGAGCCGCGTCACTGTCATGTTGACATGTCTCGCTGGTGGCAGCAAACTCCCCCCGTATGTCATTCTTAAGCGTAAGACTGTGCCAAAGGACCCAATGCCAGCTGGCATTATTGTGCGCGCCCAGGAGAAGGGCTGGATGGAGTCGGGGCTTGTAGTGGACTGGCTAAAGGTTGTGTGGGGCGCACGCTACGGGGGACTGAGGAAGAGGAGGAACATGCTCGTTCTGGATGCGTTCCGCGGACATCTGACTGAGCCCGTGAAAAGTCAGGTGCGAGCAATGAACGGGGATCTTGTGATCATACCAGGGGGAATGACAAGCCAGCTACAGGTGTTGGACGTAGTTGTGAACAAGCCTTTCAAGGATAACCTGCGAAAAAAATACACAGAGTGGCTCCTGTCTGGCAACCACGCACTCACACCGACCGGGAAAATACAGAAGCCGTCAGTCCGTCTACTGTGTGAATGGATCCTGCATGCATGGGATGCTATTCCCTCACAGAGCATCATCGATGGCTTTAAAAAATGTTGCATCTCAAATGCATTGGACGGCAGCGAGGACGACGTGCTTTGGGAGGAGCCGGTGGAAGCGGAGCAGCTGGGGAGCGATGACAGCGAGAGCGAACACAGCGGGGCAGAGGACGTGTGTGAGGGATAGAGAGACATCGGAGGAGAAGTTTGGCGAATTTTTGTTAAGTTTAGTTAAATGTGTGGCCTGTATTTTCTCTGTTATTTAAAAATGTTGCTTTATTATTGCTTGATATTAATTTTGAATCATACTGTACATAGTTTGCCTTTGTGTTTAATTCACTGTGTTTTTAATATTGTTATTTTAAAATAAAATGAAGTTCTTTGTTCGGCAAATCTAGTCTGCAAATCTGTTTTTCTAAATGTTTGTGTTGAAAAACGGGGGGTCGTCTTATAATCAGGGTCGTCTTATATTCGGACCAATACGGTAGATAGCTTAAGTAGAAGTATTCTAGAAAGGTCTATGAAAATATGTTACAAGGTCCCCGCGCCTCCCCCGTTGTGTAGGAAGGAGCAAGGGGAGGGGTGAGAGATAGTTCAAATGATAGGAATATCATTAAATGTATGCTTATCAACGATAGCAAGTATTTGTTTTATTAATTAGGGCCTAATCAGAGAGAACAGTAAAAGAAATTGAATAGCGAACTGAAATGGCGATAGAGCTGTGAAAATTGAGTTGAGGACAAAGGAGAATAATTTATGGCTCTGGTTAGCGGGAAAAAAAAAAATAGAGACAGTCCAGCTAGTTAGATTGAGCTGTAAGATTTCAAGTAGAGGTCTAAATACTTGACTGGAAGGCAGTGCTTTGATAAATTCTAATTGTTATTACTTTATTCGATAGGTTGCTTAACACCAGTGGTGTATGCAAATAGTTGGTGAATTCTAGAACGATAATTTATTTTCGTTACGGGGACCAGGGGATGCAAGTAGCTTTAGCTATTATGCTGAGGGAATAGCACCAACCTATAGTGGGTTCTAGATTTGTTAAATAAACAAACTTATATTTTAAACTAAAGTAATGCAATAGGCTACAATTATAACTATCAGAAAAAGGCACAATTTAATGTGAAATAGTTATTACAATTATTATTAATAGTTATTACAGTTATTATCATTGATCCAGTAATGATAGAAGGATAGTAGAGGAAAGGCAAGGGATTAAATCTAATTTAGGGAAAGGAGAAGAGTATGAAGATATATTAGGGAGAAAATACCATTAACTGAGGGATATAAAACATTTAGCTGAAAAAGACAACAGGAATAATATAGACATTAGACCACACCAGAAGTAGAGCTGGCAGGATCACCAGTAGCAATCATGAAGGTTCCCAGAAAATAGTGAAGATATTGGTAATATCTCTAACAAATGAGAAAAAGGACCAGAAAGATAGTAACTAAATGGCCAAAGGAGGGAACATTTGATGTAACCGTGATTGTATTGGCTAAAAATGAAATATGGCATTTACAGGGGGGACATATTTTCCTAGGGGGTTGATCAAATAATTGATAATGGATCATTTGAGATGAGAACACATGTAGCAGATTTAGGGTAATCAATTAAATAATAATTGTATACTCGAGGAATTTTGAGTGGTTTTATGGATTAGTTATGAGGAATTAGATTGATACAAACAATTATTGATGGGTTAGGACTGGGGATATCTGTATCATGTTTTGTGTGTACTACCATCTTTAGATTACTGATGGTAATTGAAGGTTAACAAAATGTATAACCAGGAGAAAGAGATTAGCTTATCTCATTGGAATGTTGCCCAGGGCTAGGGGGAGCAGTAGTGAAGTTAGGCAGTATTTAGGTCGTAAAAGTGAGCTACCAAATTAAGTGGGGCCTTGCTATTTGTGGTTGTTGTTTTTCAAAATTGGGTTTTTCAAATAAAAAAACAACACACCTAGTATGATGGTTATAAAGGGTTGTTATGTTAAATTTAGGGGGTTTGTGTTAGGTTTGAAAGATTTAAATATGGACCTGTCATGACCAACCATCAGTCTTCAGGTCAAGCCCGGGAGAGCCGGGGTAGAACAGAGTTTGAACTAAACATGAGTGTTTTTACAAGATAAGGGATTGATTGATTGGATTACTATTGGTTCTGAACTGAATGAAAGTCAAATTTAGCCACCATAAAAGACAAAGGAAGTGGGAGGAGCAATAAAGAAGCAAGGGAAAGTCTCAAAAAATAAAAAAAAGTAAGGGATGGCAATTGGATGATAAATTACCAATATTACCTAAGTGATTGTTTAGGTAGGTGGTAATATTGGCACATGGGCAAAACATGTGTCAAAAGGGGGATGCTGTAAAGCAAGCTGTAAAGCATAGAATTCACTGGCTTGTATGCAAAGCAGTAATTGTTTCAAAACATCTCCTGCCATGTCACTGATGCGTCGTGAAACAGTGTTGTTTGATGAAGGCATTGTCTGTATAGTTTTTTGGGCCTTTCCCCCAGCCATATCCGCGGCAGCAGGAATAATTAAGTCCTCCACAATAGTATGGGGCTTGCCCATCCTAGCCGCACGGTAGCTCACCATTTAAGACGCTTCTAGCCCCTTCTTATTAATGGTATATGTTGCTTTTATACATATCTTACTATTCGAAAGTCGTCTTAATTCATGCTCAAAAAACTGTCTGCACAAGAGTGAAGGTTTCATCGAGTTGTGAGATGGTACTTTTGCACATATAACACACTGGCTGAGGAAAGGCACTTCTCCCAATATAAGTGAACCCCAAATCAATGTAGTTATCATATTTGCGCCTCTTCGATGGTCCAACGTCCCTGTCTGTTGTTCGGTGCTTTCCCAGGTAAGGGGGCAGTAGCTCTTCGGCTGCATCAGATTCACAACTGTCAGTGTCCATGCTAGCTGGGCTAGCAACACATGTAGAATTACTGATGCTAGCACTGGATGTGCTTGTGGAAGCAGAACTTGTGTTGTCAACAGGTGCAGGTGTAGTATTGCTGGTAGGAGCAGTACTACCTGTAGAGCTGGTATGTCTCTCTATGGACGCGGGCCGTACTTTTTTTTAACCATTTTCAATTTTCAAGCAAACGGAATGAGGAGCAGCTACGTTTGGCTACATACGGACAGTTAGTGGAATTCCCGCGAGAGAGTAACGGTTAATGTGATTGGATGTTAATTATTTGACTAGGCTACCTGTATTTGACATTGTGTTATTTCACTGAACACTAGATGGTTTAATTTTATATTTGGCAGTGAAACGAGGCTACTCAGGCGAGAGAAAAACATCACCCAAATGTATAACCCCGTTGGAAAATCTAAATGGACTGTTTTTTATTTGACGTACCCCTGACAGCATTGCACATACCCCTGGGGTATAGCCGATATAGGGAATAGGGTGCCATTTGAGACGTAACCATTCACACTTCTGTAAAAACGTTCAGACTTCTGTAATGCCAGCTCACCTCTGAAGGTACCCCGATCGACTGGTCTTGACAGCTGTGTCTACCAGACCCTCCCGGCCAGCCATGCAATGGAAGAAAAACTCCTGCAACAATGAATCATTAAACATTCAGAGACCTTCAATTATGAAGTGGAACAATCAAGCACACAACTTGGGGCAGAGATAAGTCACATACTGGGGGCTTGATTCCTGTGAGGAACCTGCCAGACACAAAGCCTCCAGAGCGAGGCGAACTTTCGTACGGCTGGAAGCAGGGCAGAGATTTCCCAGAAGGCATCAGGGGAGGACGTCGGCCCTCCAGCTCAATCTGACCCAGCAGACATGAGATCTAAAAAAAATTAAAACAAACTTACTCATCATGTTCTGATTGTTACACATGATAGAGACTAAATTGAAGGCCAAAAAGATCATCAAGGACATCAACCACCCGAGCCACTGCCTGTTCACCCCGCTATCATCCAGAAGGCGAGGTCAGTACAGGTGCATCAAAACTGGGACTGAGAGAATGAAAAACAGCTTCTATCTCAAGGCCATCAGACTGTTAAATAGCCATCACTAGCACATTAGAGGCTGCTGCTGCCTATTGAAATCACTGGTCACTTTAAGAAATGGAACACTAGTCACTTTAATAATGTTTACATATCTTGCATTACTCATCTTATATGTATATACTGTATTCTATACTATTCTACTGTATCTTAGTCCATGCCGCTCTGTCATTGCTTGTCCATATATGTATATATTCTTAATTCCATTCCTTAGATTTGTGTGTATTAGGTATATGTTGTGAAATTGTTAGATATTACTTGTTAGATATTACTGCACTGTCGGAGCTAGAAGCACAAGCATTTCGCTACACCCGCAATAACATCTGCTAAACACGTGTATTTGACAAATAAAGTTTGATTTGATTGTACATCTTGTGTGTCTTTATGGTTTGATGGTCTGCTTGGTTCCTTAAAGGAGTACCTGCATAGTATTGACAGTGGAGCCTTTAGCCCCAGACTGCACCATCAGCTGGAGGTTGTTCTCAGGGAAGCTGCAGTGGAGACCCAGGGGCATGACCACCTGGCAGGAGAGAATAACATCAGTCAAAACCGTACAGCAGTTAACAGTGTTTTCTCCTAATCAACTTTCCCATTTGTATTTATTATAGATCCCCATTAGCTGCTGCCAAGGCACTTCCTGGGGTCTAGCAAAATTAAGGCAGTTCATACCATTTAAAAAACATTACAATACATTCACAGATTTCACAATCCACTGTGTGCCCTCAGGCCCCTACTCCACCACTACCACATATCTACAGTACAAAATCCATGTGTACGTGTGCATGCATGTGTCTGTGCCTATGTTCACAGTCACGCTGTTCCATAAAGGTGTTTTTTAAAATCTAATTTTACTACTTGCATCAGATACTTGATGTGGAATAGAGTTCCATGTAGTAATGGCTCTATGTAGTACTGTGCCTCCCACAGTCTGTTCTGGACTTGGGGACTGTGAAGAGACCTCTGGTGGCATGTCTTGTGGGGTATGCATGGGTGACCGAGCTGTGCGCCAGTAGTTCAAACAGCCAGCTCGGTGCATTCAACATGTCAATACCTCTCATAAATAAATTACAAGTAGTGACGAAGTCAATCTCTCCTCCACTTTGAGCCAGGAGAGATTGACATGCATATTATTAATATTAGGTCTCTGTGTACATCCAAGGGTCAGCCGTGCTGCCCTGTTCTGAGCCAATTGCAATGTTCCTAAGTCCTTTTTTGTGGCACCTGACCACACGACTGAACAGTAATCCAGGTGTGACAAAACTAGGGCCTGTAGGACCTGCTTTGTTGATAGTGCTGTTAAGAAGGTAGAGCAGCGCTTTATTATGGACATACTTCTCCCCAGCTTAGCTACTGTTGTATCAATATGTTTTGAACATGACAGTTTACAATCCAGGGTTACTCCAAGCAGTTTAGTCACCTCAACTTGCTCAATTTCCACATTATTTATTACAAGATTTAGTTGAAGTTTAGAGTATGATTTGTCCCAAATACAATGCTTTTAGTTTTAGAAATATTTAGGACTACCTTATTCCTTGCCACCTACTCAAACTAACTGCAACTCTTTGTTAAGTGTTGCAGTCATTTCAGTCGCTGTAGTAGCTGACATGTATAGTGTTGAGTCATCCACATACATAGACACTCTGTCATTAGTAAAGATATCCACATCATTTTCCTTCCTCATGATACCATCTATTTTGTGAAGTGCACCAGTCCCTCCTGCAGCAAAGCACCTCCACAGCATGATGCTGCCACCCCCGTGCTTCACGGTTGGGATGGTGTTCTTCGGCTTGCAAGCTACCCCCTTTTCCTCCAAATATTACGATGGTCATTATGGCCAAACAGTTCTATTTTTGTTTCATCAGACCAGAGGACATTTCTCAAAAAAGTACGATCTTTGTCCCCATGTGCAGTTGCAAACCGTAGTCTGGCTTTTTTATGGCGGTTTTGGAGCAGTGGCTTCTTCTTTGCTGAGCGGCCTTTCAGGTTATGTCGATATAGGACTCATTTTATTGTGGATATAGATACTTTTGTACCCGTTTCCTCCAGCATCTTCCCAAGGTCCTTTGCTGTTGTTCTGGGATTGATTTGCAGCAAAGTACGTTCATCTCTAGGAGACAGAACGCGTCTCCTTCCTGAGCGGTATGACGGCTGCGTGGTCCCATGGTGTTTATACTTGCGTACTAATGTTTGTACAGATGAACGTGGTACCTTCAGGCGTTTGGAAATTGCTCCCAAGGATGAACCAGATTTGTGGAGGTCTACAATTTTTTTTCTGAGGTCTTGGCTGATTTCTTTTGATTTTCCCATGATGTCAAGCAAAGAGGCACTGAGTTTGAAGGTAGGCCTTGAAATACATCCACAGGTACACCTCCAATTGACTCAAATTATGTCAATTAGCCTATCAGAAGCTTCTAAAGCCATGACATCATTTTCTGGAATTCTCCAAGCTGTTTAAAGGCACAGTCAACTTAGTGTATGTAAACTTCTGACCCACTGGAATTGTGATGCAGTGAATTATAAGTGAAATAATCTGTCTGTAAACAATTGTTGGAAAAATTACTTGTGTCATGCACAAAGTTGATGTCCTAACCGACTTGCCAAAACTATAGTTTGTTAACAAGACATTTGTAGTGGTTGAAAAACAAGTTTTAATGACTCCAAACTAAGTGTATGTAAACTTCCGACTTCAACTGTATATGCAGAAGCTTTTATCCAAAGCGACTTATAGTCACGCGTGCATACATTTTTTATGTATGGGTGGCCCTGGGAATCAAACCCACTATCCTGGTATTGGAAGAGCCATGCTCTACCAACTGTGCTACATAGGACCACTAGGGTTAGGGTTAGGGATGACAACCATCTGATGGTAACCTCTTCACAAAACTGAAGGATGAGCAAATCAAACAACGCAAACTCCATGTAGCTCACCTTGTTGATGTCGTTGTTGACCTGGTTGGCCACCTCCTTAAACTTGAGGTCCACCATGTTGAAGTCTCTCTGGTCTGGGTTGAGGTGGGCGTCCTGCCAGCGGCTCCTAGCCTCGCTCTCCTCCACTGTGTCAGGCAGGTTAAAGGCTGCCTGCAAGGCCTGGGGTACACCATAGAAAACAACCGTTACCGCCACACTAATGCATGTCATTCAATTTGTTTATTTGTTCCTGGAACATGTGGATCGACTGATTGATACTGGCATCTTTACCTTAGTCCCACACGTGACAGACTCTTTTATGATCTGCTTTCTCTGTCTGTTGGCTCCTTGTTTCACCAAGATATCCTCCACACCTGAAATACATTCAATTAATAACCCTTTGATTTTGAGATAGAGCCTTGTGATGGATCCCTGAGTCTGTTCAGATAGATCTAGAACACCAGTTAGTATGTCCCAAAAGGCACCCAATGTACTACTTTTGTCAAACCTAGTGGACTATATAGGGAATAAGGTTCCAGTTGGGATGAAGCCCATGCCTTACCCATAGTGAAGCCCCGGTACAGCTGGAGGTAGGCAGTGAAGAGGCGAGCCAGGCAGCTGAGGAGTTTGCCACTGGTCTCTCCTCCATACAGCTCGTAGCAGCAGTGGACCAGGCCGTATGCTGAGCTGCCATAGTGGGCCTTGTCCAACACCCCCACCAGCAACTCTCCCTGACGGAATATCACCTGCAGGACCAGACACAGTTACTGTCAAAGACAAATGTTGACGAGGTGTGTTTTGAACAAAGTAAAAAATATAGGATTAACACACTGCAAATACAAACTATGACACTAATAATCAAATAAATCAAATCAAGGTGGGTACATGTGCAACATTCTGACATTGATAAGTTGAGTAGTATTGCTAGTGAACAGTCTGACCTGGGAGTCACACATGGTTTCAGGCTTGTAGCCTGGAACACGGCGTGGAGGCTCCTTGATCCAGGCCTTACTGGGGATCTTGGCCTTCCCTGTCAGGTTCAGAGGGATGTGGTTTCCTGGGATGACGTTCAGCAGTAGTGTGGACACCACCTGAATGACAAAGAACACCTGTGTTATTACCTGTACAATACTGCATTATGTATTATGACCTACTAAACCTCTCAACCCAGGGGTAGGTCCTTCTGCACCTGTTTCCCAGTCCAGAGAGGGAATGGTTTGAGTATGGCGGGGGGCAGCAGCTTGACCCTGCCGACCTTGTCGGTCAGACCTCGGTAGACCAGCTCAGTGTACTGGTCGCGGGAGAAGAAGCAGCCACGGATGGTCATCCTGGTGCCTGACACCATGTGGTCCTGGATCAGACCCGCCAGAGGCTTCCCATCCTGGGGGACAGAGACAAGGCAGTGAGGCTGTACAGCAACAGTAGGTGTTGAGGGTGAGCAAACAAGAGCTTATCTATCAAACATTATACAACATCATTCAATTCCCTCTCAAGAATTAGGAATTTGTATGTTTGCAAACACAAGAGAGACATTTTCTAAGGCTGAGCAATGAACATTCACCTTGGGCACGAGGTACTGCTGGTCAGTGCTGACGAGTGTGTAGGCCTCAGCCCTGCCTAGTTCACTCTGAGGGAAATGGGCATTCATCTCATCCCCATCAAAGTCAGCGTTGTAGGCCTTACAGTTAGCGTAGTGAAGCCTCAACACTTTCTCCCCTGGCAGGATGCGGGCGCAGTGAGCCTGGATGGACGGCCGATGCAGTGTTGGTTGCCGATTGAGGAGCAGGACGTCACCATTCTTGATGTGACGATTCACCTATGGAGAATATGAACATTGCTCAATAGATGGCAAATATAATGGAAAGATGAGATGCAAGGAGACTAGTTATATCATCTTTAATTAAGTGTCATTTTAGAGGGAAAGTATATGAGATTACAATATAAATTAATTAAGGAATCAAGGAATATAGGCCTTACTATCTTCATGGGCATCATGTGCTGCCCAGGGCATGGTGTGAGGAGCTGCTTGGCAATGGCCTCTCTCTGGGTGAGATTAGTACTGCTCAGGATGGTGCGGGAGCCGTCCTCGTTAATGACCATGGAGGCCCCAGGGTGAACATTGGGCCCGTTCAGAACTGCCTGCCGCAGCTCCTTAACATTCCAAGGCGTCACAGGTTGGGGGTAAGTCAGCTTGGTGGCAAACACCTGTAGCAAAACAGATGGGAGTTTATCATGTGAGCTCACACAATGCTACAACTATCAATGGACATGCAGTATGCAGGCAAAGGCAATGACTCTTACCATGGGTATTCCAATCTCATTGGTCCCAATGTACATGTCAGGACAAATAACAGAGCGTGCTGCATAGTCCACACGTTTACCCATCATGTGCTTCCTGAACAAACCGTCCTTCTTCTCTAAGATCTGAGAGAGAAAACAGGGACAGCATGAACAACAACGTGTATGGGTTGGAAGATGAAGGTATACTGACATGTTTCACTCCCTTTGGCTAAAAGGCTGCACATATGGAACAGGTGGCGAGAGATTTCCATGAGAAAACAGACCTGACGAATGCCGGGGTACTTCTCCGTCATCAGTTTGTCCATGTCACTGTCAAAGACGATGTTGACGTGACTCTGGAGCCGAATCCAGGTATTGTAGAGTTTATCTGTGAGTGTGGCACCAGGGATCCCTGCCAGGAAGGCCTGGTCTGTCTGAGCGGGGTCTGCTTCCTGTACCTTTACATTTAGAGTACAGAGGAATGGCAACATTTAACACACAATTGGTTAACTTTATTTAATGCAAAAGACCCAGATATATATTTATAGGAATGTGGAGCCGTGTTTGTGTGTCTTGACTTTGCTTTTCCCCTAATTTTCTGTATGTCCCCCCCCCCCATTTCTTAAGACTTAGTGGGCTAAAAGAGAATCAAAACAAAGATACAGTATGAGATATATACATGGAAAATCAAATGTGTCACCTTTGACCTTTTCATTCCCTCAAAACAATGTTTAAAGAGCAAATGCAACCCCACGCCATTGGTTCACATACCTCCTCCAGCTCCAACTCCTTTTCCTTCAGCTTCTCTCCTGCTAGAAGTGCTAGGAGCTTCTGGATGACTCCACTGTCCTTCATCACTGCCTGCATGTTAACAGTCTGGCCGTTAGTGAACATCTGGTCTCCCATACGGTTAATGGGCCGGTACCTGGGGAAAACAAGAGGGTTACGCTCATCAGTTACTGGAAAGCTTCACAACTAAGAGGTTTTTGTGATGCAATTCCAGACACTATCAATAACCAACAGAAGCAAATAACTACATTCAAAACAAACCCACAAATTGTAAGGCTGTTCTCTGAGATTTTCCTCACCTGCATGGAGGGACCACCATAAGCTCCAGGAAGAAAAGGTCAGGATAAAAGTCATTGGGTGAGCTCTCCAACTCCTCCATTCCAGCGAACAAGCACTTCAGGAAGAAACCTTCTTTATCCCATAGTTTGGCGATGTGATCCCGTGCCGTGCTGGGGGTCAGGTATCCACGTTTTCCAGCCATCCCATCCTCTGAAAGGAGAGGAGACCACGGGCACTTATTCAACTTTCCAATTCAGGACTGCAGAAATGTCAACTTTTCAACACGTTTTAGTCCTCTACCATATTACCAATCTTGGACATGCATGAAGCAGAAGATTGAATGGCATGCATTACCTTCATCGGGTCCCTTGACGGCACCATCTTTATACATAGCCGCAGGCAAGGTGACAATCAGTTTGCTGTTGTGCTCTCTGCGCACTTGTGATCGGCCACTCCTATTTGGGGAACAGTAAAAATCAGTGTGAAGCTTCACACAGGGGACAGAATTGTTATGAAATAAATGGTAATTGACCACAATGGTCCATACTTACTTGCAGTGTGGGCATTTCCTGGATCTCATTTGGACCCTCCAGAAGTCTGTTACAAGCTTGTTCTTCTTCTCACAGATATGCTTGATCTGAGAACACAAAACATTCCATTTTATCACATTGGCCTGAGTTGTGATGTTCAGTTTCTATGACACATTCACAATCAGCTCTTACTGGTGAGCTGTGATCGCTGCCTGTCTTCAGTTTGTTGACATTAACCCAGTACTCCTCCAACACCACCTGGATCTCAACCCCAGAAGCTTGGGCATTGCCTTCCAGGAACTGCAATAGACAAATGGTCAAAACCAGTTGTGTGAGTGATTAAAACTCAGAACTTTTATTTTAATTTTATGAATCAAACACTATGAAATCAAAAGACTTGCATACATTACCAGAAATAGCAGTGTGATTTCAGAGACATCATTATTATTGAATATTCCCACTCCTGTCTGTGTGATGCTCACCTGGTTCAGCACATGCTCCAGCTCATAGACCTCCTGTAGAGCTCCCACGTTCAGCAGCTTCAGCTGGTTCAGCAGGAGATGGATCGCTGCTCTGGGGCAGGCCAGCATGTGGCAGTTCAGACATGATCCTCGGATCAGCAGGTACAGTTTCTAGTGCCAGAGTAGAAGTCAGAGAGAATATTACTTTAAAAGAAGGTTTACCCCACTGTAACTTGTAGCCTATCAACTGTGTTTCGGATCGAGTCATGGTTTATCTGGAAACAGGCCATGTACTTGTAATGACTACTGGGATAGGAATTGGATAGGTGTGTTCTGTGTTCTTCACTTACATCAAAGAAGAGTGGGTTGTATACGGGTAAGGGTAGCTCGATGTGCCCAAGGTGCCCAGGGCAGTTGTTGAAGTCTTGCATACAGGTGGAGCACACCTCTTTGGAATCAGCTGGGCCCAATGACAGGTCATAGAGGCCATTGGGGGCAACATTACCAACATTATCCAGGAATCTGAAGTTAGTAATGTTCTTGACACTCAACTTTCTGTGGAAAAATGGGAACATGACATGACAATGTTACAATGAATGAATGCAATATTTTAGTAGTTAACTAGTAGTATAATATCCATAGTAGCAGTACCACAAACTGACAGTCCAAGAACAGTGAACACTAACCAGTTAACTATAGCTAGCTAATATAACACACTCAAACGCGAAAGGCATGCAGGGGCATGTTATTATGGCTTCAGAGCATATGCACTCATTACAACTTGTATTCTTACCTTATTTCTTCGGCAGAGTACATGCCAAATGTCATTCCCTCCAGCCGCCTCCATGGTACTTCTTTCCCAAAAAGCATACTTTAGAAAATCCAAGTAAATTGTTTATATTATTGTATGAGTTCCTTACATGTACTGTATAAAATCCACATGCGCTACGAAGTTAGAATTCTCCAACACGTGGGACCTTCATCTTCATGGACCGTACCATTAGGAGTTAGGAATGAAAAGAAAGCACGTATTCCCATTCAACCTGAACATTTGAAGACATCACCGGTTAATTGATATGAGTAATTACGAAATAAGTAATGTATCATTCACCATAACCAAAGCTACCTAATCAATCACATAATACTATCCGTTACTGCAGCTCCCCCCTATGAACACGGATATCGTAATTCTTTCCCATGAGCCCCCGGGGTTGTTCCCAAAATGGCGGCCCCCGGTAAACATGTAGGGTATTACATTTACAAGAATGGTCGCTTTTTTCTAAGTAATTTTGAACAATTCTGGCTTCGGAGGTAAGTTTTACTTTACGCTGGCATTGCAGTGGCACCTGTTAATGTATGGTTGAGTTGTGTGTTTTTGCTCCGGTGACTGACAAGGCAGATCATCATAATTTGCGTTGTCAGTGACAGGAGGTCACATAAGTAACTGCTAGCTTGTTGTCAGTACACAACCGAACTATTTTAATGAACCTAATTACAAACATGTTTATATTATTAATTTATGCATCATTCATTTCAGGAACTTTGGATGGAGTGCAGCAGTTTGTCAACAAAATGCATCAACTGAAAGAGGTAACTTTAAATCAACGAATGGCACCAAGTAGAATAATCTCCAAGAGCCAGACCAGGATACTGTATTTCATAGATGTTGTTAACTGTGGCGTCCCTCTTTTTCTAACTCTTATTACAGAGTCTGCAGAGGCAATTGTCATTCCCAAAAAGAAAACATGGTATGTTGTATCTATTTGAAATCACTCAAGACTGAGTTACCTATTGTTTGATATTGTGATGAATAATAACCATTCTTGCTCTGACAGGAGCAAAGGGGCTGTGCTGCAGGCTCTTGCATCCACCGTCAACAGGGTAAGAAGTATGCATTGCATTTCCATGTATATGTTGACAGAAGTAGTAGTAGGCCATGATAGCCTAAACAATGCACAATCATCATTTTCAGGACCCCACTGCACCACATTACATGTTCCAGGATGATCCTTATCTTACTCCAAGGACATCTGCAGAGTTTGTAAGTAATGGACAGGAGTTTTCTGGAACAGTGCTGCTTCTTTTTAGCCAGTTTGCACTGACGTTTTGTCTTCTTTTCTTGTCCTCTACAGAAATTATACTCCCTCTCCCAGGAGTCTGGCAGAATGGCAGCTAACCACATTGTCAACAAAAACCCAAAGTTCTTCCAGAAAGACTTTGCTGAACCACATATTCCAGTAAGTTTGATTCTAGTGTGTTGTTTTGAATGAGGAAAGCTGCACAATGATAGATGGGTAATATAGGCTGATGTGTGTCTGTCCTACAGTGCTTAATGCCAGAAACCATGGAGCTGCGTATTGAGGAGGTGAGTGAGGCAGCGCTACTGGAGCGCATCATGCTGAAGAAGGTGAAGGCTGCAGTAGACATGTACGATCAGCTGCTACAGGCAGGTAAGTCACCCACATTTCTATTAACTGTAATATATTATTTCTATTAGATTGTTAAATAGCCATCACTAGCACATTAGAGGCTGCTGCTGCCTATTGAAATCACTGGTCACTTTAAGAAATTGAACACTAGTCACTTTAATAATGTTTACATATTTACATTTACATTTACATTTTAGTCATTTAGCAGACGCTCTTATCCAGAGCGACTTACAGGAGCAATTAGGGTTAAGTGCCTTGCTCAAGGGCACATTTACGTCATTTAGCAGACGCTCTTATCCAGAGTGACTCACAAATTGGTGCATTCACCCTATAGCCAGTGGGATAACCACTTTACAAATTTTTTGGGGGGGGGGGTAGAAGGATTACTTTATCCTATCCCAGGTATTCCTTAAAGAGGTGGGGTTTCAAATGTCTCCGGAAGGTGGTGAGTGACTCCGCTGTCCTGGCGTCGTGAGGGAGCTTGTTCCACCATTGGGGTGCCAGAGCAGCGAACAGTTTTGACTGGGCTGAGCGGGAACTATGCTTCCGCAGAGGAAGGGGAGCCAGCAGGCCAGAGGTGGATGAACGCAATGCCCTCGTTTGGGTGTAGGGACTGATCAGAGCCCGAAGGTACAGAGGTGCCGTTCCCCTCACTGCTCCATAGGCAAGCACCATGGTCTTGTAACGGATGCGAGCTTCAACTGGAAGCCAGTGGAGTGTGCGGAGGAGGGGGGTGACGTGAGAGAACTTGGGAAGGTTGAACACCAGACGGGCTGCGGCGTTCTGGATGAGTTGTAGGGGTTTAATGGCACAGGCAGGGAGGCCAGCCAACAGCGAGTTGCAGTAATCCAGACGGGAGATGACAAGTGCCTGGATTAGGACCTGTGCCGCTTCCTGTGTAAGGCAGGGTCGTACTCTCCGAATGTTGTAGAGCATGAACCTGCAGGAGCGGGTCACCGCCTTGATGTTAGCGGAGAACGACAGGGTGTTGTCCAGGGTCACGCCAAGGCTCTTCGCACTCTGGGAAGAGGACAAAACGGAGTTGTCAACCGTGATGGCGAGATCATGGAACGGGCAGTCCTTCCCCGGGAGGAAGAGCAGCTCCGTCTTGCCAGGGTTCAGCTTGAGGTGGTGATCCGTCATCCATACTGATATGTCTGCCAGACATGCAGAGATGTGATTCGCCACCTGGTTATCAGAAGGGGGAAAGGAGAAGATTAGTTGTGTATTGTCAGCGTAGCAATGATAGGAGAGGCCATGTGAGGATATGACAGAGCCAAGTGACTTGGTGTATAGCGAGAATAGGAGAGGGCCTAGAACAGAGCCCTGGGGGACACCAGTGGTGAGAGCACGTGGTGCGGAGACAGCTTCTCGCCACGCCACTTGGTAGGAGCGACCGGTCAGGTAGGACGCAATCCAGGAGTGAGCCGCGCCGGAGATGCCCAGCTCGGAGAGGGTGGAGAGGAGGATCTGATGGTTCACAGTATCAAAGGCAGCAGACAGGTCTAGAAGGACAAGAGCAGAGGAGAGAGAGTTAGCTTTAGCAGTGCGGAGAGCCTCCGTGACACAGAGAAGAGCAGTCTCAGTTGAATGACCAGTCCTGAAACCTGACTGGTTTGGATCAAGAAGGTCATTCTGAGAGAGATAGCAAGAGAGTTGGCTAAAGACGGCACGCTCAATAGTTTTGGAGAGAAAAGAAAGAAGGGATACTGGTCTGTAGTTGTTGACATCAGTGTTGGTTTTTTGAGAAGGGGAGCAACTCTCGCTCTCTTGAAGACGGAAGGGACATGGCCAGCGGTCAAGGATGAGTTGATCAGCGAGGTGAGGTAGGGGAGAAGGTCACCGGAGATGGTCTGGAGAAGAGAGGAGGGGATGGGGTCAAGTGGGCAGGTTGTTGGGTGGCCTGCAGTCACAAGTCGCAGGATTACATATCTTGCATTACTCATCTCATATGTATATACTGTATTCTATTCTATAATATTCTACTGCATCTTAGTCCATGACGCTCTGTCATTGCTCGTCCTTATATGTATATATTCTTAATTCATTCCTTACTTAGATTTGTGTGTATTGGGTATATGTTGTGAAATTGTTAGATATGACTTGTTAGATATTACTGCACTGTTGGAGCTAGAAGCACAAGCATTTCGCTACACCCGCAATAGCATCTGCTAAACATGTGTATGTGACAAATACAATTTGATTTGACATTGGGGGTGTATTATGGGGGGGTTCAATAACAGACTGTGATTAGAAATGTTTGTGTGGTAAGTGTCTTCCTGTTCTCGCTGTACAGGCACCACCGTGTCTACTGATGCCTCTAATGACCTGCTGGACCTTATTTGTCTCTATGGAGACCGTGACCCTATGCAAGATGACAAGCCAGAGACAGAAGATGTGGTAGGATATTATTTATGCTGCCTCTACTTGTTTAAACTTTATAGCTAGTCCTTCTATCACAGCTTAGTGTTATTGTTTACCTCTGGACCTCTGTTGGTTTTCCCTCAGGCTCAGGAGGCGCAGGAGGAGGGCCGGAGGAGGAAAGGGAGGCTGCGGAGAGCCTCCGACTTAGTGAGGATAGTTTGGAGGTGAGTTGTTTGAGTGGCGTTAAGTTTAGAGAGAAAGCGCTGTAAGTAATGCCTTTATTGCCATGCACTATCCTATGAACTTATCATCTCCTCATGCAGGGAGAACAACAATGCAGAGAGGATCTTTAACCTGCTTCCAGAGCGTGACACACGAGCATACTCTGCTTTGATCAGAGGCATGGTCAAGGTACGTCAGATGATGTTGGTTGAATTTGAATTGAACAATGTTCTGTACAGTCGGTTTGTTTCTAAGTTGTTTCTGATTTAAATGTGTGTGTGTGTGTGTTAAATCCCCAGTATGGTGCTCATGTGAAGGCATTCAACGCATACACTGACATGCTGAACAACAGACTGATTGGTGAGTTTATCTACAAAGACAACATGCCATACAATAATACAATACAACTTATTGTCCATGTTACAGCGAACAACAGAATTTGTCTTCTGCTCTCATTACTCAACTCCCCCAGAGAGAGCGAGAGAGAGCGCGCACACACACACAGACACACACACTCTCGCTCTGTCTGCCATGATGGCATTTACAATTCTGATTACTGATGATAATAGTTGCCGTGTGAATTGGAACATTTCTTGTCGTTACATCCTCCAGCGGATGTCCACACCTTCAATGCTCTGATCTCTGCTGCACCAGAGGTCCGGGAGAAGTACAATGAGAAATGGGACCTGGTTGTTGTAAGTCTATAGGAAGCAACTTCTACTGTAGAACCTTTTCCTGTTGTCTAAGGACTGCCCTGCATGCCCTGTCTGTCTGCCCTGTCTGTCTGCCTGCCTGTCTGCCCTGCCTGTCTGCTCTGTCTGTCTGTTGTTTTTTTGCCCTGCCCTTACATATTTTTCTCTGTGTTTCTTTCTTCTCCTTCCTGGGTTCTTAGGACTTGCTAAAGCAGATGAATGAGCAGAAGGTGAAGCCCAATCTGCTGACGTTTAATGCTGTGCTGAAGGCCCTGCGTCGCTGTGGCTCCTTAGCCAGGGCCCAGTCTCTGCACACGCTCAGTGAGATGAAGGCTATGGGCATTGGTGAGTAGGGAAACGCATCACTTACCAATAACACTCCTGAAGGAAATGAATGTCAGTACGTGTGAATTGTAGCAGTGTCCTAACATATTATTTATTTTAGCACCCAGTTTGGCTTCTTTTGACCATGTTCTGGGCATTTTCTACAAAGCAGGTGAATACCTACATTTTGTCTTGATTTCTATTATACAGTATCTTGATTGGTTTGTGGTGGTATGTTAGGGAGTGAGTGGCTCCATGTTTTCTGTTACTCTAATATATTTTGCTCTCTGTCCTGTCTAGCATCTCCTTCCCAAGGGCAGACTGATATCCTACATGAAGTGATGACTGAGGTGGCAGGAAGGACCTTCGTTGCTCAGGATCCAGATGATGGTATGCCTGCAGCATTTTGATCTTAAAGACCAATAGTAGAGGTCCATATATCAATAACTTCCTTGACCAAGTGATTCATGCCATTTTTAATGTAGTTTTGACTTTTCCTTTTCCCTCCCAGTAAACTTTTTCTCCAGTGCCATGAGAATTGTAAGTAGTCTTGAATACATCTATGTATGATTTTGAATATTTCAGTATGTTTGTGGTGACTGTTTAAGACCTGATGTTGTCTCTGTCCCCAGTGTCTGGATACCAAGGACATTGAGGCAGCATACAGGGTGCATGACCTGCTCAGTGTGGGAGAGAACTGGAGGCTGCTGGGAGATTCCTTCCAACAGAGTATCTATTAGTGAGTAAACCTTCTAAAAATGCTTGCAAATAAACATAGGAGAGTAGCATTTCTCCACCTTATTCCTGGTGGTTTTGCTCCTATACACTGTCACCTCTGACTTCTTGTTGTTTGTTCAGTGGCAGATTGTTCAACCTGCTCTGCATGATGGAACACATAGACGTGGTGCTGAAGTGGTACAAAGAACTGATTCCTTCTGTAAGCACTCAGACATTGGCAACATTGACATTCAAATTGTATACATACTCTCACATGCATTCTAAGACTAGTTCTGAACTTCTGTTGTCCATAGCTCTATTACCCCAATCCACAAGGAATGAGAGATCTGCTCCAGGCACTGGACACCGATAACAGATTGGACATGATCCCACAGATATGGAAAGGTGGGTTGGAAGTGAATGTACTGCTAGATTAATTAACTAGGTTTCCATCCAATTGGCAACAGATTTTCATGCGAATATTCTAGAATCCACATAAAAAAAATAGGAGCATCAAGATCACCGTGCACTTTCACCACCCTGTGAAGTTAATCATAATTTATTTCATCTGTAGCCTAATAAACTGCATGCTTTCCCGAGTCGTAGTGGGAGGACCACACACCATATCATCGCGTGACTCCAAATTTACTTCGATATTATGGTTATTATATCAATATTTGCGCATAAAGCCATTTCTCGCATCATTAATTTTAACTGACACAAAAAGATCCCACCAGGTTGAATGAACAAATGTCTGCATTTATAAAATTACACCGAAACTTCCTGTTTCCATCACAGCTGTCGTGATTTTCTTTTATATACGATATGACTTTACTCGCATAAGAACTGTGGATGGAAACGTGGTTATAGTAGTGGAATGAAAAATACTGAACAATAACCAACATGTGGATTGTCTGACATTAGCAGTTTTTTAGAGATGTTTGCATGTAAAGGCCTGTAATCACCCTCAGCTTTGGTTTACCCCCTACTCCAGACATCAGACGAATGGGGCATGACAACAAGTCCGATTTAGTGGATGAGCTGCTGTCACTCATGGCCAGGGACAAGCACAGCCCTGAGGTGAGGCATGGAGAGACGGACACCTAGCTAGAAAATAAATGACCATCATTACACTTATTTAATTTTTTACTTAACTGCATTGTTGGTTAAGGGCTTGTAAGTAAGCATTTCACTGTAAGGTCTTCGACCTGTTGTATTCGGCGCATGTGACAAATACAATTTGATATGATTTGAAATAGTAATCTACATTCTGACTGATCTGTTTGGCTCCATACAGATCCAGGAGTCTTTTGCAGTGTGTGCGCTGGATGTGAGGAGTGTGTATGAGCAGGGGCAAGGAACCAGGATGGCTCTGGAGTGGACAGCCACTGCCATGACCAACATCACCTCCATTCTACTGGCAGCCCAGAAGAAGCAGCAGGCATGGTGAGTAGACCTGGACACACAAGCCAGGGGGTACTTAAGTGGGAGCCAATTGACGTACGAAACATCCAGTATTTTAATCCTTATCTTTATTTTAATCTAGGGATATGTTGAAGCTCTTCAAGACCAAAAACAGAGTTCCATCGTAAGTGTATATTTGACATATTGTATTCACGGTATGTGAACATCTTGGGCACCCTAGTTCAGACCCATCTATTAACTGTAGTCTGTACTCTTGTAGTGAGGAGCTGATGGAGGAGTTCCTGGCCAGCAGCAACGACCCTCAGCAAGCCCTGGAGCTGGTACAGATCTCAGCTAGCTTCTGTCTGCCCACCACCCCCAAACTGGCTGAGAGGGTACTGCAGGAGTTCGAGCTCTCTGAAGAACAAAAGTATGACATTCTCTAGTTTTCATGTGCCATTAACTCTTTTGGCCACCAGATAGTCTAATTTTTATTCATGTCCTTGTTCCCTTTCAGGACTATTCTGTCCGAGCTGGAGGTCTCAACTGAAGTCAGCGAGTGATGGGAAACTTGTCATCTGATGGGAAGTCTAAATCCTGTAATCTGTATTAAACATTGATCATCTACTTGTGTCCGTGGGAATTGTTCACATTTAACTACAGCCAAACACCTCTGACACCAATGCCAGACAATTCTGAATGGCCACACTAGAGGTTGAAATGTAAAATATGAAAATTTAACAGTACAGTTGATTACTGTAACGTTTGTAGCCATCTCCAGTACTACAATCCATTAATTGTAAATGCAGAAGCCATTAGCTACAGAATAAATATACTGATTGTGAAAGTCATGTGATTAACAATGTACAAGAGACCACAGATGAATAAATATATACCAACTGAACTCGACAGCCACAATTTATTGATATATCCAATATTAACAGGGAGGAAATAGCATGACAAGTGATTTGATTCTCCACAACTGGTCAATAAACCACAAATAATTAACATGATCAAATTGAACAAAGCGAGTAACACATTGTGAGTTGAAACTGTGAACAAGGCTAGTGAGAGACAGGTTACTTTATAGAGTGGTATTGGACCAAGTGTCCAGCTATCATCTAAACCAGTGGTTCCCAACTCCAGTACCCCCAACAGCCCAAGTGCAGTCCTCGAATACCCACCAACAGTACATTTTTATTGTAGCCCCGGACAAACTCACCCGATTCGACTTGTCGACTGATCATCAAGCCCTCAGTTGAACCAGATGAGTTTGTCTGGGGTTACAACCAAACATGTGTGCTGTTCGGGGAACTGGAGTTGGGAACCACTGATGTAAACAGCACACCCAGTGAGGGGTCTCATACAGACAACAGGGGTCTTATCCATTATACCTGCTGAGACCACTGGCTGAATACCGTAGGTACATTAAAAATGCATTGGTACTACTCAGTAAGTCATATTTTCTTGTAGATGCTTGAAGGTTTTAAAGAGAGGGCATGTTTTAATACATTTCTGGGATACGCCCATCAGTGGTATAGCAGTGCTTCAAACAGATTTCCTCTGATACTATTCATAAATTAAGTCCTCATGGAGAGGGCAGAGCTTGCTGTTGATTCAGATGGGGACACTTCCATGCCATGGACCTGGTCTGATCTATGGAGCCATGGTGGTGCCCAACCCCACTGCGTTGGCATATGCAGACAGGAGGCTGACCACCTGTTTGGTTTCTAGTGTGAGCCGGGCCTCTTTGAGCCAGTCCTGAGCCACCCTGCGCGACTCGCCCTTCAGCTGGTTGACAAGCTTGGCGGCCAACTCCAGGTCTCCATGCTCCAGGCTGTAGGCGGCGTAGGAGAGCAGCTTGAACGTGTCAAGATCTTCGGCCGACAGCTTGGCAGGGGGGGCCTCCTGTGCCTTCTCAAAGAGCAGCGTGGCCTGCAGGTAGGACAAGAAGTACTGGTAGAGGCTGTTGCGGGTCTCGTCAATCAGGGCCACGCGGCGGGCCAGCTGGCGGATGGCGTAGAAGCGGGCGCGGAGAGAGGCCTCGCTGTAGACGCCGCGGCTGAGTGACTCGGAGGGCAGGGCAGTGGCCAGGGCCTGGGCAAACTCATCCTCGGCACAGCTCTCCTTGATGGCCTGCACGGCGCCCTCTAGGGGCTCGGTGGGGTCGTTTAGGGCAGCAGTCTTCAGAGTGTAGTTCAGAGCCTCCACTGAGAGCCACAGCTGATGGGCCTTACGGGCCTCCTCCTCTGCTATAACATGACCTGTAGGGTAACACATGACTACACTTTAGTATCTCATACAGAACACACCACACCAGGTTAGAACTACAGAACCCACCACACCACACCAGGTTACAACTACAGAACACACCACACCACACCAGGTTAGAACTACAGAACACACCACACCACACCAGGTTAGAACTACAGAACACACCACACCAGGTTAGAACTACAGAACACACCACACCACACCAGGTTAGAACTACAGAACACACCACACCAGGTTAGAACTACAGAACACACCACACCAGGTTAGAACTACAGAACACACCACACCACACCAGGTTAGAACTACAGAACCCACCACACCAGGTTAGAACTGGTACTTTGGCTCATGTTAGTCTCAAAGTGAACAGTACTGTATTGGAATGTTGCATAACATTGTATATGTGACCTTGCCTTGAATACAGAGGCAGCATTTTTATCCCTGTGGACTCTGTATTGTGTGTGTGTCTGTCCGTGTGTGTGTCTGTCTCACTGTCAATGGCCTCCTCCATGCCCTTGAGCCTGGCGTAAGCTGCATTCATGTCCAGGGTGAAGCTGTCCAGTTGGTCCTGTGTCAGACGACGGTACTCTGTCTCTTTCTCCATCAATGAGCTGTTCAGGATCTGGAGACGATTCAATTCATGTTCATCATTCAGTTTGCATTAAATAGGATTATAGGGTTTCTGAATGTTTGCATTGCTAAATATTAACAGTAAGTAGTTATGTTGTAGCAGTGAAATACACTCAAAACGCTGAATATAGGATTGGCTTGTTGGTTGACTGGCTAAACTTATCTCCTGGATTTCAATATGAAGGATGTTTGATTGGCTGTGGGTATGAATTTAACAGTAGATGGAATGTTTGATAGGCTGTGGGTATGAATTTAACAGCAGATGGAATGTTTGATAGGCTGTGGGTATAATTGTGTAACAGTAGATGGGATGTTTAATATGGATATACTTGCCTCCTCTGCCTCGGAGCGCAGCTCCTGCTCCTGCACCTTGAGGACGTCACGCAGGTGGTCTGTGTGTGCTGCAGCCTGCCTACGCAGCTGGGTCCGCATCTCTGCCTCCATCACCTCCCGAGTCTCCTCTACCTGCCGATGGACACACAGATGCAGTCATCAATCGATCAGTGGAAAACACCAACCCAGTTTGGTCTCATTCTACTCATGTGTCTAACAGATTGCTACAACCGACTGTGTCAGGAAAGGGAAAGTCCATCCATCAAAACGGATGAATACTGCCCTATCATGAGCTAAAGACAGTAGAGTTATAATAACAGAGAAAGACCCTTTCAGCTCACCTTCTTCTCCTGCTCCAGACGCATCTGTTCTCGGTTGTGTTCCAGGGCGGTGGAGACGGCCACCTCCAGAGCCTTCTTGTCCTCCAGCTTCTGCTGCTCCAGGGCAGAGTCGATGTGGATCTGCTCCCTCACCCTCTGCTCCGCCAGCTCTCGGTTCAGCTGGTCGATGCGTCGGTGGGCGTGGGCAATCAGGGAGTTGAGGTCATCTTGAGTCAGCTTCCCTGCTGGGAGACGGCCAAGGGCCAGTCCGTGAATTGAAGAGCTGATTTATCCTGCACTCTTTTCCCCCCCATTCCTACTCTCCATGGTTCCATAGTCAAGACCAGTTCTCTTTCTCCATTAATCTTTCCTTGATTCCATGCATCCTCTTCTCAAAATGCATTGAAGGGGGGGGGGGGGGGGGGGCTTGGACCTTCTCCTCCAATACGGTTGAGGAGGCGAGGAATCACAGAAAGACTAACTGAACTTAAGCCCAAGCATGTAATTGATGCTGTGCACAGTTTTTCAAAGGTTTACTGCAAAGCCGATCTGTCAAAATGTGGGTGGGTAATGGGAGTAAGATGTAGGGTGAAGCTGACTTACTGAGTCCCTTCCAGTTGGCCTGGATCTCTGGAGTGATGCTGTTCAGCTCCTTCTGGAACTGGGCCTTGGCCTCGTTCACCAGCTCGCTGTACTGAGACACAATCTTAGCCTCAGACTGGGCTGTCTGGACCTGCAGTTACAACGCATCAGAGAGGTTAAACAGAGACATCCAACCAGAAAGACAAGTATACAGAGTATAAAGTAAGAGAAAAAGTGTTAACAGAGTGTAAAACAGGGCCAGTTTACCCTGGTCACCACGCTGTCCAGATCCACCACCATGCTGTGCAGGTTCTCCTCTGCAGCCAGGATAGATGGCCGGGCTGCAGCAATCTTTAAGTGCTTGGCTCCATCAATAACTCCTCTCAGCTTGTCCAGCTCAGCCCTAAACACCAGAGATACAAAATGAATCCCAAAGCCAAACATAGCAAGCACAGAGTCGTTGCTGATCCTTTACAAGTTATTTTTGTACGATTTTATAAAAGTTGTTTTAATTTTTTTTACAATACAAAACATCCACATACAAAACCGACAACATAAAGACGCACACAAACATCCACAACATCACCCTGCTCACACCCCCATCTTCAGCGCCTGCATCATTCTCCGCCACATGGCCTCAAACTGCACCATTTTGTTTCCCTCCGTCGCCCACACACTTTCAACATTTAGATAAAGCATTTGACCTTTCCATTGTGTTAACAACAGAGGATTGGTTGATTTCCAGTATAAGTATACGTTTTTTCCAAGATGATTGAAAAGTATCATCCAACCTATCGCGTATCTCACTGCACCCTCATATGCCATGTCTTGAAATATGCAGACAAACGGATTAAAAGTAAAGTTACATTGTAAACTTTAACTCCGCCCATAACTTTTGGACATTATAGCATTCCCAGAAGGCATGGATTACTGAGTCATTGTTAGTTTTACACTTAAAATATTGCTGCCGTTGTGCTGTAGAATTTGTGAATTTTGTCACGTGTAATAAATTCGTTACATGAGTTTATACTGGATTAAGCGTACATTTTTGTTAACTGTAATTGTTAGTTATGTTCCAACATTCCCTCCATCTTGTGCCAATATCAGTTATTTTTAAGTCGGTTCCAATTTTTTTTTTTTTTTTTTTTTTTACAAAGAGCTTGTCAGTTGGATAGGCTCTCTGCAAGGTTGTGTATCTTACCTTTCATACGAGTATCCTTTTCTTTTTGTCTATTATTACTTTTTTTAAATTTATTTATTTTAAATTTATTTTTTAGTGGTAGGTCAGCTTTAATATTGCAGATAGATTGTAACTTCCATGAATGTAATTGTCTGCATCACTTCCAATCCCCCATATGTTTTTTTCCCCTCGCAAATATATACATACATACATACATACATACATACATACACATACACATCCTTTAAAAATATATATATTTCCCTTTATAACATTCCAACCCCACCACCCCTTCCCTAATTGGCGTAAACTAGTGAACAACAATGCTTAGGCCTCTCCTTCCAGCTTATACATACTATATACATTTTATGGACAGCCAATTTTACAATAATTATATTTTGTTTGTTTTTACTCCTGAACCTCTCCGATCATTTTTATGATGTCCATCCGGTTTGCTTCTATATGCCATATCTTTCTAACTGTGCTCTTTCACAAAAGCTCTCAACCTATATAAACTATATACTTATTATGGACACAGTTTGCTTTACATTAGTTATCTTGTTATTAGTTGTTGTTAGTTCCATCCTTCAACTTCATTCAACACCACCCATCTATCTCTTAACACCATCCATATTGGATTTCTATTTGCCATATATTTTTCAACTGTACTGTGATGTTTTACAAAAGTTCTGAACCTTTCTATTCTCATTGTTTCTACAGATTGTAAATTGAAAATAAACATTTTTGCTAAAAGTATTATTATATTATTGATTTGACTATGACTTTTCAGATCACCCAGTAGTGCTATCTGCAGGGTTAGCTCCAGGTAAATATTGCAATCCTTTAGCCATTCCTGGACCTGTACTCAATGGCAAGAGTATGCAAAGCTGTCATTAAGGCAAAGGGTGGCTACTTTGAAGAATCTAGAATATAACATATATTTTCATTTGTTTAACACTTTTTTGGTTACTACATGATTCCATGTGTTATTTCATAGTTTTGATTTCTTCACTATTATTCTATAATGTAGAAAATAGTAAAAATAAAGAAAAACCCTTGAATGAGTAGGTGTATCCAAACTTTTGACTGGTAGTGTATATACATATCTTGTTTGTTTTTTTAGCTACAAGTTTTAGTGAGCATAAAATAATAGTAAATACTGCACTTCAAACTTTAATATCAACCAATATCAAATAGGCTGAAACAAAATGAAGTGTATACTGGTGACCACAGACCACCACAACATTATGTTAATAAAAGATGAAGCAGATCTTACTTGGCCTTGAGAACGGCTGCACCAGCCTCGTCTACTGAACGGCTGCGTTCACTCAGTGCATTTTCCAGAACTCTCCACTGGGTAGACTTCTTATCAGGGGGTGCCTAAAGAACAAACATTCACATAATTAATGATTCACAATACAACTTTGGTTTGGATTAGGGCTGGGCAATATATTTAATAACTATCAAAATCACAATATGGACATTATCCATATCAGCAATATCCAATGGCATATTATATTATATGGAAATATCCATATTGCAAGAGGCTGCAATATTCACTCTGCATGCACGCACATACAACCTATCTTTCCAAACATGATGCAGTCCTGAGAGGGACCGGGGAGGGGCATGTTGGGATGTCCTGATAGGGACCGGGGAGGGGCATGTTGGGATGTCCTGATAGGGACCGGGGAGGGGCATGTTGGGATTGAAAATAACTCCTCCCTGCGGTTTTCATTCTTTGTCATGCCCAACAGCACTATATTCCAAGAGTTCACCCAAGCGTTTTGCTACATAGCAACTCATATCACTATTGCAAAATGTGAAGAAAAACATTTGCAATATGATATTTTGGCCATATCGTGCAGCACTAGTTTAAATGTAATGAAAAACTGCTAGCAGAACTCCCATGTTCGCACTTGAGAATATGTCCACCCCCTCACCTCAGCCCCCTCCCTGGCCTCCATTGCCTAACAAAACAAATATTTACAGAGGGGTTTTTTCAGAATGTGTACCCGTTTCCCTTCCTTACCTCAGACTCTGTGGCCTTCTTCAGTTTCAGGGTCACAAAACAGACATTCACAACAGATTGTGGGTGTAATATATGAGGAAAAACACATATTTTTATTTTTTTTGAATATATGTCCCTGTCCTTTCCTCACCTCAGCCTCCATGGCCTCCCTCAGTTGGAGCGTGTGCTGGGCGATGGCCTGCAGAGCTGCCTCCTGAGCACCAATGGCCTGCAGGGTCACCTTGGCTGTGCTGCCCAGAGCATCCTCCAGGTCGGATGACAGAGCTGCAACAGTATACACACACAGCCTGGTTACCTTGTTTGTCAATCATGATGCCATCTTCCCTCCTCAATAATAATCGAAGCGATCCCCTTATAATCCCCATGTCAAACCTCTACTCCATAATGTAACAAGATGACCATGCATCAATGGCATATGAATCATAAAAATCTGATGAAAAATAACCATGTGTCCACTGTACTCATTGACTCAAGTATCGCATTTGTCTTCATTGTATATAATGCTTTAAGCCAGAGTAAATGTATGTTGGTATGGTGTAATGGGCTCCACAACTAATAGAAAGGTAACAGGGAAAGATAAGACACCTACATGTCAGGAGGTCATGCTCAACCTTATCCTGCTCAGCAAGACGGGCAGCCACTTCACCCTCAGGACGCTCCTTCACTGCAGGCTCAGGTTCACACTTTGTTGCAGCTAGGGGGAGACAGAACATACGCAGTACATTTTGTTGCAGCTGGGGAGGGGGGTGCAAACCTTTTGGCTCAAGGGCCACATTGAGTTGTTGAAACCAAGTGAAGGGCCACATACTATATGCGTGACAAAACATGTGAAGCCTTTATTCATTTTCACATTGGCACGCAACTACTAGTGTACTGTAGGTGTACATATGCTTGCAGAACAATTCTACCCTTGTACCATCTCTACCCTTGATTTTTTATGAACACATTTTTCACAAAATTGATATAATTTATAACATCACAGACACACACAGATCCTGCATCTCTACCCTTGTAAAGTACAATCAAATTTAGTCACAATATGCAAATTTTAAAACAGATATATATTATGACTGGAGACATGCAAAATATAACAGCAGATATGTAAAACAATTTTTTTAGTGAAACATATGGTAAGAGCATCCGTTTCATTTGGAATGGTCTGTTTTTGAAAGCATATTAAGAATCTCCATTGTGAGCCATATTTACAGTTATCCAATCACCTCAGCCCAAATCTGACTGATGAGTTATTACCCTGTCTCCAAGTGCATTGCTGGATAATTCTCACTGCATAACCATCACCATGAAGAAGCATAATCCTTGCCTACCCCAGTCACGGTTATTCAAGTCTTAATGTGAACAATGGGTCTGGTCACCTCTCTTGGCAAGGGCATCAAAGTCTGGTGTCATCTTTGATGTAGAGATTCTCAGAACTGCTGACAAGTGGTAATTTGTTAAATTTGACCTGTTAAGGGATTTGTTGTAATTCATGACTGAGAATGTTTGTTCACACACGTGAACCCGAATAAAACAAGCATCCTTTGGGTGTGCTTTTTAATGTTTGAAACTTTGTTTCATTCAGTGAGCCATAGAACTGGTCTATTGTTGCCGTTTTGTACTTCTCCTTCAAAGCACTGTCATATTGGATGTCGATGAGCTCCAATTGTGTGTCTGGTGGCGCTTTATCACAAGCTCCAGCTCAGTCTCAGTCTTGAAGTCTGAGAAGCAGCAGGAAAACTCAGCATGCAGGTCGATCAAAGTGCTACTGTATGTCTCAGTGCGGCACTGCGGTGTGGGCGCGTTCAGTGCGGCCATTGTCGGAAAATGAGCGAGAGACCGGCTGCTCATTTGTCTGGAGAACAACATAAGTTTGGCCTTGAATGCTTTCACGTTGGAATACAGTTCATGCACAAAAACACAATTTCCCTGCAGTTTCACATTTAGATCGTTCAGATGCCCCAATATGTCCACACCGAAAGCAAAGTCGCCCAGACAGTCTGTCTTTCAACTCAGAGATGTCGTCAGCTTTACCAACCATATCAAGGAACAACCCATCTCCTCTCCCAGTTCCCACACACAGTGAAATACTTTTCCCAGGCTTAGCCAGCGCACATTTGAATGGTACAACAAGTCCTGGAGCTCTGCCTGTGTCATTGAGCAGCTGAATGAACTGACGATGGTTAAGCCCCCTTGCCCGTATAAAGTTGACAAGTTTTACAACCTTTTCGAGCTTTAACACACTTTTACACAGGGCTTCCTGATTAATAATACAGTGAAGAAACAAATTCCTCAGAGTTAAGGCTTTCTTCTTTTACTTTGTCTTGTAATCTTTTTAGTAGGCCAATGTTTTTACCGGTTAGATTTGGTGATCTGTTGTGACGTTTGTCAGTTTGCTCCACGGTAGATTCATTTTTTCCAAGCAGGCAGACACCCTGTCATATAAGTCAGAGCCCCTGGTTGTTCCCATCATTGGTTCCATCGCAAGAAGTTCCTCTGTTATTTCAAAGTTCTCATTTATTCCTCCGACAAAAATTTTAAGTTGAGCGGTGTCTCTGATGTCAGTACTCTCATCCAGTGCTATAGAAAAAATATCGAAGCCATCTGCTTTTTTCTTCAACTCTGAGATTAGCTCCTCACCTATCACTTCCACACACCTGGTGATGGTTCTGCGTGATAAGCTAATTTTCTCGAATTGGCTTTTACTCTCAGGACAAGGTATACCAGAAGTCTCCACCATACACTGTTTCAAACTCCCCTTCAGCAAAAGGCTTGCTATGCTTTGCGATTTTATGTGCCACTACGTAGCTTGCCTTAGTTACGGAGTATTGAGTAAAGCACTGTTTAGTAAACGTATTTTGTTGGGCTTTTAAGTTTGTGGCAAGTTGAGGCCTTCCTTGCCTTTTCCTGAGAGGACAGATTGCTAGCGTAGTTAGCATGCTTGCTTGAAAAATGACGATTGAGATTACATAGTCGTCAAGCAATGAAGTGGCTATGATGACTGAGCGCATTCTGAATCTGACTGTAGGCCCAAATACTGACGCGCGCTGCCAAGCTACACCGCCATCTATTGGATGTTGTTTGCATATCATGGAATTAGTCATTTTAGGCCAAAAATCATTACTCAAATATAATAATATTTAATACATTTCAAAAATGTCTCCAGACCGCGGGCCGTACTTTACCCCCCTTGAGCTAGGGGGAGACAGAACATACACTCAGTACATTTTTGTTCTGAGGACAAAATCATGGCCACAAAAATACATGCCCTACATTCCATTCACACATACATGTAGCACTTACCTGCTACTACAGATTACACTTAGGAGTATGGCATGAACAGGTATACAGTCGTGGTGAAAAGTTTTGAGAATGACAAGTATTGATCTTCACAAAGTTCGCTGCTTCAGTGTTATGAGATATTTTTGTCAGATGTTAATATGGTATACTGAAGTATAATTACAAGCATTCCATAAGTGGAAGGCTTTTATTGACAATTACATTAAGTTTATGCATTTTTACATTTTACATTTGCATGCAAAGAGTCAATATTTGCAGTGTTGACCCTTCTTTTTCAAGACCACCGCAATCCACCCTGGCTTGCTGTCAATTAACTTCTGGGCCACATCCTGACTGATGGCAGCCCATTCTCGCATAATCAATGCTTGGAGTTTGTCAGAATGTGGGTTTTTGTTTGTCCACCCGCCTCTTGAGGATCGACCACAAGTTCTCAATGGGTTTAAGGTCTGGGGAGTTTCCTGGCCATGGATGTTTTGTTCCCCGAGCCACTTAGTTATCACTTTTGCCTTATGGCAAGGTGCTCCATCATGCTGGAAAAGGCATTGGTCGTCACCAAACTGTTCTTGGATGGTTGGGAGAAGTTGCTCTCGGAGGATGTGTTGGTACCATTCTTTATTCATGGCTGTGTTCTTAGGCAAAAACGTGAGTGAGCCCATTCCCTTGGCTGAGAAGCAACCCCACACAGATTAATGTTCTCAGGATGCTTTACTGTTGGCATGACACAGGACTGATAGTAGCGCTCACCTTTTCTTCTCCGGACAAGGTGTTTTCCGGATGCCCCAAACAATTGGAAAGGGGATTCATCAGAGAAAATGACTTTACCCCAGTCCTCAGCAGTCCAATCCCTGTACCTTTTGCAGAATATCAGTATGTCCCTGATGTTTTTCCTGGAGAGAAGTGGCTTCTTTGCTGCCCTTCTTGACACCAGGCCATCCTCCAAAAGTCTTTGCCTCACTGTGCGTGCAGATGCACTCACACCTGCCTGCTACCATTCCAGAGCAAGCTCTGCACTGGTGGTGCCCCGATCCCGCAGCTGAATCAACTTTAGGAGACGGTCCTGGCGCTTGCTGGACTTTCTTGGGCGCCCTGACACCTTCTTCACAACAATTGAACCTCTCTCCTTGAAGTTCTTGATGATCCGATAATGGTTGATTTAGGTGCAATCTTACTAGCAGCAATATCCTTGCCTGTGAAGCCCTTTTTGTGCAAAGCAATGATGACGGCACGTGTTTCCTTGTAGGTAACCATGGTTAACAGAGGAAGAACAATGATTTCAAGCACCACCCTCCTTTTAAAGCTTTCAGTCTGTTATTCTAACCCAATCAGCATGACAGAGTGATCTCCAGCCTTGTCCTCGTCAACACTCTCACCTATGTTAACGAGAGAATCACTGACATGATGGCAGCTGGTCCTTTTGTGGCAGGGCTGAAATGCAGTGGAAATGTTTTTGGGGGATTAAGTTCATTTTCATGGCAAAGAGAGACTTTGCAATTAATTGCAATTCATCTGATCACTCTTCATGACATTCTGGAGTATATGCAAATTGCCATCATCAAAACTGAGGCAGCATACTTTGTGAAAATTAGTACACTGCTCAAGAAAATAAAGGGAACACTAAAATAACACATCCTAGATCTGAATGAATGAAATAATCTTATTAAAATAATTTTTTCTTTACATTTACATTACATTTAAGTCATTTAGCAGACGCTCTTATCCAGAGCGACTTACAGTTAGTGAATACATATTTTTTTTAAATCATACTGGTCCCCCGTGGGAATTGAACCCACAACCCTGGCGTTGCAAACACCATGCTCTATCAACTGAGCTACATCCCTGCCGGCCATTCCCTCCCCTACCCTGGACAACGCTAGGCCAATTGTGCGCTGCCCATGAGTCTCCCGGTCGCGGCCGGCTGCGACAGAGCCTGGATTCGAACCAGGATCTCTAGTGGCACAGCTAGCACTGCGATGCAGTGCCTTAGACCACTGACAACAAAATCACACAAAAATTATCAATGGCCTGCTGGAGGTCATTTTGCAGGGCTCTGGCAGTGCTCCTCCTGCTCCTCCTTGCACAAAGGCGGAGGTAGCGGTCCTGCTGCTGGGTTGTTGCCCTCCTACGGCCTCCTCCACGTCTCCTGATGTACTGGCCTGTCTCCTGGTAGCGCCTCCATGCTCTGGACACTATGCTGACAGACACAGCATACCTTTTTGCCACAGCTCGCATTGATGTGCCATCCTGGATGAGCTGCACTACCTGAGCCACTTGTGTGGGTTGTAGACTCCGTCTCATGCTACCACTAGAGTGAAAGCACCGCCAGCATTCAAAAGTGACCAAAACATCAACCAGGAAGCATAGGAACTGAGAAGTGGTCTGTGGTTACCACCTGAAGAACCACTTCTTTATTGGGGGTGTCTTTCTAATTGCCTATAATTTCCACCTGTTGTCTATTCCATTTGCACAACAGCATGTGACATTTATTGTCAATCAGTGTTGCTTCCTAAGTGGACAGTTTGATTTCACAGAAGTGTGATTGACTTGGAGTTACATTGTGTTGTTTAAGTGTTCCCTTAATTTTTTTGAGCAGTGTATTTGTGTCATTCTCAAAACTTTTGACCACGACTGTAGTAAAATACCCACTAACTCTCTCATCCACATTCACACAACATATAACCTCTAAATACAAAACAACTGCAGAATAACACAGACATAGCATGACAAGCTAGTACAATCTAGGATGAAGGGTTTTGTGAGGGGTAGTGATTGGTTTATGAGCAGGGAGGGGACAGAATGAAGCGCATTTATGCAGAGGTGTACAGTAAACAGAGGTGAAAGGGTGAGACGGCAAATAAAATCACCAGGAGAATCACGAATCATGCACAGGAAAGAAAAATAAGTATTAGAGAAGAGCAGGCATAGAACATGGAGCCATGCACCCTAGGACCCCCTATATTAGTGAGAGAGAGGACAATGCACCCTAAGCCCCCTTATATTAGTGAGAGAGCTCCATGCACCCATGCAGGGGAGGCTGTATGCACCCGGTTCTGACCTGCCGGGACCTCCTCGGGGGAGGCTGGGGAAGGCATGGCATCTGCCTCGTGGGTTCCTGGTGCTGGCACAGAGGGCACCTCACCGATGGCTGATAGGATTTGTGCCACCTGAGCAGAAGTTTCTGCAACAACACAGTGGAGCTCAACATCAGAGGTCTGACTGACTGGTCTTCTTGGCAAGGCCGCGTTATGGTAACCAATAGGACATGTGGAAATGGCACACTGTCAAGCCACAGTCAAGAACACAGCAGCATTACTGACTGACTCATAGCCTAGCTGTAGATAAGGCAAACCTCTAAAGTAACCCAGGCAGACGCCCATTCTCTCACTCCAGTTCAGTGATTTACACTGATGGACTAGATCGGTCACCTGGTCTTCTACTTTGTGCATGACACAAGTACATTTTCCAACAATTGTTTACAGATAGATTATTTCACTTATAATTAACTGTTTCACAATTCCAGTGGGTCAGAAGTTACATACACTAAGTTGACTGTGCCTTTAAAGAGCTTGGAAAATTCCAGAAAATGATGTCATGGCTTTAGAAGCTTCTGATAGGCTAATTGACATCATTTGAGTCAATTGGAGGTGTACCTGTGGATGTATTTCAAGGCCTACCTTCAAACTCAGTGCCTCTTTGCTTGACATCATTGGAAAATCAAAAGAAATCAGCCAAGACCTCAGAAAAACAATTGTAGACCTCCACAAGTCTGGTTCATCCTTGGGAGCAATTTCCAAACGCCTGAAGGTACCACGTTCATCTGTACAAACAATAGTACGCAAGTATAAACACCATGGGACCACGCAGCCGCCATACCGCACAGGAAGGAGACGTGTTCTGTCTACTAGAGATGAACGTACTTTGGTGCGAAAAGTGAAAATCAATCCCAGAACAACAGCAAAGGACCTTGTGAAGATGCTGGAGGAAACAGGTACAAAAGTATCTATATCCACAGTAAAACGAGTCCTATATCGACATAACCTCAAAGGCCGCTCAGCAAGGAAGAAGCCACTGCTCCAATACCGCCTTAAAAAAGCCAGACTATGGTTTACAACTGCACATGGGGACAAAGATCGCACTTTTTGGAGAAATGTCCTCTGGTCTGATGAAACAAAAATAGAACTGTTTGGCTATAATGACCATCGTTATGTTTGGAGGAAAATGGGGGTACTTGCAAGCCGAAGAACACCATCCCAACCGTGAAGCACGGTGGGTGGCAGCATCATGCTATGGGGGTGCTTTGCTGCAGGAGGGGCTGGTGCACTTCACAAAATAGATGGCATCATGAGGAAGGAAAATGATGTGGATATATTGAAGCAACATCTCAAGAAATCAGTCAGGAAGCTAAAGCTTGGTTGCAAATGGCTCTTCCAAATGTACAATGACCCCAAGCATCCTTCCAAAGTTGTGGCAAAATGGCTTAAGGAAAACAAAGTCAAGGTATTGGAGTGGCCATCACAAAGCCCTGACCTCAATCCTAAAGAAAATGTGTGGGCAGAACAGAGAAAGCGTGCGCGAGCAACGAGGCCTACAAACCTGACTCAGTTACACCAGCTCTGTCAGGAGGAATGGGCCAAAATTCACCCAACTTATTGTGGGAAGCTTGTGGAAGGCTACCCGAAATACTAATTGAGTGTATGTAAACTTCTGACCCACTGGGAATGTGATGAAAGAAATAAAAGCTGAAATAAATCATTCTCTCTGCTATTATTCTGACATTTCACATTCTTAAAATAAAGTGGTGATCCTAACTGACCTAAGACAGGGAATCTTTACTAGGATTATATGTCAGGAATAGTGAAAAACTGAATTTAATTGTATTTGGCTAAGGTGTATGTAAACTTCCGACTTCAACTGTATGTACTGTGGTAATACAGTGAAGTAAACGTTGTTAAACTGGAACCTAGTCGTTGTGTCATTTTGAGTTAACACTGAAGACTCATTTAGTTGAGATGAAATATCCAGTTCCTATCAACAGCCAATTCCTTTATGTCCTTCACTGGTTTGATTGGATCCAAATTTTAGCAACACCACAGACAGATTCAAGGCTCTTAAACAAAAAATGGTTAACCTAGCTAAATAACATTGGAAGTTCTGCAGAGGTCTAATGACCACCTTGGTAAAGCCATCAGCTAATTAGGAAACTTACCACGTCAAGATATTGAACACTTAGCTAAGAAAGAAAATCAAGAGGAAATTAATGATTTACTCTCCAAGGAGATATCAATTTGGGGGGAAAACTAAGATTATAGATTGCATAAATAGATCGAAAGGCATAAAGTATCATGCGATTATGCAATGTTCAGTGATTTAGAGGACAACTCTTTGCTAACCTGAAAAGTGTTAATCATGCATCGACAATGGCCAGAAAACTTTTCAACAGTAGCAACAGTTTAAGTCAATTTGTATTTGTAAGAACTATGAAGTAAACCAGCCCACGTTCACAACACAATTGCAGCAGATCGTTTCAGTTCGACACAGGAGAGAAGACATGGGTTTGTTTGTGAAAAATGTGATTTCTAATGGATGACATCTTCACATCTAAGCACCTGATCCCTCTTAATTGAATAGTCTTAAAAACAATGGAGTGCCAACGTTCTTAGTACTTGACTCACAATATATTATTTTTTCAACACCTCAGAGAGCATGAAGTATGTCAGGTCTCTCGGGCACAGCTGTAACTCACCCTCTAGGGTGTCCTGAAGTGTTGGAGCAGGGGGCTCCTCAGCAGCTGGTTGCTCCACAGGTTTCTCTGCTTTCTTCTCAACCTCTTTCCCTTTGGCCTTTGGCTGCTTCGAGTCTTTCGACACTTCAGACATGGAGGAAATCTTTAGAGGTTCAACCTTTCCCTTCAGGACAGTAATAGAAGAATGTTGTCAGGGAAGATTGAATTGAATGTGAACGTTTTAGATCTGTCTGTGGTTCTTTCGTTAGATAAGCTTGCTAGTGTTTGACAACAGACTAAGGAAAATGTAATGATACAAATGACAAAATATGACTTCTCGAAATGTGCTCTAGAACATGGGTTATTTGGCTTACTGGTTTATTTATAAAAGGTGGAGGTGCTGCTGGGCCGAGAGCCAGTCCAAACACTTGATCCGAGTATGGTACGGATTTCTCAACATTGGCCCTGAATTTGGGATCCCAATTGGCGTATAGAATTGTGCCACCAACTCCTCCACCCACGGTGAGGACACTAGCAGCTACAATCTTTCCTGCAGAAGACCTGCAAGTACAAGTCAAAGGTAAGATATTCAAACACACAACAAGAAAGCAAACAACAAACCAATGGCCATTCAGAATGACACAAAAATGGAATATCACATGTACTTTACTGATAATGGTTTTAGTGCTTGTGTGCAGCTTTAGGGTAACTTACTCCTCTCTTTGACTTATTTAAAAGCACGGGTCAAGGACAGTCAAGTAGCTGCTCAATCAATGAACATTAACAGCTCAATGTAGCATTTGGCCACTTAAGTATCTCCGCAGGAGACAAGTCACCTACCCTGAGCCTCCTGAAGTGTAGCGACGACATTGCTGCAGGGGGTGAAGGGGGGCACCATTCCCACACAGGCATTTCTATGGACAGGACAATAAGATCAGGGTACACACGCGCTATCAACAGGAGCACCACAAGCCTATTATGGGACCTACACAAAATACACCAGCACTTGTTCTATTAAAATTCATTGGAATAGGATGGCTGACAAAAACAGCTCATTCGTCTAGTTCTTACATGTGTGCAATTCTGCAATGGAAACGTTTCCACAAACAAAAAACACTTTCTTTAGGTCATTCTATGAACTTAAGTTTGCCAAGGTCATGTCCCCTTGATATGAATATGTGCATTTGTCCTTTCTTTTTCACGTAGCTAGTTGAAATGAAACTGATTGTGCTAGGAGTCAGTAGCAAAGACTGCATTTCCCCTACACATTGGATACATGAACGTGTGTAGCAAAACAACTTGACGACTACAACGTTTGTGTTATCATTGCACATGTACACACAATTAATACAGAAATTGATCATACAACCGCCGAGCCATTCCTCCAATCCGACGGTGTGCATTGGTGCACACTCATGTCACTTTCGAGTCGTTGTTTTATTCGGAGGGCAGTGCAGTCAATCAATAGAATATACGCCTCTTTCCACTACGAAATTACGTGATTTGCATGAAACTACGTGATTTGCGTAAAGTTACGTTCAGTAGCCTACGTTCAGCGCAGCTTTCTTTCAATGAAGGCATTTAACATTTAACACTTTATGTTAACGCATTGAATTCACACATTTCCGTACACTGGATGTTACGAGGAGAGGTTATAAAACATGTCTGAGGACGTAAACTGTTTATTTCTGCCAACAACACGCACAGCGGAGTAGGCCCAGTCTCTGGGTCACTGAATGACCGCTCGGATAGCATAGCTAGCAGGCTGACGTTAGTTAGCTATCTAGATATATTCCATTTAGAACACACTGATCCTTACCCGCGCTGCAGAATTTGCCCCTTTCAAGCAGACACGCAGCATTGTCCTCGAAACTCCCTTTCTTCGTTATTTATGACAGAATAGGTTTAAATTCAGCAAAGCATGATAAAAACTGTCAATCTCAAGCATTAAGACACACGCGATACTTCCAAGCACCTTTTTCGCGGAGGGTGACACACACAGCAGAAAGGGTGCGCATGAGCAATGGCTACGCCCATAGAGATAGATAGAGGACTCATTTTTATGTCTGCGTCATTATGGCTTCTGTGACAGCATGGGCAGCGCCATTGAGGCTACAACCCATAGGAATCCCCACCCAGTTGACTACTTTGACTACTGTAAAATGGCGGAAGCTTGTTGGAAGCACTCAATGGCGTTGCTCATGCTAAAATTGCCTTTTGACCACTAGAGGCCTCTATTATTCTCTACGGGTACGCCCAACTGCGAAAAAAAAAAAATAGTATTACGTCACGGGTTCATGGCTCTTTAGTTCATAGTTGAAGAACCACATCAATATTTATGCATAATGTTGTTGGTTAACATTGGAAAAAATATTTCAACTTTTTTTAAATCTTTATTTTTATTGCAAACGCATAGAAACAATGTATGACGCATTCATAATGTGCCCTTTCTCACATAAATATATGGTGTTGCAGAAGCTTTCAACATCCCAATCATACCTGAAAAACAAAACTAGTGACATTGCAACAAATTATCTTTGGCAGAGATGAATGCCACGTTCAAAACAACTGGGAACTCGGAAATCTCTGACTTCCGACTTCTGTGCATTCAAGAAAACTGGAAACTGGATATCGGAAAAAAACGAGCTCCGACTGGAAAATATCGTTTGAACGGTCATCCACCCGGATTTCCAAGTCGGAACCTCGGGCATCTTTCTAGAGCTCCGACTTCCCGACCTCGACCTGAAGATCACTGACGTCATGATTTGACCTTGTTTTATTTTCTTCTGAATTCGAAGTTGTCTTGAATGCAGCATTACAGTAGGCCGTTACAAGTGTACTGATATACCTGAATGCACGTGGCATTCCGGCAGCTTTGAGAAAAACGACTTAGTTATGCCTGTTGTTCACACGCGTATCTGCCCACTCAATCGCTCGTGGACAGAAACTTTAGCGAGAATTTTACTGCAGCGTAACCGAGTTTACCCACTCATTGGTTAGAATGGTCCAACCTGATCTCGCCTGCCTTCAATCATCGAGGACATGTATTTCCATTGTTAGAGCGGTCACTCGGCTATCTTGTCAATAGATATTCTTCAGTTATTTTGTCATGTTATTGCTGTCCGGTCTCCTAGGGACGTCCCTACCGTAAACCCTAACCATTTTACGTTTCAACTTCAATGGGTTGACGTCAGTGTTGGACGTCCCAAGGACCCAGGTTAGCAGGAACATTTTGTCATTGGCTGAGCTGAAATGGCAAATGTGTGGTGTTAACAATGTTTGCAGGGAGATACCTGTACTTACTTAGAAACCTGTCCAACCTGTACCTGGTTTCTGGGTTCAGGAATGGGAAATCCAGCAAATACCAACTGACAAGAAATTCCACATGAAAATTTAAGTTTATTTTAATGAGTAACATGTTACATGTCAACACTTCCAATTCTCTTTTCAAACTCCAACAACACAGATGACAAGAACAAGTGAATAGACTTGATGGGATCCCCTACCTACATGATGTTAATCCGTTAAAAAACATAGACAAGAGGCATTGACATGCTCCAACGATACATGAAAACTGAGTCAGCAACAGAGATGCATAGCACATCATTTCAAGGGTCATTCCATTATGAACAAAAAACTTTTTTGTGCTGCAGGGTAAGAGAATGCACAAATAGAATTAACCTTAAAAACCAAATCACATGCCTGAAATATAACTTTCAAAATAAATCTGGGAATGATTGGCTTCAAGGCCCATATATAGAATTCTTAGGTAGTGGAGCAACTCCACATCAGATTGATACTGATCAAGAATAAAGTAGACCATGTTGATAGACAAGATTGTGCTAAGAGAGGACAAAATGTATCCTACTTGGTTTCCTATACATTTCCTAGGTCACTGTTCATAACAGTTCCGAAACTCTTGTTTCTCCGAATGTTGCTTTCTTTTTGGGGTGGGGCCAAACATCAAGATAGGGCATTCAAGTCTCTCCATGACATAGTTTAAATGCATTTTTGATCATCTACTATCTGAACAACAGGCAGATTTCATCTATTATTTAAGCTATTATTTTTGAGTGAGACTAATAGTATTAGAAATACATTTCCCCTCGCAACTGATATACCCTATTGTGTGTAGGTTTGGTTTACACTACCAAAATGTTTAATGAAAACCAACTACAAGGATCCAAGGACTGACGACGGACACATCAAGTATTTCTATAAGTTAAGTGCAGGACAGGAGGCAGGTTGGCAGACAGAAACATTCTGCTATTCCTGCTGTTCCAGTTGGTCCAGACCAGATGATCTAACTGGCTTCCTTTTGTAGGATGGCCCCCGGCACACCGGGCAACAGTGCTGTCCACCTGCCAGCCAGACCACAATGCACTTCTGGTGGAACACATGGGCACAGGGCAGTCCCATAACGATGCAATCAGTCTCAAAGTTCTCCAGACACACAACACATTCTGTGCAGTGTATCATGTCACTGGGCCATTGGGACCAATCCACTTGCTGCTCTTGCGCTTCCCTTTTCATGCATGGTACATCCTCACCATTTCCAGAATGACAACATGAATCAGAAGCACAATCTCTCTCTTTACCACAGCCATGTTCTTCATGCTCACTGTTTAAGCCTTGGGTCTGTCCTCCTGTAGTGTTTTGTATGTTGCTGTCCAGATCTCTGCCACTGTTCTCTTCAGAGTTTGGCCCACAGACCTGTGTGCACTTGAACCTCCAGGTGGGCAGGTTGTTGATGTAGTCGATGGGGATAAGCGGGTGAAGCCAGAGATCGGGGAAGGCCAACCTCTCCAGAAGGAAATTGGGGTCATCGTCCCAGTCAGACTCGTTGGGGAAGTTATGAAAGGAGGTTATGGGATGGACCAAGTAGCTGGTGTACCAATCCCAGAGGCTGGACAGCCACTCCAAGTTATTTGGGTTCTCTTCTTCATTGTTGCACCTCCTCTTCTTCTCAAAGTAGTCGATGAGCAGCCCATGTGCCAGGTATGTGCTGAGGAACAGGGCGGGGTGGGAGGAGTAGAATGTCCAGTCAGTCCTCACCCAGGAGGCAATGGTGGTGGTGTCTGCGTAACGCAACAGCTTGAGGCTGTAGTCGTAGAAGCCCTCCAGATATGGCAACTGTAGGAACCCCAGGATGGGTAGCCAGGAGATGATGAGTAGGGAGTTGTAGGTCCCCAGAGTACTGATGAGAACCACGAAGCGCTTGATGGTGGCGCCCTGTGTTATGAACAGGTCCAACCAGGCCATGAGGTTGACCATGACTAGACTCAACACAAACAGGTCGTTGACCTCTGGCTGAACCGAACGGAGGAAAGTGTCCATGGCCTGTAGAGAGATGAACTCTCCTATGCTGTTCCCATATCTGTAGATGCCCTCTGGCATTTTCAGGATGTACGATGGCAACTGTTGCACACCTATCTCTTCCAGGGAGGTTATATTGTCCCAGCTCTGCACATCTACAAAGATGAACTCGATCCGACCTGTGAACTTGACACTGAGTGCTGAAAAAAAGGCTGGGGGTTGTGCCAGCTTGGCAAATAGGAACATCTTCACTGGGTGCTTCTCACTGGGGTGCCACTCTTCAACAAGCTGCTGAGACATGCGGATGGTTTTTATACGGGACGCTACGTGTGCCGTCATCCACTTGAAGATATGCTCCGTCTCAATTCGTCTGCCATTGTACTCTTTCAGCATAACCTTTCCTTTTGAAGCATAGGTCTGGGGCACAGACATTATAAGTGTGGATTTCATCCAACCCCGTTTACGACAATACCTGCAAGAGATAAAAGGATAATCAACTAGGCTACTAAAATGCAAATACTGATGTACCCTAAACCAGAATGCAACTAGAACAATTACCATGAAGAATTACCATACACCTTATGGAACAGCGGGGACTGTGAAGCAACACAAACATAGACAAATGTATACACACACGTACACATGGATTTTGTGTTGTAGATATTTGGTAGTAGAGTAGGGGCCTGAAGGCACACACTTAGTGTGTTGTGAAATCTGTTATGAATGTATTGTAATGTTTTTAAAATTGTATAACTGCCTTAATTTTGCCGGACCCCAGGAAGAGTAGCTGCTGCCTTGGCAGCAGCTAATGGGATCCATAATAAATACAAATATCATGCACTTGACAAATATAATTAAGTGTTATGCAGTTCAAGTTTGCATCCAACTTACCTTGAGTCACTGGAGCAGTTAAAAGTGCCAGTGCGAATGCCAAACTGAGAAACCTTTTGGACCATTTTACCCCAGTTGGCTTTGCTCAAAAGAGCATCTCGATCTTGGGCAATTACCTACAGAAAGAGATAAAGGACGATATAACATCAGTGTTTAATGTAGGAATTGTATCATTTATTTCACTGCTTGATGTTTTGTGTTAATTTATCGTCATCCTCAATATATGTGAAAAGTAGCAGACATTGAGGAACAAAGTACAGTGTTAGAGTCAAAACAACAATTATTTATTTTAGTCTGAAGATTTCAACATCAACATTTTGAACATTCAAAAATTTTACTTCTGGAAGAGCTCAGACATTTTATGTTAAAAATGGTAGCCATGTGAGGTAATATATAAGATGCTGTATTACTTTTGGAAGAGGTCTAAAGGGGGCATGCAATAAAGCAATCATATCCACCTACCTGGACCAACCAAATGCCATCTTTGGTGTCCTCCACCAACTCATAAAAATGCATCTCCCCACTGAAGGTAGTGCTGGACTCAGACTGGGACTCAGCTTGCTCCTTTTCATTCTTGATGGCAGAGTACAACTCCCCTTGCATCAGGTCACCTAGAAGAATAAAACACAGTTATGTGACGAGTACTGTTGCGGATCATGATATGTGAGGAGTACTAGCGAATCATATGTGAGGAGTACTAGCGGATCATGATATGTGAGGAGTACTAGCGAATCATATGTGAGGAGTACTAGCGAATCATGATATGTGAGGAGTACTAGCGGATCATGATTCCTTTGAGTGAGACAACTTTGACCCACTTTCTAGCAGCTTTCAGAATGACAAGTGCACTGATACTGTCATAGACCGTTTTTCCACCACCAATATGGATTTATTTGGATGTAATTTAAAACAAGCCTGAGAGTATATCAGATCACTCTATTTGCAAGTGATGTTGTTTTGATAAAATTGGTTTCTGTCATGAAAAAGTTTACCTGACTTTTCCACCAGTTCTCTGACATCCCTCTTCTCTGCAAGCCCAGAGTATCCCAGTCCTCGACATTCTAGAATGGTCTTTAATTTATTGAAACTCAGGGTTACAGGATCAACCAACTGGGTGGCAAAAAGACCCGTTTCATACCAGACAACTGCTTCAAAAAATCTGGCCAAAACGAATAACACCAAAAAATACAGCAGCAAGAAAAATAGTTTTAACCACATCTTACACTGCAAGGGGGTTACTGTAGTTACGGGGGTAAATAGCAGGGTCAGAACCCGTATCTTTTCATTGGTGTCTCGAGGTTTTGTTTAGCCTACTCGATGTAGCAGTTGTCACTAACTGCAACTATGTTACAGTAGACAGTTAGCTTGGACAACTTCAAGGTTTATCTAGCTAGCTAGATGTATCAGGGTACAGACGCTCAAAACAAGGCCGATTTTAGGCAAATAACACTACCCGATGCCCTTAGGGCAAACTGTTCGTTCTCAGAGTGTCCACCATTTTCACAAATAGTTTCGGTAGCTAGTTACATGCATCTTGAACGCTAGCAAACGAGACGTGAGAATTAGCTTCGCTAACCAGGTATTTTCGGCCCTGACTGCACAGCAAAATAATCAAGAGAAAAGCAATGTCACTGGAAGGATTAATAAAGTCCCCCACTCGTTAGCTCATTTCGCAAAAGCATCTGATAGATTATGATGCAGTCCGGTGGTCGCTGTTGTGCTGATGATCGTCGTCTTTACGGCCAGATCAGCTGGTGTACATAACAAAGTGACGCTGTCACTGTACACGTCATAACAGTTTCCGGTTCCACCACCAAGTACCGATTATAGAACAATATCCTTGGTTCAAAATAAAAGTCCCTGTCGATAATTACATAAGACTATGGTGTCCTATTGTACCATTCCTTAAGACTATGAATGACAGGAAAACAGAATATATAGTAGAGGAATTTTATATTAATTATTTTTGAAGGTTTGAAACAAGAACACACCCCAGTTGGCCTCCCGAGTGGCGCAGTGGTCTAAGGCACTGCATCGCAGTGCTAGCTGTGCCACTAGAGATCCTGGTTTGAATCCAGGCTCTGTCGTAGCCGGCCGCGACCGGGAGACCCATGGGGCGGCGCACAATTGGCCCAGCGTCGTCCAGGGTAGGGGAGGGAATGGCCGGCAGGGGATGTTGGTAGAGCATGGCGTAGTGCAACGCCAGGGTTGTGGGTTCGATTCCCACGGGGGGGGGGGGCAGTATGAAAAAAATAAAAATATATAATGTATGCACTCACTAACTGTAAGTCGCTCTGGATAAGAGCGTCTGCTAAATGACTAAAATGTAAATGTAAATGTAAACACAGATATAATTGTGTTACTGTAAATTACAGGGATGTACTCTTATTGCTACATGACTTTATCTGCTACAGATTGTGCCTGACCCCAGAGTCATTAGACCAGATTCCATCTGGTCCTATTCTGTTGCCATCACATCAGATTCTATATGTGGCCCTATTGTGAAGTCATCACATCAGAAATTCTACCCCCAGAAATGTTGTCTGTCCCAGTTGTGAGGTCATCTGATTCCTTCTGGCCCGAATGTCAGAGTTCTGTATGGCTCTAGATACTGTTCATTACAGTATCAGAACGATCATTACAGAACTGTACAGATACCATTCATTTTGCTCATCTGGCCCAAACGGGTAGGATTTTATTTTATCTGTGCACTTTGCCTATTGGATACGTACAACAAATTCATCACAAACAATGTATATGACGTAAACAGAACTTTCATATTCGTAATAATAAGGTCAACTGTGGCGTCATAATATGCATTGTGTACTGCATATGAATGAGCATGTAAACACTTGAGTTGCATTCCTGATTTGAGTTATGTTACTTAGATTTCTGCAGATGAAAAATGTTTTTGTAGATGTAACACACCTGAATGAAAAACAGACAGGTCAATCTCAGTATCAATTCCTTTTTATTTCAGAGTTGAAAACAGAAGGTCCACTGGAGTAGTAAAACACTGTTAAGGAAAATTTGTGACAATTATAAAATACATTTGGTTTATGAGGGATTAGACTATTTACCATTGACTATATTATACTATTAACACTGGTTTACTCCAATACTCTGACAAAGGGCTTTCCAACCCTGTTCCTGAAGAGCTACTATCCTGTAGGTTCACTCCAACCCTGTTCCTGGAGAGCTACCCTCCTGTAGGTTTTCGCTCCAACCCCAGTTGTAACTAACCTTATTCAACTTATCAACCAGCTAATTATTAGAATCATGTGTGGTAGATTAGGGTTGGAGTTAACCTACAGTGTACAATATCCCCCATCTAAACTTTTGTAAGAAGTAACAGGTGTATAACATGTTAGAGCAGGGCAGGATCAGAAATATTGAGAATAATTCAATGTGGGGCAGGAGAGGTTTGGGGAAAGATATTAACATTTTAAGATAAAGTGAGGCACCTCTTGATCACAGCCTTTAGTCCTAGAATAATTGGTGAAGGCAACATCATGGATAAAAATGGGTTGAGGAGCACAAAGTGTGGAATTGGCAAATGTGGGATCATGTGTGAGCTTTAGAAAGACATACCTATACCCATTTATCCATATAAACAATATTTTCAATTTTTTACATAAATCTGTCATTTCAGTAGCACCACATTGTAAGTGTATGGATAACATGCTACAAATGTATCCATCATGATTTGTTTGACTATTTGATGTCCTCAAATTATACTGCATACTTTGAAATTATTTACAAATTAGAAAATGGCATCCTTTTCCTGTGAGGATGAGTTTCTGTTTTAGTGGCTAGGTATTGGAATACTTTTTAAGGTATCGGTCGTAGGCATCATAGATGGCTTGCCTGTAAGACAAACATACCAAATAAGTAATTCAGAATATTATAAAAAGAAGACAATGGGCATCTGGCTCTTTGTGAAATTGTGAAACCATTTACTCACCGAAAAAGTCCCTGTTTGAAGAGGTAGGCGCTGATGTGGCCCCCGTTGAGATACCGCACCTCACAGCCCGGCCAGATCTCTTGTAGACTGCGCACACCTGTGCGTGGAATATAAGCATCTTCCTTTGCCTGTATCACAATGATCAGACTGGGATCCACCGGCACTGGAAAACAAAGATAGCAAGGCTTAAGTTATCTTTATACTGCACAGCTGCAGCATTTTTTGGGTCCCAGCTCTATAAGAATCTGTCAATTCTCACCTGAGAAGTTGGCGATGTGTGTGCACTCATCCATGACACCCTTCATAAAGTCCAGAGACTCAGTATGGAGGGACTGGCGTTGCCACCCACTACCACCGCCCTGGCTGATGTTGGTGTGCTGCATGTTCACGCGAGGTCCGCCGCTGCTCACAGAGGAAAGCATCTGGTCCAGCCTATGATCGTGATGCTGTCCAATCAATTGGTCCTGTCCATCAGCTACTTCCCCAGCCCGGGAGCGCAGGGCAGTGGTGTGCAGCCCCATGCGGTCCCTCTCGGGGGCATGCAGACCCAGAAGTTCCGTGGAGAGATTCAGACCAGAAAGCGTGTCAAGTGAGCTCTTTAGAAACTCCTGACCCATCTTGAAGGAATCAACCTGAAATTAAAGGTTGTCTTGTCAATTATGAACCAATTGACCGCACTAATAATGTACCAATTATTAAATAATGAACCAATCTGTAAAGCAATTTATGACAACTGCTGTAAAAAGGATTGATTGAATTGACAACATCATCTCAACCTATAAAACAGATGGTACGATATAGTACAATATGTAGGCCTAACATTATGGTATGGAATTTTAAGGTATACCCCACAGTACTCCAACAGTCTGATGATTTCCTGTTCGTACACTGAGTGCATTGCATACTGCTTCTCCAGTTCCCTCCAGTTCACAGCTTTGCTCAAAACACCCTGTAAAACACAAAGTATGTATTTCATCAGAGTACAGCGCTTAACAAATTTAGGCAGTTTTCTGATTTGCTTTTAGTTTTTAAAACCGGAAATTAAAGACTTGCCAGCATGAGAAATGTGCTTTGTAAATTTGAAATGGATAAAGGAATGCTTACTGTGGTAAAAACATTGGAAGCGGTGGTCCAGGAGAGACAGGGAATCAGCGGTATGGGCTTTGGCCAATTGGTTACAGCTAATGATGCCATCTGTGAGAAGATGAGAGCTTCCATTGATTGTTCTATCTCTTTTAGGAATTCACTTACACTGATATGTCTACTTTTGGTAATAAAGTGATTGACTGTGTGGTGTGTACTCACATGCCCTCCCATTGAGATACCAGTCATGCCGAGGGGCCAGTAGTCCTCCCTCTCCAGCCAGTGTAGCAGCACTGCAGACTCCAGGATGAGCGCTGCTCCCATCACAAAGAGGTCTGACACATTCCTCAGGCTAGAACGACTAGACAAAGCACAGAGCATAAAGCACAAATCATAACAACAATGCCATGACTCTCGAATAATTGTAGAAGTTGTGAGAGAGAAAAAAAACGACGACAGAAGGTTATGGGGATGACTTACACTTGTTCTTTTGGTTTCCGGTAGCCATGTACACGTCGCAGTTAAGAAATTGGAATAATAATATTTAAAACAATTTACAATGTAAAGAGTATATGAATACTTAAATACTTATTTTACAATTTCTCTAATTAAAAGGATATAATAAGGGTTTTCCAGGAGAAGTGATGCCATTCCTGCCTCCTTTATCATGGGTCTGGCCATGAGGGTCCGCCGCTTCCAGAAGAACTGATAATAAAGCCATAAAGACATTTTCTATGAGAGGTTGTGCATCATAAAGAAAGTTGATACCTGGTTTGTGCAGTTGATCAGGGGAAGCTATTCCATTTGATTGACAAATGTAGCTACCCTGTTAGTGCAAAGAATATTATGAACAGTGTAGTAGCTAATGTAACTTACATGATCGCCAGTCCCAGCCAAGTGAATGCATACTGGCTTGTGCTTTCTCCACTTCTTTGGAACTATAAACTGGAACCTTAAAACACAAAAAAACAGGCCTTGTGATTAGTGTCTGCTTTGAGATTGGAAAGTTGAGTCATAACAAAGACTAAAAATGGGACCCAACGCCTCTCTGCTAGGCAGTTAGCATTAAAGAGATGGATTTGGAGTGAGGCCCTGCGATAGCATCCTGTTCGGAGGAAAAACTGCCCTATGGGCTGTTCTACCTCAGACAAGGCTTCTTACTTTACTTAAAGCTGAGATCCGCATAACGTGAAACAGTGCCACTGGTCGCCATTTGTTATATATATATATATAATACATACATACATACACACATAGACACAGTTGAAGTCAGAAGTTGACATACACCTTAAACTGAATTTAAATGTATTTGTCTTTCACAATTCCTGACATTTAATTCTAGTAAAAATTCCCTTAGGTCAGTTAGGATCACCACTTTATTTAAAAAAAGTGAAATGTCAGAATAATAGTAGAGACAATTATTTATTTCAGCTTTTATTTCTTTCATCACATTCCCAGTGGGTCAGAAGTTTACATACACTCAACTAGTATTTGGTAGCATTGCCTTTAAATTGTTTAACTTGGGTCAAACGTTACGGGTAGCCTTCCACAAGCTTCCTACAATAAGTTGGGTGAATTTGGCCCATTCCTCCTGACAGAGCTGGTGTAACTGAGTCAGGTTTGTAGGCCTCCTTGCTCGCACACGCTTTTTCAGGTCTGCCCACACATTTTCTACAACCCTGGCGTTGCAAACGCCATGCTCTACCAACTGAGCTACACGGGACTACACCTTGACTTTGTTGTCTTTAAGCCATTTTGCCACAACTTTGGAAGTATGCTTGGGGTCATTGTCCATTTGGAAGAGCCATTTGCGACCAAGATTTAACTTCCTGACTGATGTCTTGAGATGTTTCTTCAATGTATCCACATAATTTTCCTTCCTCATGATGCCATCTATTTTGTGAAGTGCACCAGTCCCTCCTGCAGCAAAGCACCCCCACAGCATGATGCTGCCACCCCTGTGCTTCAAGGTTGGGATGGTGTTCTTCGGCTTGCAAGCGTCCCCCTTTTTCCTCCAAACATAATGATGGTCATTATGGCCAAACAGTTATATTTTTGTTTCATCAGACCAGGGAACATTTCTCCAAAAAGTACAATCTTTGTCCCCATGTGCATTTGCAAACCGTAGTCTGGCTTTTTTATGGTGGTTTTGGAGCAGTGGCTTCTTCCTTGCTGAACAGCCTTTCAGGTTATGTCGATATAGGACTCGTTTAACTATGGATATAGATACTTTTGCACCGGTTTCCTCCAGCATCTTCACAAGGTCCTTTGCTGTTGTTCTGGGATTTATTTGCACTTTTTGCACCAAAGTACATTCATCTCTAGGAGACAGAATGCATCTCCTTCCTGAGCGGTATGACGGCTGCGTGGTCCCATGGTGTTTATACTTGCGTACTATTGTTTGTACAGATGAATGTGGTACCTTCAGGCGTTTGGAAATTGCTCCCAAGGATGAACCAGACTTGTGGAGGTCTACAAAAAAATTTCTGAGGTCTTGGCTGATTTCTTTTGATTTTCCCATGATGTCAAGCAGAGGCACTGAGTTTGATGGTAGGCCTTGAAATACATCCACAGGTACACCTCCAATTGACTCAAATGATGTCAATTAGCCTATCAGAAGCTTCTAAAGGAATGACATCTTTTTCTGGAATTTTCCAAGCTGTTTAAAGGCACATTCAACTTAGTGTATGTAAACTTCTGACCCACTGGAATTGTGATACAGTGAATTATAAGTGAAATAATCTGTCTATAAACAATTGTTGGAAAAATTACTTAACCGACTTGCCAAAACGAGTTTGTTAACAAGACATTTGTGGAGTGGTTGAAAAACGAGTTTTAATGACTCCAACCTACAGTGGGGAGAACAAGTATTTGATACACTGCCGATTTTGCAGGTTTTCCTACTTACAAAGCATGTAGAGGTCTGTAATTTTTATCATAGGTACACTTCAACTGTGAGAGACGGAATCTAAAACAAAAATCCAGTAAATCACATTGTATGATTTAAGTAATAAATTTGCTTTTTATTGCATGACATATGTATTTGATCACCTACCAACCAGTAAGAATTCCGGCTCTCACAGACCTGTTAGTTTTTCTTTAAGAAGCCCTCCTGTTCTCCACTCATTACCTGTATTAACTGCACCTGTTTGAACTCGTTACCTGTATAAAAGACACCTGTCCACACACTCAATCAAACAGACTCCAACCTCTCCACAATGGCCAAGACCAGAGAGCTGTGTAAGGACATCACGGATAAAATTGTAGACCAAGGCAAGGCTGGGATGGGCTACAGGACAATAGGCAAGCAGCTTGGTGAGAAGGCAACAACTGTTGGTGCAATTATTCGAAAATGGAAGCAGTTCAAGATGACGGTCAATCACCCTCGGTCTGGGGCTCCATGCAAGATCTCACCTCGTGGGGCATCAATGATCATGAGGAAGGTGAGGGATCAGCCCAGAACTACACGGCAGGACCTGGTCAATGACCTGAAGAGAGCTGGGACCACAGTCTGAAAGAAAACCATTAGTAACACACTCCGCCGTCATGGATTAAAATCCTGCAGCGCACGCAAGGTCCCCCTGCTCAAGCCAGCGCATGTCCAGGCCCGTCTGAAGTTTGCCAATGACCATCTGGATGATCCAGAGGAGGAATGGGAGAAGGTCATGTAGAGCTTTTTGGTCTAAACTCCACTCGCCATGTTGGGAGGAAGAAGAAGGATGAGTACAACCCCAAGAACACCATCCCAACCGTGAAGCATGGAGGTGGAAACATCATTCTTTGGGGATGCTTTTCTGCAAAGGGGACAGGACGACTGCACCGTATTGAGGGGAGGATGGATGGGGCCATGTATCGCGAGATCTTGGCCAACAACCTCCTTCCCTCAGTAAGAGCATTGAAGATGGGTCGTGGCTGGGTCTTCCAGCATGACAACGACCCGAAACACACAGCCAGGGCAACTAAGGAGTGGCTCCGTAAGAAGCATCTCAAGGTCCTGGAGTAGCCTAGCCAGTCTCCAGACCTGAACCCAATAGAAAATCTTTGGAGGGAGCTGAAAGTCCGTATTGCCCAGCGACAGCCCCGAAACCTGAAGGATCTGGAGAAGGTCTGCATGGAGGAGTGGGCCAAAATCCCTGCTGCAGTGTGTGCAAACCTGGTCAAGACCTACAGGAAATGTATGATCTATGTAATTGCAAACAAAGGTTTCTGTACCAAATAAAAAGTTCTGCTGATGTATCGAAAAAATAATTATGTCATGCAATAAAATGCAAATTAATTACTTAAAAATCATACAATGTGATTTTCTGGATTTTTGTTTTAGATACCATCTCTCACAGTTGAAGTGTACCTATGATAAAAATTACAGACCTCTACATGCTTTGTAAGTAGGAAAACCTGCAAAATCGGCAGTGTATCAAATACTTGTTCTCCCCACTGTAAGTAAACTCCCAACTTCAACTGTGTATATATAACTACCAGTAAAAGGTTTGGACATTACTCATTCAAGGGTTTTTCTTTATTTTTATTATTTTCTACATTGTAATAATAATAGTGAAGAAATCAAAACTATGAAATAACACACATGGAATCATGTAGTAACCAAAAAAGTGTTAAACAAATATATTTGAGATTCTTCAAATAGCCACCCCTTGCCTTGATGACAGCTTTGCACACTTGGCATTCTCTCAACCAGCTTCATGAGGTAGTCACCTGGAATGCAAATCAATTAACCGGTGTGCCTTCTGAAGTTAATTTATGGAATTTATTTCCTTAATGCGTTTGAGACAATCAGTTGTGTTGTGACAAGGTAGGGGGGGTATACAGAAGATAGCCCTATTTGGTAAAATATCAAGTCCATATTATGTAAAGAACAGCTCAAATAAGCAAAGAGAAATGACAGTCCATCATTACTTTAAGACATGAAGGTCAGTCAATACAGAAAACTTCAAGAACTTTTAAAGTTTCTTCAAGTGCAGTCGCAAAAAGCATGAAGCGCTATGATGAAACTGGCTCTCATGAGGACCGCGACAGGAATGGAAGACCCAGAGTTACCTCTGCTGCAGAGGATACGTTCATTAGAGATACCAGCCTCAGAAATTGCAGCCCAAATAAATGCATCACAGAGTTCAAGTAACAGACACATCTCAACATCAACTGTTCAGAGGGGACTGTGTGAATCAGGCCTTCATGGTCGAATTACTGCAAAGAAACCACTACTAAAGGACACCAATAAGAAGAAGAGATCTGCTTGGGCCAAGAAACACAAGCAATGGACATTAGACCAGTGGAAATGTGTCCTTTGGTCTGGAGTCCAAATTGGAGATTTTGGGTTCCAACCGCCGTGTCTTTGAGACGCGGTGTGGGTGAACGGATTATCTCTGCATGTGTATTTCCCACCATAAAGCATGGAGGAGGTGGTGTTATGGTGTGGGGGTGCTTTGCTGGTGACACTGTCTGTGATTTATTTAGAATTCAAGGCACACTTAACCAGCATGGCTACCACAGCGATACGCCATCCCATCTGGTTTGGGCTTAGTGGGACTATCAGTTGTTTTTCAACAGGACAATGACCCAACACACCTCCAGGCTGTGTAAGGGCTATTTTACCAAGAAGGAGAGTGATGGAGTGCTGCATCAGATGACCTGGCCTCCACAATCCCCCGACCTCAACCCAGTTGAGATGGTTTGGGATGAGTCGGACTGCAGAGTGAAGGAAAAGCAGCCAACAAGTGCTCAGCATATGTGGGAACTCCTTCAAGACTGTTGGAAAAGCATTCCAGGTGAAGCTGGTTGACAGAATGCCAAGAGTGTGCAAAGCTGTCATCAAGGCAAAGGGTGGCTATTTGAAGATTATCAAATATAAATATATTTTGATTTGATTAACCCTTTAAAGCTTCCTACATGATTCCATGTGTTATTTCATAGTTTTGATTTCTTCACTATTATTCTACAATGTAAGAAATAGTCAAAATAAAGAAAAACCCTTCAATAAGTAGGTGTGTCCAAACTTTTGACTGGTGCTGTATATGTAATTATTTTGTTACGGGTCAGAGTAGCATCTTGCATCGTGGTTAAAAAAAATAATCATAGTAATAGTACATACTCTGCATTTCTATTGCACATGCAATGATGTCAGAGGGGGAAAAATTGTGTTCGTTGTTTGAAGTAACATCTTTGTTGTAATATCGCAAACGGACGTGTCAGTTTCACCGCTGCGGATTCCAGCTTTAACAAAAAAAGCTGCATGAAATGAAAACTCAGAAGTAAGATCAAATCAATCATAGATTTTTCCAAGTCATAGGAGACATGGTCTATTATTACTATATGGCAATCTGCATAATTTGACTAATCATTTAGTGACAGTACTATTTCCATTACCTGGCTTTGACGGACTCGGATGGCAAGATACCGGGGACAATGTGTTCCAGGGGAGATATGAAATACCCATTGTGGATTTTGCAGTCAGACTGATCTTCTACCTAAAAACAATAGCAAAAAAACATACAACTGCATGATGTTTCACTATAAAACAGGTTGAGTCAATGGCAATGAAAAAAAATGGAAAGGTACAGTAAGCGTTTGTTAAGACTTTAGGCTGAACAAAAGCTCTATCAGATTGAAGTGAGGGAGGGGTACCTTGTCAATAAACACGGGATAGTCCTTAGGTACCAGTTCCTTACACTTCTCTCTATCGCCAACGATTTTCCGTAACTCAAATATTCTGTGGAAATATGAAGGGTGGTTAAATATACACTGCCAAAAAAATAAGAATGAGGTGAAAATTGACTTAGTGATTGCCATGCCCTATATGACAGTGGGGATATTGTAGGCTACCTTTTCAGATCATCAGGCTTTCCCCAACCTTGGATGAAAAGCTTGGTGAGGAGAAGCTTTCTGTAAAGAACATCCAGCCGGCTTACACCCATTGACAAGGATCTCTCATCTGAATGATAAGCCAGAAAATAAGCCCATTAGATTGCATTTAGATGTCATACATAAACATTTATCCCTGAAAAACAGGAAACACCAGCTTTCGTGAACCCCGCGGAGAGTGCACAACAGGTGACAACAGGCGCGTTTAAGAGTGGCTGAGATCCTTCGTACGTATAAATTCGGATTGCCATCCTAGCGTCGCCTTCATGTTGGTGCTAACAAGCAGGCTAGATAGTGCTAGGATTCAATAGTCAATCCAGTAGGGGCTAGAAACTATAGTGAGCTTCGATTGATCAATAGCATCGCGATGTTCCGAAATGCGAGACAAAATGTCAGTTCCCCCAACTTTGGTCCAGCCCTGTTCACACTCCTTTGGCCATGTTTGCATAGCCCAACGTCCGCCCCGCCCACTAACTTCAAAATGAATGGGGCTCCGTTATTTCATAACCCCCAACGTTTTAGACGAAAGTCAAGGAGTGAGCTCTGCGACAGCCGGACACAAATGTGGTTATACAACAAGGCTCAGATCAACATGGTAGTGTTGCAATTGTTTATAAATGCAATCTTTATAATGTCGAAATAAACATGGCTCCAACCCCCATCTCACAAACTCAGTCAAAAAAATAATAATTCGTGTGTATAGTAGCCTCAAAAATAACATTCATATCCATTCTTTACATGAATCGCGGCAAAGATGGTTCCTGTTCCAGTCATGTCTTTGGTCACGTACGCGTGGTCAAACAAAAACACCCTAATGATTGGTTGACAATCGCGCCTCCCACAATGCAGGCGATGGCTGCAGGATGAAGTTGGTAAAGAACACTTAGAGCAACTTGCAGTCTAAACTTCATGACCTTTGATCACATGATTTTTGTCAAGTTCATGTAGTCGCAAGTCGGACAATGATTAAATAATACAACACACTTTGAAAGGCTATGACCAACGATGGTCACCGATTTGACAAAAGTGAACCGCTCGAACGCGCCCAACGTTAAATGTGAACTTCGCCTGACTGACAGGTCTTACAATTAAATTAATTGTTGTATGCCGACGTCACGCCTAAGGTAATCACGAGACAACAAAAAAAAGCGTTGTAGAAAGAAGAGATTATACCTCAAATTGAAACGGTGTGTGATGGCCTTTCGCTGACAACTCAGTCTTGGAATTGTATGTTTAGCGTAGAGGGCGAATTCAACTACCGCTGGGCTCCGCACGTCCCAGCGTTCCATGCGAATTGTAAAACGGATGTAGCTATTTCTTTTTCTGTGGTGTTTGTAAATGCCCTTTGGATTAGTCACTTTTGAGATTGCTGCCACCTTTTGACCTGGAATAGTGACAAAAAATACATGTATACGCTAGTGATACAGAGTTTACTGATTCAAAATCAACTTTTTTAAACTGTTGGATAATAAAACTAATTATAGATTTTGATGTCCAGAAATGTCATGGTCATTGGGTGTGACTTGACCTATTGGATACATTGAGGAGTGGCATGAACTGTTGTTGATTGTCCAGCAGGTAGCGGTAGCACTCAATATTCTGCCTGGGTTTGTGTTCACTAGCTAGCTAACGTTATATGTCAACAGAAGGCATCAGGAGACAGGAAGCTACTAGTCACTAGCTAGCTAGTTGGCTTTGCTAACGTTACTGTTTGCTGACTCGGGTACATTCTGAATTCGACATATAGTGGGAAATGTTACTTATGTAGCTAAGCCAAGACTAAGCACTTTATTTTTTTCAGTTGGTCTGAAACGCTCAGCCAGTTAGCTTACTTGAGTTGCCTTGCTAGTTAGCGTCAGCTGGCTTGGTAAGTAGCTAGCTTGCTAATCGCCTTTACTACAAACTACCATTTCTGTCACTGTGTGCACGTCGACAATTGATCATAACATGAATGTGTCAACTTGAATGTAGCCAGCTATTTCCACGAGCCAATGCAATCCAATTTGATTGCCTCTTTCTTTCTGAATTGGCTCTGGTGATTGTTGTTATGCCCAGCTAGCTAGCTAATAGTACAGCCATTGTAAGCTCATTAATCACAACTGTGTGATCGTATTTGTAGGGCAGTCATCAGCTGTAACAACTGTCAATACTTGTGACCTGTTGTATGACTCACATGTCTTTTGTTTATTGTGTTTTTACTGTTTTAGTATTATTTTCACAATGTACTCGCAATTCTGCTTGTTGCTGCCAGTTGTACAATGTCTTGTTGAAGTAAAACACTTTTTTATTTTCTCATACAAACCTATGTTGTGCACCTGTCATTGCAGACGTACATAGCTATCTACAGTTGTAAACAGTTTGTGTTGTCTGCTCCACGTTCAGATTGCAGCAGCCTCAAATCATGATGAGTCCGACCCAATGGGACCTGCCCCCGGAGCTGTGCTGCCGGCCCATGGCCTTTGTGGCCCTGACCGGGCTGGATGTAACTTACAACGCCATCCATAGGGCAATCTGGGATGCCTTCTGTGCCAACAGGAGGGCCGACAGGGTGCCCATCTCATTCAAGGTCCTTCCAGGAGACCATGAATACCCAAAGTGTAGGACCAAAGTAAGTGCTGCTTGATGAGGTTGCCCTGTTTACCCACTTACATAATTTGTTCTCATACACAAACATTTGGGTCGTAGGCACTAAAGCACAACGGTAGCAAAACAGTTACAAAACGGTGTGCAACGGAAAACAACAGAAACAAGCGTTCAGATAGTAGATGAGGCTACCTCCCCGTTTCAACCTGTATGCGTCATGCCTATAAGTGAATACGACCCTGTTTTTGTTTTCTCAGAGAACCTCCTATGAGTGGTACATCCCCAAAGGGATCTTGAAGACAGGATGGATGAACAAGCACCTGAACCTGGTGCCTGCCTTGCTGGTACTGTTCTATGAGCTGGACTGGGATGATGCAGTCTGGAAGGAGAAGCAGTCAGAGTGTGCCACTAAAGTAGAGATTGTCAGGTACTGTAGTACAACTCCTCTGCACTGGTCGTACATGAAGATCTACAGTTGAACTCGGAAGTTTACATACACCTTAGCCAAATACATTTAAACAGTTTCACAATTCCTGACATTTAATCCTAGTAAAAATTCCCAGGTCTTAGGTCAGTTAGGATCACCACTTTATTTTAAGAATGTGAAATGTCAGAATAAAAATAGAGTGAATTATTTCAGCTTTTATTTCTTTCATCACATTCCCTGTGGGTCAGAAGTTTACATACACTCAATTAGTATTTGGTAGCATTGCCTTTAAATTGTTTAACTTGGGTCAAATGTTTCCGGTAGCCTTCCACAAGCTTCCCACAGTAAGTTGGGTGAATTTGGCCCATTCCTCCTGACAGAGCTGGTGTAACTGAGTCAGGTTTGTAGGCCTCCTTGCTCGCACACGCTTTTTCAGTTCTGCCCACAAATTGTCTATAGGATTGAGGTCAGGGCTTTGTGATGGCCACTCCAATACCTTGACTTTGTTGTCCTTAAGCCATTTTGCCACAACTTTGGAAGTATGCTTGGGGTCATTGTCCATTTGGAAGAGCCATTTGCGACCAAGCTTTAACTTCCTGACTGATGTCTTGAGATGTTGCTTCAATATATCCACATAATTTTCCTTCCTCATGATGCCATCTATTTTGTGAAGTGCACCAGTCCCTCCTGCAGCAAAGCACCCCCACAGCATGATGCGGCCACCCCCGTGCTTCACGGTTGGAATGGTGTTCTTCGGCTTGCAAGCCTTCCCCTTTTTCCTCCAAACATAATGATGGTCATTATGGCCAAACAGTTATATTTTTGTTTAATCAGATCAGAGGACTTTTCTCCAAAAAGTACAATCTTTGTCCCCATGCGCAGTTGCAAACCGTAGTCTGGCTTTTTTATGGCGGTTTTGGAGCAGTGGCTTCTTCCTTGCTGAGTGGCCTTTCAGGTTATGTCGATATAGGACTAGTTTTACTGTGGATATAGATACGTTTGTACCTGTTTCCTCCAGAATCTTCACAAGGTCCTTTGCTGTTGTTCTGGGATTTATTTGCACTTTTTGCACCAAAGTACGTTCATCTCTAGGAGACAGAATGCGTCTCCTTCCTGAGCGGTATGACGGCTGCGTGGTCCCATGGGGTTTATACTTGCATACTATTGTTTGTACCGATGAACGTGGTACCTTCAGGCATTTGGAAATTGCTCCCAAGGATGAACCAGACTTGTGGAGGTCAACAATTTTTTAAATTTTTTTATTTTTTTATTTTATTTTTCCCCTGAGGTCTTGGCTGATTTCTTTTGATTTGCCTATGATGTCAAGCAAAGAGGCACTGAGTTTGAAGGTAGGCCTTGAAATACATCCACAAGTACACCTCCAATTGACTCAAATTATGTCAATTAGCCTATCAGAAGCTTCTAAAGCCATGACATCATTTTCTGGAATTTTCCAAGCTCTTTAAAGGCACAGTCAACTTAGTGTATGTAACTTCTGACCCACTGGAATTGTGATACAGTGAATTATAAATGAAATAATCTGTCTGTAAACAATTGTTGGAAAAATTACTTGTGTCATGCACAAAGTAGATGTCCTAACCGACTTGCCAAAACGATAGTTTGTTAACAAGAAATTTGTGGAGTGGTTGAAAAACGAGTTTTAATGACTCCAACCCAAGTGTATGTAAACTTCCGACTTCAACTGTATAGTGGTGGTTTGTTGAGTTGAAGCAATGTATATCATGAATATGTCATGTCATTCACAGAACAAGCCTTCAAGGAAGAAACACCAAGGTTGCAGTTGTCTTAATTCAGAAGAAAACCCCTCTTCCTCCAGGTAATTTCATCTACAGTTCTACAGAGAATAGATGTTGATTGTAGTGTTAGGTTTTATGATCAACATAGCCACAATATTACATCTGTACGACTGACAACCATGTCAGGACTGTAGGGATTGTATTGTGTCACGCAATGTATGTTTAGGCTGCATACTTTGACTCTGACTGAATTTGTGCTGCTGCCGTCTGTGCCTAGGTGAGGACCTGGTGGCTTCAGAGAGGGCTGCTTCCCTGTGCAATGCCTGTGACCTGTCTGGGAAGTCTCTCTTCGTCCTCCCTCACACTGATCACCTGGTGGGCTACATCATCAGGTAAGTCATTCATCTTGGTGGGAGCCGAGATCAGCTCAAATGCCCTGAGCCAAATGACTGATAGCCGTGTTGACACCATCATCTCCTAATATATTTACATTACATGTATGTTTGCCTTATCACAAAGCCTCCCAAGAATGTGTTATGTACTTATTGGTTGGATGCCACTGCAGGCTGGAAAATGCGTTCTATGAGCATGCACAGACCTACTACTACACAGAGATTAGGAGGGTCAAATCCCACAAAGAGTTCCTCAACAAAACAACCCATCAGGTGAGACATGACAGACATATTGTGTATGTTTTCCTGGTTCCCTATGATCTCCACCACCACTATGTTAATCGATAACTCCTCCAAGTCTCTCCATGTAATTATTATTTTAATGACTTAATTTGCAGCTAAGCTAATGCTGGTTATTTCACGGCAGTGTCATCAACCGGTGCATGTTGTTGTTGTTGCAGTTGCTGTTTGTGAGACACCAGTTTAAGATTGCATTCTTCAGTGAGCTCAAGCAAGACACACAGAATTCGCTAAAGTAAGTCCAACCCAGCTCAACTGGCTCGTGTCGTGCATATGATCAGTCTTACGACGCAGCTCTAGTACTGTCTTGTCACATCAGTAGTACTGTCTGTCTTGTCACATCAGTAGTACTGTCTGTCTTGTCACATCAGTAGTACTGTCTGTCTTGTCACATCAGTAGTACTGTCTGTCTTGTCACATCAGTAGTACTGTCTGTCTTGTCACATCAGTAGTACTGTCTGTCTTGTCACATCAATAGTACTGTCTGTCTTGTCACATCAGTAGTATTGTCTGTCTTGTCACATCAGTAGTACTGTCTGTCTTGTCACATCAGTAGTACTATCTGTCTTGTCACATCAGTAGTACTGTCTGTCTTGTCACATCAGTAGTACTGTCTGTCTTGTCACATCATTGGTACCGTCTGTCTTGTCACATCATTAGTACTGTCTGTCTTGTCACATCAATAGTACTGTCTGTCTTGTCACATCATTAGTACTGTCTGTCTTGTCACATCATTGGTACCGTCTGTCTTGTCACATCAGTAGTACTGTCTGTCTTGTCACATCATTAGTACCGTCTGTCTTGTCACATCATTAGTACTGTCTGTGATGCAGGTACTACAGGACTGCCTACAGCCTTGTACATGAGCTGAGAACCCACGAGACCAACATGCTGGAGATAAAGGCCATGGCTGGATTCATAAACTACAAGGTGCTTTTAGATCATTTTGAACTGTAATGCAGACATTGTGCTCCCAACATATAGACTTTGCTGTATACCCTGTTGGGTTACATGTGTAACAGAACCTCTTTTCTGTTTTCAGATCTGTCGACTATGCTTCCAACACAACACACCTTTGGATGCCATTGCTCAGTTCAGGAAGCATATTGATCTGTGCAAGAAGAAGATTGGCAGTGCAGAGCTGGCATTTGAGCACACAGCCTGGATGTCCAAGCAGTAAGAAGTCAATACCCACTTCCCTACCTTTCTTCCCTGAAGCCATCCTTGGTAATAACCCATCTCCACCCATTTCCTCACTCCCAGGTTCCAGTCTTTTGGTGACCTGTTTGATGAGGCGATCAAGCTGGGTCTGACGGCCATCCAGACTCAGAACCCTGGCTTCTACTACCAGCAGGCTGCCTACTATGCCCAGGAACGAAAGCAGCAAGCAACTCACCTGTGTGCCCATGAGGTACGGCAATGCATGTGTGACTGAGACAGCTGTCTTTCACAAGACTGCAGAAGCTTAAGAGGGGAACAATATATGTATATAGAAACACTATTGCTGCACTTCCACCACACCGGTGTGCCGCAAGGGTTTTATGTTAATGTGTAATTGTGTGTCCATCAGGAGTGTGACACTAAAGACTTAGGGTGAGCAGAACCTCTGCATCATCAAGACAGTCGTTTTGTGAGAAGATGTTATAGTTCACAGTTAGCCATTGTTATGTAAATGACAGCTGAAAGTACCAGTGGCCTGGCTTTGTCCCCAAGTGAGAGCAGGTCCTCCGGAGCCATGGCCCAGTGAGACACGGGTGCTAGCCCGCGTAGATGGAAACAGAAAAGTCTGAGCCTTTTGGGTAAAACACTGGGGGAAATCTCAGATGGAATCTCAACATATGAGTATATCATTTGTAATGTATGGTATTGATATGGACTAATATTTTTGTTGATGTCTGCATCGTAGATTCTTCATGCAGTGCAATCATTCTAGCTTACACACAGCATTACAATAGTGTCAGAAAGCCTCTATGCCCCCTCATGGTATCCCCACCATGACAGTTATCACATGTTGTGTTCCCCCTCCACAGGCCAGTGTGAGTTCCCCCTCCCCAGACCACCTAGAGACATCCAGCGGAGCTCTGGACTTCTATGGGCAGAGAGCCTGGAGGCAAGGCCACCAGAGTGAGTATGCCCACCTCAACACTGATCTTTCAGCACTAAAAGTAGCTTTTATGTGTTTAGACTTGTGTGTACAGATATGATGTTCAGGCGTTGAAACCAAGAATGCTCTCCTGATCAGTCTCTCAGTTTCTAAATATTTATTGAAATATGTCTTCTTTTGTATTTGCAGGTATTGATCCCCCACACATGGAGAAGGAGAAAGGAGGGATCCTGGCACTGCAAATGAAGGAGAAGGATGTTCCCCACTCCGTTAGTCCACATTCACTTAATCACTCATTCACTCATTCACTCAGCACGGCACAGCCATTCTCATGTTCTACAAACTGAAGCCTCTCTCAGTGCCTGAAGGCTACACATTGCTACACAGCGTAGGGCTTGCACGGTACATGAGTGTAGACCTACAGTAGGTTAACGATAGAAAGTTCTAACCCTCATGGTAAATACACTGACTTTTGTGGAAGAAGGCCATGCCAGGTTCCCATGTCAAAGGAGGTTAAGTTTTATGGTGTATGACAATGAATAAAACCACTAAGCAGCACAAAAGTGAATTCTGGATTTGGATGTGATTTGGATGATACTGCAACATTAAGAACTGAAATGACTGGTTTGCTCCATGAACAGTGAGGAATAAATATATATTAACAGCGTTACCATATTGCCAGGTCTGAAACATGTTTTGTTCAGTGGACATTCATTTGCAGGGCCAGTTTCTATACAGTAAACAGAAGGTTCAGTCTTGTGGCACGCTTCACTAGTGATGTAGGGCAGTATCTGGTAATATGATTCACTTTTAGGAAGAATACCATGAGAACCGCACCAAAGTTTTCTTCAATTCTTATGGCATGGTTGAAAAAGGAGGAAATTAAGAAATTATCATAGGATTATTAAGCCAAGCAAAATACTGATTCTTGGTTTAACTTGGTTTATTATGCCAAAAGCTACTCTAAGCAATTTGCTGCTGCTTCCTCAGATTGATGCGAAGTTCCATACATGTATTTGATCTATAGCTTAATACTTCACTAGCCCTGAATGACTTACCCATATGCCATTATGATAAGATCTCTCTTACCAGCCAATCATATTATCCTTATTCAGTGCTGTAGTACTCTGTCTTGAGACCACATATTGAATGATTCGGTCTTATCTTGGTGTCGGATACATTTTTACTCTGTCTTGACTCAGTCTCGGACAACGAGGACCTGTAATTGCTTTCAGAGACCAGTGGAGTAAAAACTCGACTCGGTCTCGCCCCTCCTGTCTTGGTCTTGACTCTGTCTAGCCACCCCTCCTGTCTTGGTCTTGACTCTGTCTAGCCACCCCTCCTGTCTTGGTCTTGACTCTGTCTAGCCACCCCTCCTGTCTTGGTCTTGACTCTGTCTAGCCACCCCTCCTGTCTTGGTCTTGACTCTGTCTAGCCCCCCTCCAGTCTTGGTCTTGACTCGGTCTCGCCCCCCCTCCGGTCTTGGTCTTGACTCTGTCTAGCCCCCCTCCTGTCTTGGTCTTGACTCTGTCTAGCCCCCCTCCAGTCTTGGTCTTGACTCTGTCTAGCCCTCCCTCCTGTCTTGGTCTTGACTCGGTCTCGCCCCCCCTCCTGTCTTGGTCTTGACTCTGTCTAGCCCCCCTCCTGTCTTGGTCTTGACTCTGTCTAGCCCCCCTCCTGTCTTGGTCTTGACTCTGTCTAGCCCCCCTCCTGTCTTGGTCTTGACTCTGTCTAGCCCCCCTCCAGTCTTGGTCTTGACTCTGTCTAGCCCCCCTCCTGTCTTTGTCTTGACTCTGTCTAGCCCCCCTCCTGTCTTTGTCTTGACTCTGTCTAGCCCCCCTCCTGTCTTTGTCTTGACTCTGTCTAGCCCCCCTCCTGTCTTTGTCTTGACTCTGTCTAGCCCCCCTCCGATCTTGGTCTTGACTGTCTAGCCCCCCTCATGTCTTGGTCTTGACTCTGTCTAGCCCCCCTCCAGTCTTGGTCTTGACTCTGTCTAGCCCCCCTCCGGTCTTGGTCTTGACTCTGTCTAGCCACCCCTCCTGTCTTTGTCTTGACTCTGTCTAGCCCCCCTCCGATCTTGGTCTTGACTCTGTCTAGCCCCCCTCCGGTCTTGGTCTTGACTCTGTCTAGCCCCCCTCCGGTCTTGAATCGGTCTCGCTTTAGGTGGTCTTGAACACCACACTATCCCTATTCCAGATGCCTTTTCCAAGCAAAGAGTGTGTGTGTGTGTGTCTGTCTGTCTGTGAGTGTGTGTGTGTGTGTGGGAGAGAGTCTCTGATTGTTCTGTTTGCTGTATTTCAGGAGCTGATCATTGCTCTGCTCAGCAACGCTGTAGCTCAGTTCAAGAAATACAAGTGTCCTCGGATGAAGAGCCACCTGAGTGAGTTCTGCCCTGGGCTGAAGGGGGACAGTGAATTTGGAGCATATTGTTACCATAAGCATCACTTTTGTGTACGTCTACATGTACTTATCAAAGTTGATTGTCTGTCTGTCTCCAGTGGTGCAGATGGGAGAGGAGTACAACCATGCCAAGGACTACACCAAAGCACTAAAGTAAGCCTTACTCAGCAGACACAGTGGGCCAAAAGTCAAATGTGTTACTAAGTCAATTAGAGTATAATAACAAATCCCCACTGTCATTGGGCGCATGCCTGACTTCTAGAAAATTACTGGACCAATTGCAACCATTGATGGCCACTACATTATCGGCAGCTGATCTCTCGTTAAACCAGAAATACGCGCTAAAATCATTATCATCGGAACAATTTAATCCTGCAATTTGAGGAGACTAAGGGCGATTTATCAATTTGACAATCATTCTGTATAACTGATATAAATTATTTATTTTCCTTGTTTACCACGGCAAATCTACTATGGCAATGTAGCCTACCCTACACATTTTAAGAATGGAAAAATCATGGTGTAGGATACATTTTTTGCTTCCAATTTATGTATACATTAATGATTTTACTTGTCTTAATAATATAGCCGGTGGCCATTTCTTATCAAGAGGGGAAGAAAGTATTCCTGAACTGTAGGCTACACATTTGACATTTGAAACTAAATTATGATTGTGTTATTTTTATCATATGATTGTATTCTAATAAAGTTATTTAAAGTTGCACAAATTATATTATAATTGTAAAAAAATATATATATATATAATCGCTTAAAAAAAACATAAAAATAGCATACAGATTTGTCTATGTGATTGTCTCTAAGTGATTGTCTCTACGTGATTGTCTGTGCGTGATGAGCTTGTTCATGGTTAGGCTGGTAGTGAAGAGTAACATTTCCTATGTTGTGTGGATGGCAGAGATTATTTATTTATTTATTTATTTATTTGTAGAACAACGTGGTAACACTTAATAGTGAACCTTTATATGTTCCTACAGGACTACAGTAATTACGCCAGTAAGCCTACTCTGGCATATTGTACTTTATTGAAGAAACTATGTCTGAATTGGAAAGAAATGTGGTAGGGAGAGTAGACTAACGTCGTATTATTTGGAAGTTGTTATTTTAACCAAAGAAACAGGTGTAAGGTTCTTTTTGTTTTTTAATGATATTTAAATTGTCTATCACATGTTGTTGCAATCTATACCACTTTCATTTGCAATATGGTTATTCATTAAGTTTATTTTCGCAGAATAGTAGCCTCGATGTACACAGTGCATTCGGAAAGTATTCAGACCCCTTCCCTTTATCCACATTATTTTACGTTACAGCCTTCTAAAATTGATTAAATAAAACTTTTTCCTCATCGATCTACACACACTACCACTTAATGACAACGCTAAAACAGGTTTTTAGAAATTGTAGCACATTTATTTAAAAAAATACAAAACAGAAATACCTTATTTACATAAGTATTCAGACCCTTTCCTATGAGACTCGAAATTGAGCTCAGGTGCATCCTGTTTCCATTGATCACCCTTGAGATGTTTCTACAACTTGATTGGAGTCCATTTGTGGTAAATTCAATTGATTGGAAATTATTTAGACAGGCACACACCTGTCTATATAAGGTCCCACAGTTGACAGTGCATGTCAGAGCAAAAACCAAGCCACGGAATTGTCCGTAGCGCTCCGAGAAAGCATTGTGTCGAGGCACAGATCTGGGGAAGGGTAACAAAAAAATTCTGCAGCATTGAAGGTCCCCAAGAACACAATGGCCTTGGAACCACCAAGACTCTTCCTAGAGCTGGCTGCCCGACCAAACTGAGCAATCGGGGGCAAAGGGCCTTGGTCAGGGAGGTGACCAAGAATCCTCTGTGGAGGATGGGAGAACCTTCCAGAAGGACAACCATCTCTGCAGCACTCCACCAATCAGGCCTTTTATAGTAGAGTGGCCAGACGGAAGCCACTCCTCAGTAAAAGGCACATGACAGCCCGCTTGGAGACTCTCAGACCATGAGAAACAAGATTCTCTGGTCTGATGAAACCAAGATTGAGCTCTTTGGCCTGAATGCCAAGCGTCACGTCTGGAGGAAACCTGGCACCATCCCTACGGTGAAGCATGGTGGTGGCAGCATCATGCTGTGGGGATGTTTTTCAGTGGCAGGGACTGGGAGACTAGTCAGGATCGAGGGAAAGATGAACAGAGCAAAGTACAGAGAGATCCTTGATGAAAACCTGCTCCAGAGCACTCAGGACCTCAGACTGGGGCGAAGGTTCACCTTCCAACAGGACAACGACCTTAAGCACACAGCCAAGACAACGCAGGAGTGGCTTCGGGACAAGTCTCTGAATGTCCTTGAGTGGCCCAGCCAGAACCTGGAATTGAACCCGATCTAACATCTCTGGAGAGACCTGAAAATAGCTGTGCCGTGACGCTTCCCATCCAACCTGACAGAGCTTGAGAGGATCTGCAGAGAAGAATGGGAGAAACTCCCCAAATACAGGTGTGCCAAGCTTGTAGCGTTATACCCAAGAAGACTCAAGGCTGTAATCGCTGCCAAATGTGCTTCAACAAAGTACTGAGTAAAGGGTCTGAATACTTATGTAAATTTGATATTTCTGTGTTTTTGATTTGTCATTATGGGGTATTGTGTGTAGATTGAGGGGAAAAACGATTTAATCCATTTTAGAATAAGGCTGTAACGTAACAAAATGTGGAAAAAGTCACATTTCCAGTCAAGTCATTTTATTTCCGTTTTAATATGTCATTCTTCCATTTCTCATTTCATATTTCAATGTCATTGTTCCTGATAGGATGTTACTTCATTGGGTTGGGAGTAGTGAACGCAGACAATGACCATTTCTGCTGTATAGTATCAAGCCAACTTGACACCGTAACAACGGCAGATCAACTGGTCTGCTAATTAAATCTGCTGTTCTTTTTCCGTTGCAACCATGGTTATTTTAGTTTGGAGCTCCGTGTAATCTCCTGTTTAGTAGCGTGTTAAGAAATACAGCGGTAATCTGCAGATGCGCGTTCTTCGTTGCAATGCAGCCACTATGACTAGACAATTTCTTATTGTCATAAGTCCTGAAAGAACATAATTTGCCCCTTCATGGTTGCTGACAATTTATTGAAGTCGTTGTTTGCCATGCATTCCAGTAATTATGCCATAACTCTCTTTTATATTGGCAGTCAAAGCTGCAATATTATACATGTGATTAGATTGAATAATTAAACGTTTTAGATAAGTGAATCATTGTGAAACTTACCTAGCTATGTTGGTCTGTGTGTCTATGTGCAGACTGCTGGACTATGTGATGTGTGACTACCGTACAGAGCGCTGGTGGAGCCTGCTCACCTCCATCCTGAGCACAGCGCTACGGTGCTCCTACCTGATGGCCCACGTCAAGGACTACATCACCTACTCCATGGAGCTGGTCGGACGAGGTACACTACGGTATAGGACAGTATAGTACAGGACAGTATTGTATAGTACAGGACAGTATTGTATATGACAGGACAGTATAGTATTTTTTTATTTTACCTTTATTTAACTAGGCAAGTCAGTTAAGAACAAATTCTTATTTACAATGACGGCCTACACCGGCCAAATCCGGATGCTGCGCCGCCCTATGGGACTCCCAATCACGGCCGGTTGTGATACAGCCTGGAATCGAACCAGGGGGTCTGTAGTGACACCTCAAGCACTGAGATGCATGCAGTGCCTTAGACCGCTGCGCCACTCGGGAGTATAGGACAGTATTGTGTAGTACAGTAGGACAGTATTGTGTAGTACAGGACACTCTTCAACTGCACCCAGCTCTCCCCAGATTACATTTTCTGGGCTACTGATTTAGTCAGTTTAGTATGTTGCCTATTTTCAATCTTCAGTTTGTTTAGAGCCTGGCCATCACCTTATCAAGAGCAGCAGAAGTCCATATTCATTTACATTTTTCCATAAGTTCCCATTTTTCTATTCCTCCAGCTTCTACTCTACGGGAGGAGCAGAAATCCAGGATTGAGAAGAATCTCATCAAGGTCCTGATGGTGAGTTGAGGAAATGGCACCTGTCACATCACCCCATGTTCATGTGACTGTTTAGCCCCTGTTCTGTGGATGTTAAAGCTGAGCCTGTGTCTGTGTTCATAGAACGAGGTCCCAGAAGCAGAGCCAGATTGTGACCAGGCCTCAGCCAAGGCTGCCCAGGCCCTGTGGAGTGACCGCATGTCTCTGGCTGGCAGCAACGTGTTCACCATCGAGGTGCAGGACTACGTGCCCTTTGGTTAGTATACCTCTACAGTATACCTCTACAGTATACCTCTACAGTATACCTCTACAGTACACCTATACAGTACACCTCTACAGTATACCTACCGAGATCAGTCAATGATGCATCAAGATCTTAAACGATACAAGAGAAATTCTGTGAACAGTCCACCTAACATATACCATCAATCTGCCCCATAAATGTGTCTTTCCAGTCCAGTGCAAGGCCAAGTTCCTGTCCCCTAGTTTCCACGTGGATGACCCAGTCCAGCTGCATGTCTACCTGAGGGCTGACTGCCCTCACCCTGTCCGCTTCTCTAAGCTATGTGTCAGCCTCAGCAACCAGGTACTGACCCACTACATAACTCTACCACCCCACCGCAACCCATACAGGTACAACCAGGTACTGACCCACTACATAACTCTACCACCCCACCGCAACCCATACAGGTACAACCAGGTACTGACCCACTACATAACTCTACCACCCCACCGCAACCCATACAGGTACAACCAGGTACTGACCCACTACATAACTCTACCACCCCACCGCAACCCATACAGGTACAACCAGGTACTGACCCACTACATAACTCTACCACCCCACCGCAACCCATACAGGTACAACCAGGTACTGACCCACTACATAACTCTACCACCCCACCGCAACCCATACAGGTACAACCAGGTACTGACCCACTACATAACTCTACCACCCCACCGCAACCCATACAGGTACAACCAGGTACTGACCCACTACATAACTCTACCACCCCACCGCAACCCATACAGGTACAACCAGGTACTGACCCACTACATAACTCTACCACCCCACCGCAACCCATACAGGTACAACCAGGTACTGACCCACTACATAACTCTACCACCCCACCGCAACCCATACAGGTACAACCAGGTACTGACCCACTACATAACTCTACCACCCCACCGCAACCCATACAGGTACAACCAGGTACTGACCCACTACATAACTCTACCACCACACCACAACCCATACAGGTACAACCAGGTACTGACCCACTACATAACTCTACCACCCCACCGCAACCCATACAGGTACAACCAGGTACTGACCCACTACATAACTCTACCACCACACCACAACCCATACATGTACAACCAGGTACTCACAACCCTCCCTCCTCTCACCACCCAGCCACCCCTGACCCATACCACCCATTGAGATACAATCAGTTTTATACCGACTCTCTGCTGACTCTCAGGTGACTCTGACGACTCTGGTGGCTCTCTGTTGACGGCTCTCTGTTGACGGCTCTCTGTTGACGGCTCTCTGACGGCTCTCTGTTGACGGCTCTCTGACGGCTCTCTGTTGACGGCTCTCTGTTGACGGCTCTCTGGTGGCTTTCTGTCCTTCTTCAGGAGTATAACCAGTTGTGTGTGGTAGAGGAGCCGTGTAAGTCTCAGGATATCCTAGAGGCCTCCAGTCAAGAGAACATGTGCCTGGTCCCTGGCAAGACACGCATATACAGCTTCAAGTTTGTGGCTAAAACTGAGGACGTGGGGAAGAAGATAGAGGTAAGGAAAAATGAGTGTCAGTCGGGTGTCCTAAACTATGCTGTACTGGCATAGCAGACACACAGATTTAACATAATGAAGAGCATCACATTTGACCTGTGATCTATCTTATGGATTTGTGCACACTGTGTGTAACTTTGTGTTTAACTTTGTGTGTGTGTGTGTGTTAGATCACAGCGGTGGACCTGATGCTGGGCAGTGATAATGGCCGCTGCGTCTTCCTCAACTGGCGAGGCGGGGGAGGAGACGCTGCTTCGTCCCAGGAAGCTCTACTGGCGGCCAGGTCCTTTAAGAGCAGGGGTCGTGTCCCAGAGCAGCATGTGGAATGGGACAACGTATCCATCCAGGCCAACACCATGTGAGACTCCATAGTGTTCAGTTTAATCACACTATGTCATGTCACCATGTCATGTCACCGATTTACAAGATCCAAGAATGAAATGCTTCACTGTCTGCACAACAAGTTAGAGCGACACTTTCCATAACGCACCGCAACATTCTAAGTAACAGGAGCTGTGATACTGTACCTTGCCATTGCGTGTATGGCGTTGTTTACTAAGTCTCTGGTTAAACTAACCAGTTAAAACGAAGATAATTAGCTCACAGCACAGGTGTCAGAGGAAAATGTCGGCCTTTGTTTTTTCACACAAACAAGTTCAAAACATAGTTGAGTTGGTAACAGACGGTGCGTCATCCTAATCTGACAATGTGTTTTGTTTTTCAGGATAATCTCCCGCATTCCCAAGATCTCAGTTCAGCTGAGTCACGAGCCCCCTGCTCTGAACAACGAGATGTACCGCATCACTGTCTCCATCCAGTCCAACGAGGAGACCGTGACCAAAGACGTCAAACTCACTGCCGGACTCAAACCAGGTAGGCAGCATTACAACGAAACTGCTTGACACAGCACAGGATAGAACCATGGAAACAGAATTCTTAGAATGGGACTTGAATGGGAAATCTCAGTTCAAGGATCTTACAGCACAGCATTGGGGAAAACACTGACATACATTGGTTAGGTATCACAAGCTTTATTTGTCCCACCACCTTGTTAAGGTCAGGATGCAAACCTCACACAGTCCACCCATGTGACCCTGAACGGTTTGGAGATGTGTGACGAGTCCCATCCTGCACTGCTTCCAGACATTGCCATTGGAGACCTCCAGCCGGGAGAAAAGGTACATTCTCTCCCCACCCACCCTCAGGCCTGCACAACCTTACTGTCCATCATGAAAAAAGCATGGCCAATGGAGAATCTCCATTAAAATAGCTTTTTAGGCCATGACTAGGCTTAATCTGTGTCCAGGAAACCAGCCCGTCTTGTTTTACTGAGATCTCTATTCCCTCTAAAGTGCCCTATGGGCCCTGGTCAAAAGTAGTGCACTATATAGGGAATTTGTACTAATCATTCTATCTCTGTTGAACAGGTTGAGAAGTGTCTGTATGTTCGCTGTGTCACCACTGGCACCAGAATCTTCCTGTTCCATGTAGCCTATGCCTTGAGCACCAAGGTGGAGGGCAAAGACATCACCTGCAAGTGTCACAAAGTGAGTTTGCGCACCCAAACCTCACTCATTGGTAGTTTCAGTAATTGTAACTTGTGTCCATAAATATTTATGAAATTAACTGTTTGTTGACCATGGTTTTCTTTTTTGTAGGATGAAACCGTTACCATAGAAACCATTGTTCCATTTGAAGTTGCTGTGAAGTTTGTATCCACAAAGGTTTGTTAACTTTTTTCCTCTATTGATGTTGTTGGCATTGTTGTGCAAATGTGGTTTTGAATGCAGTTTTAATGTTGTTTTGAATGCAGTTTTAATGTTGTTTTGAGTGCCGTTTGGATGTTGTTTTGAGTGCAGTTTTAATGTTGTTTTGAGTGCAGTTTTAATGTTGTTTTGAGTGCCGTTTGGATGTTGTTTTGAGTGCAGTTTTAATGTTGTTTTGAGTGCCGTTTGGATGTTGTTTTGAGTGCTGTTTGGATGTTGTTTTGAGTGCAGTTTTAATGTTGTTTTGAGTGCAGTTTTTTTGTTCAGTGTTGGTAAGTCAAAGCTTGTCAGTGTAGCGACTTCAGTGATAATGGCTAATTTTGGGTTTCAGTTTGAGCACTTGGATAGGGTGTATGTGGACATCCCCTTTCTGCTGATGACGGACATCCTGAGTGCGTCCCCCTGGCCTCTACACCTGGTGACCAGCCAGCTGCAGCTGGCCCCCACCATGGCTGCCATGGACCAGCCCCAGTCCCAGGTGGAGCAGGGTACGACACCACCGCCTCTATGGTTGGGGCCCTATTCCCTCTAAAGTGCCCTATGGGCCCTGGTCAAAAGTAGTGCAATATACAGGGAATTTGGTATGCACGCTAAATCTCCCTCTGACATAGCTCTGCAGGGGAAGCCTCACCATCTAAGACCACATACTCTAATGAACCCAGTCGTTGTGGTTTCACAGTGGTATTGTGTAGGCTTTACCACTATAGAGTTGGTGTATAAGTCGTTTGTAGCATAGAACACACCTCTGTTCCTTGTAGCCTAACCTTCAGGTTTGGTTGTTGTTTTCCACCAGTGATGCTGCAGACAGGTGAATGTGCCAGCGAGTGTTTCAGCCTCCAGTGTCCCCCTGTGCTCAACGGGACGAGCAGTGTGGCGTCTGGACAGTACCTCATCTCCTGGAAGAGGTGTGTCTGCTTGACTCCAGCCTGCCGTTCTCCTCTTCTCTGCTCTGACATTTTTCCTCTTGTCAAGCACAATGGGAAATTCACAAAGTCAAGACATTTTCTTTTCCTGAAGCTTTAACCCATTGCATTTGCATCGCTATTTCAGGAAATCTTCTTGTGCAGATGCACCTGTTGTGACGACAGTTGTCACCCTTCCCCATGTGATGGTGGAGACCATTCCTCTATATGTTCATGCAGGTACAGCATGTGTTGATCTTGATCTGAATGATGTATTATTTTCAAAGTTGAGTCTAAAGATAATTGATATGTCAGTTTTCCAGTTGTTCTGTCCCATTCAGATGTAGATAGCAATGGTTCCCTGTGTTTGGTGGTTACAGAGCTGCCGTCATTTGGAAGGGTGCGGGAGTCTATGCCAGTGAGGTACCACATCCAGAACCGGACGGGGCTGGTCCAGGACGTGGAGATGTCTGTGGAACCCAGCGATGCCTTCATGTTCTCTGGCCTCAAGCAGGTGGGTTTCTGCTCCATGCCCTCCCCAACTCCCCCTTCGTAAACACATCAAACAAACTTGAAAGTAGCACAAACTTAGACATTGTTACACACTGGCTTTCACTGCAACCGTGATTTGATCTTTCAATTTCTGTGCAACTCAGCAAAGAGTCCACTACGAGCCTGCTACAATTTTGAGTACTATTGTGAGATTCCATACAGCTTGAGCGCAGAATTGAGTGCAGAACAGTGCAGTAGTTCCAAGCAGACAACTATATGTACTAGACTCCTTATTGTTGTCAGTTCAACATGCAAGCCCAGGGTACAAATTAACTGAGTGCCAGACTTGACACTGGTTGGTTTTGAGGCTGGAGTTTCCACCATTATTTGTATTCCAATTTAAACTGCTGCCTAACAACAAATGTAGTAGAGAATGATGGTTTTCATTCAGAATTAGACTAGAATAGACCATACCATTTGAGGACCCATGTGGTCTCCAGTCTCTTGCCCTACATGTCCTGAGTGTCACGGTGTTTCCCCAGGTGCGTCTGAGGATCCTGCCTGGAGCGGAGCAGGAGATGTTGTATAACTTCTACCCTCTGATGGCAGGGTACCAGAGCCTTCCCCAGCTCAACATCAGCCTGCTGCGCTTCCCTGCCGTGTCCGGACAGCTGCTCCGACGCTTCCTCCCCTCACGCATCTTTGTCAAGGTACGCTTAGCTTACAACCCAAAGAAATAGAATGAGGCGACTTCTTCTCTATTCATTCCAATTCTATGTTAGCACCCACTAGCCTCTGCCTGACTACATGGCATACTCTGTAGATCCATCTCAGTGTTAGCTGCAGCACTGTTAACTGACAGTAATATTGATTCTTGGGGTCACTTAGAAATGTCCTTGTTTTTGAAAGAAAATCAATTTTTTTGTCCATTAAAATAACATTAAATTGATCAGAAATACAGTGTATACATTGTTAATGTTGTAAATGGCTATTGTAGCTGGAAACGGCAGATTTTTAATGGAATATCTACAAAGGCGTACAGAGGCCCATTATCAGCAACCATCAGTCCTGTGTTTACTAATCCAAGTGGCCAGAAACAAAGAACTTTCTTCTGAAACTCGTCAGTCTATTCTCGTTCTGAGAAATTAAGGCTATTCCATGCGAGAAATTGCCAAGAAACTGAAGATCTCGTACAACGCTGTGCACTACTCCCTTCACAGAACAGCACAAACTGTCTCTAACCAGAATATAAAGAGGAGTGGGAGGCCCCGGTGCACAACTGAGCAAGAGGACAAATACATTAGTGTCTAGTTTGAGAAACAGACACCTCACAGGTCCTCAACTGGCAGCTTCATTAAATAGTGCCCGCAAAACACCAGTCTCAACGTCAACAGTGAAGAGGCGACTCCGGGATGCTGACCTTCTAGGCAGATTTGCAAAGAAAAAGTCCAGTGTCTGTGTTCTTTTGCCTATCTTAATCTTTATTTTTATTGGCCTGTCTGAGATATGGCTTTTTCTTTACAACTCTGAAGGTCAGCATCCCGGAGTCGCCTCTTCACTGTTGACGTTGAGACTGGTGTTTTGCGGACACTATTTAATGAAGCTGCCAGTTGAGGACCTGTGAGGTGTCTGTTTCTCAAACTAGACACTAATGTATTTGTCCTCTTGCTCAGTTGTGCACCGGGGCCTCCCACTCCTCTTTATATTCTGGTTAGAGACAGTTTGTGCTGTTCTGTGAAGGGAGTAGTGCACAGCGTTGTACGAGATCTTCAGTTTCTTGGCAATTTCTCGCATGGAATAGCCTTAATTTCTCAGAACGAGAATAGACTGACGAGTTTCAGAAGAAAGTTCTTTGTTTCTGGCCACTTGGATTAGTAAACACAGGACTGATGGTTGCTGATAATGGGCCTCTGTACGCCTATGTAGATATTCCATTAAAAATCAGCCGTTTCCAGCTACAATAGCCATTTACAACATTAACAATGTCTACACTGTATTTCTGATCAATTTGATGTTATTTTAATGGACAAAAAAAATGCTTTTCTTTCGAAAACAAGGACATTTCTAAGTGACCCCAAACTTTTGAACGGTAGTGTACAAAGAATACAGTTGTAAAATTAACTAACTTAAACTCTAAATTCACCTTCCATCAACCAGTGAAGTGTACACATATTACTGTTTGCGTAGACTCTAAGTAGTGCAAAATCAGTGAAGTATCCTGATACTTATTTTATTTTACATATTTCAGCCCCAGGGCCGACAAGCAGACGATGCCTCCATTGCAGCGGCTTGAAATCCATAACACCACCCCACTACTGAGTGAATACTAATTTAACTGAAACACATCTCTCACCTATTGGGCTCAACTGGAAAACTTTGCCCCACAGTATCACAGATGCATTCAGTTTTTGACCTTCTGTAAATCATGCTTTTAAAATGCGTTAACTACAATAGTTTACTATATAATCTTTATTGATCCGTAACTGATTCATATTGTTGCTTGCAGATCTAAAACCATAGGCTGTTGTTATCATGTCCTGTAGCTGTTACACAGGGTGCGTTTGTAAATTCACTCTGGCTATCTACTCCGATTTCAGAGCACTCTCGACTGAGTGTGCCAGAGCGCAGAATAACTGATGGATTTCTGAACGCGCAACACACGCAGAATATGAACGGTGTCAGTAAATGTTGGCAAAGAACATTATTAAATTGTTGCCAGCAGTACAGTTAGTCACCAACACTCTGGATAACATGAAAACAGCCTGACCAGTTCTGCTAAGGCCAGTAAAATGGTCAGTGAGGTGTTCTCTCATTTGTCTGGAAGTAGCTAGCAAGCTAGCCAGTTAGCTTGGATGCTTGCCATTGTGAGGTCAGAATGCTCGGATCATCCCAACTCCTCAGCCAGAGCGTCCAGTGTGCACTCTGAATGCTCCGAGAGCGAAACGCTCTGAATTTATGAACGCCCAGAGCGTACTCTGGCACTCCAGAGTGAATTTACGAACACACCCACAGTAACTGCCCTCACATTGTAGTTAATCAATGATGCAGTTCCTCATTAATCTTCAAACTAAAACATTTGGGTGAGTTATGATGTAAGTGTGTCACTGACTGTCAAATGTAATGAATACAGTATAACTAAGTCTGCATAGTATTAAAGGTTTTTGTGAAGAATGTAGAGCCTCTCAAATGCCTTGTTTTTAACTTCAACCAACTGTAATGATATGATGTCATCAGGCCTGCCCTTGAATTCAAAGTTCAGTGATGTTTCAGCATTTAGACAGGTTAAATCCAACTCCGCTGTGGGTGATCCCTGGGAACAGTCAGGTAGCAGATGATGGCAAGTGGTTCAAATAGTATCTAACAGAGTTGGAGTCAATTCCATGTCAATTTAGGAAGTATACTGAAATTCTAATTGTCTTAAATGCTTTTCAATGAGGACAATTTGGAATTGGAATTTGGTTTACTTTCTAAATTGACTGGAATTGAAATGGAATTCACCCCAGCCCTGGTATCTGATTTATGGGGAATAAGACTCATCATGGGATAAATACAAGACGTGCTTCAATCTCCCAATTTATAGGTGTGCCATTGGAAGTTCCACCTTAAACAATGTCTGGAGTATTTGCTCAGCCTTATATTCTGTGGTAATGTGGAAGCAGGTATCATACATACAGGATTGACATGAAGGGTTGTTCTATTGCAGGGTTCGACAACTGGCACCAGTGGACGATGTTATTTGGCCCCCCAAAGTTTAAGGCAAAAAAAAATATATATATATATATATATATTTTAATTTTTGCTTTTAGACATAAGACTAAAATAACTTTTATTTTATTAAATCTGTTCCCAAGTATTTCCACTCCTACAGAGACCTATGTGATCGTGTACCAATGTAATCAAGGTTTGAAATGATTGTTTATGTCAAATACAATATCTGTTTGGGCTTCTTGCATCAATTTGCAGAGTACAAATGATTTATAATTATGTTCCTCCCCCCCGACCATCCACTCAAGAAAAAAATCGGCCCGCAGCTGAATCTAGTTGGTGACCCCTGCCCTATTGCCTGGGGCAAGTGAACTGAGCAGTCACGCAAGTTGAGCCTGCTCTGATGTTGCCCCATTAGGCAGTTCAATATGGAGAGGAGCCACTGTGAACTTGCATGGTCTATTTATTAATTTGTCTTTACCTGTCCAAGACCACACCCACTGGGTGTCACGTTTCACTGATCTCATGGATCTCTGTGGCTTCTCAGCAGGCCATCAGTACAACAGACAGCTTCACCTACAGTTTTAAAGAATTGAGTTCATTAGAATATTCAAATTTACATCAAAAATAAATAAATCAAATGTATTTATAAAGCCCTTTTTACATCAGCAGATGTCAGAAAGTGCTATACAGAAACCCAGCCTAAAACCCCAAACAGCAAGCAATGTAGAAGCACGGTGGCTAGGAAAAACTCCCTAGAAAGGCAGAAACCTAGGAAGAAACCTAGAGAGGAACCAGGCCTTGAGGGGTGGCCAGTCCCCTTCTGGCTGTGCCGGGTAGAGATTATAACAGTACATGGCCATTATGGCCAGATTTTTCTCCAAGATGTTCAAACGTTCATAGATGACCAGCAGGGTCAAATAATAATCAGTGGTTGTAGAGGTTGCAACAGGTCAGTACATCAGGAGTAAATGTCACTTGGCTTTTCATAGCCGGGCATTTAGAGGTTGAAATAGCAGGTGCGGTAGAGAGAGAGAGTTGAAAATAGCAGGTCTGGGACAAGGTAGCACAGATTCATGGATAGTTCAGCATTCCTTACTTTACTTTGAACATGAGGGACTATGAAGAAAACACTTCCTTTTTGGGAGAATGGGGCCCTTTCCAAAACGTTATTTATTCTGCTCAGTTTGAGCAGTATTCCTGATGGCTATGTTGGGAAGGCCATGTTGGGATGGCCATGGCTATGTTGGGAAGGCCATGTTGGGATGGCCTTGGCTACGTTGGGATGGCCATGGCTATTTTGGGATGGCTATGTTGGGATGGCCATGTTGGGATGGCCATGGCTATGTTGGGATGGCCATGGTTTTCCTGGCAGATATCCCTCCACACTGGTGCAGTGTCCCCCAGCTGAACTCCAGTGGTTTTGACCTGGACTTGAATCACTCCATACCCTTAGAGGAGGTAAAGGGAGAGATCATTTTAAGTAGTTGTACCCGGTTTAAATAACAAGTTGACTCTGCTACCGGCTTTGGGAATGAGACCGAGTGATGCCTGGATGGATGAGAATTCAGCACAGACCAATACACGTCCACCATTGTGACAGAGGTGAAACAGAACTGGATCCTTAATTGTTTTTATTTCCATGTTTCCTGGAAATGTCTCATTATCATTCTCACATTGTGTCTTTACACAGTGGAATCTGGTGTGTGACGATTCATGGATAGCTCCTTTCACAGTCACAATATTATTTTTGAGAGTGCTGTCCATATTTGTTTTGTCTGGAATAATCTCTGATCGGTACTATGTGTGTTCTCAGTCTGATCTTCTAGGGTATCATTAGAACTGTCCACATGATGTGACTTGCTAGACTTGTCAAACTGGATCTACTGAGCAAACATAATGCCCCAATATGCAGCTTTAATGAGGAACCATTTAGACATGTTGAGACGTATTCAATTAAACAGTTTGATGTTAGTGGATGTTTACTACATTAGTTCAAAGTACAGATTTAGGATCTTAATTTGGGCCAAATAATCCTGCAGCAACGGGAAATGTGGATTATAATTAATGGACTTTTTTTAGGGTTTGATAAATTTTTTGTTACAACAAATCAAGTCTGATATTTTAAAGTGGAAATAACAAACTTTAGAAGCCTTTTTCAACCTTGAATACACAACAAGTTTGCATTTCCTGCTGTACAGGAACATTCTCAGCAACAAAAGAGTGATCAAATTAAGATCCTACATCTAAAGTGAAAACTGCATGAATGATTATTTTTTATTGCAGACCCAATATCTCTAGAACTGTACATCAAGTCTACAGCAAGTCTCTGATTTCTCAATATTATTTAATGATGCTAACACAGCAAGCAAGTGCAACATTTATTTTCTTTGCTACTATGGCACTCCAGACCATCTTCAGTATACTGCAAGCTGCCTCCAACAGCTGGGAGATGTTCTCTGCCTTGTACTTTATCATTGGGATGGGACAAATTGCCAATTACTGTGCTTCTTACACCATTGGTAAGTCAAGCCATATCCAACCTGCTGTAATACAACAACGCAAGACAAACCAGAAGCAAATAATGCAATAATAACTTGTTTTCTTCCTCATAGGGAATGGAGTACGGTGCAACTCCAAACGATTCAAGGTTGCTGTGTTCACGTCAGGGGAACATAGCACGTTATACTGAGTACATGATGCATGTAATGCTAAGGCATAAATACACTGTGTACAAAACATTAGGAACACCTTCCTAATATTGAGTTCCCCACCACCCACAGGGATGACCAATGTTGACTCCAATGCTTCCCACAGTTGTCAATTTGGCTGGATGTCCTTTGGGTGGTGGACCATTCTTGATACACGTAAAACTGTTGAGCGTGAGAAACCCAGCAGCGTTGCCGATCTTGACACTCAAACCGGTGCACCTGGCACCTACTACCATACCCTGTTCAAAGGCACTTAAATTATTTGTCTTGCCCATTCACCCTCTGAATGGCACACATACACAATCTATGTCTCAATTGTCTCAAGGTTTACAAATCCTTATTTAATTATGTCTCTTCACGTTCATCTACACTGATTGAAGTGGATTTAACAAGTGCAATAAATAAAGGATCATAGCTTTCAGCTGGATTCACCTGGTCAGTCTGTCATGGAAAGACCAGAGCTGTTAGAATACCCATACTAACGTACTGTATACTACATCATACTTAATGAGTATATACTACATACTATTCGTTCATTTTAATATACTGTAAACCAGGGTTCTTCAATTCCGGTCCTGGAGGGCCGAAACACCTCTGTTTTTCATCCTCTCCTTCTAATCAGGGGCTAATTCAGACCTGAGACACCAGGTGAGTGCAATTAACTACCAAGTAGAAATAAAAAACAGAAGTGTTTCGGCCCTCCAGGACCGGAATTGAAGAACCCTGCTGTAAACGAACGGTATCCTTTCAGTTGAGCGTACTAGCGCTTCGCCTGTCTACCGGAAGGTGATGCTGTTGCAATGCAACTTGTTAGCATAACAAATGACTAGCTAGACATTTAACGATTTCAGGTGTGTTCGTAAATTCAATCTGGAGATCCAGAATGTTGTCAGATTGTCCGTTTCTAAATTCAGAGCATTGGTGACTTTAACTGTGCTGGTGGCAACAATTTAATTACGCTTTTTTTTTACTACGTTTACTGACACCGGCCATATATTCAACGGGTATTGAGCGTTCAGAAATTCATCAGTTATTCTGCGCTAGAATGAACAATGTCCATTGAGAACGCACAACGACTATACCACTTAGCTAAGAATGACGTGAATAATCAAGTCAATAAACGTTGGGTAGTTAGTTAGATTATAGTTAATATACTGCCTGGCAAATTCGATGTGTATTAGGATCCAACTAATGTTAGGTAACTAACATACCGGTACATACTGCTGTAATGTTATGCGGTTCGTAAGGATAGTGTAGCTAACAAATTGTCAGCCATAACGTGTAACTTATTTGAAAAGGCATTACTTTATTACATTGCTCAACATTTTATTAACATTTGTCATAATTAGTTAAAGCAATTAATTTTAATCCGCACTCGTAGGATTTCTGCTGCATATTTTCCGCCATTTTCTTCAAATCTGAAAACGTTGTGAAGCCACGCCCATTTTATTTAGAATTGCATTATGGGACCTAAAATAACAGAAACAGTGTCCACTGCTTGTATACCTCATATTTTGGTGAATACTATTGACTGATTTAATTTCTTTGACAATTTGTAAAATACATAAGGGCGCTCCAGCCGGTGACGCCTCCACATACAATTGAAGAAAATCATCAAGGATAACACAATGAAGCTTAACAGCTTGTTTCCATTGTGGTCCTTTTCAAGAGGGAAGGGGGAACGGGGAATGCAACAAGGCTAGGCGGTAATTGTAATGGCAACAGACAATGACAGACAAATTGTTGTTTGTTTCATAACATGAGATAATTAGTACAATTTCCTTTCCTAATAAACAACTATAGACAGGTACATCTCCCTTGTCTCACATACCCTTAATATATAAAACAATCAATACCTAATATATACAAGACAATCACAATATAATAAACAACAGGCACCAAAAGGCAGACCATATGCTATCCTGGGTATTTCCTTCTCAGCCATGTACTATAATCTTACGACTCACTTTTGAGACATGCTACTATTTAGCAATTTTTTCATTGAGAACTTGAAACTACCTATGGCGGTTATACATTTCAAATTCTTCGGAAGACTATTCCACAGAATGGCAGCTGAGTATAAAAAAGTGTATTTCCCCATACCACTTTTACATCTAAAAGGAACAATGTCAGTTTCACTCCTTCTAGTGGAACAGTTATGGTTATCCCTTACTAAGTTAAAGTAGTTACATAGGTACCTGGGGACCATACTGTGGACAATCTTATGTACAAGACCCAATTTAATCTGAGCGACTCTCTCCTCCACTTTGAGCCATCTAAGGCTTTCAAAGTGGGAATAGTCCAGATGCATAAGTGCTGGAAGTTTTAAGAATAATCCTGACTAATTTGTTCTGAGATGTCTGCAATGTATTTTTTATTATCTTGAGGGCACTATTGTACCAGGAAGAGCATGCATAGTCAAAGTGGCACTGAACAAGAGCCCCTGCCAATGTCCCCATTCCATTCTTATCCAGATATTTGGAGGTTCTTGCCAGAAACCTAATTTTATGGTTCACTTTGGAGATAACTTTTTGTGACATGCTCTCCCCTGTTAGATGTTTATCTAGCACACATCCAAGATTCTTAACAGAGTATTTTGCTGCGACTACTATGTCACCTACTACCACCTTAAAATTAGGGGATTTCCTCAGTTTCACCTTGGACCCGAACAAGATGGACTCTGTTTTTCCAAGGTGAAGTGACAGCTTATTATCATAGCCATTTACTGACATTCAGAAGTTCCGCACTGAGGGCTTTCTCAACCACCTTTTTGTCTTTGTGGGAAACCAACAGTGCAGAATCATCTGCAAATAGGAAAAGGTCACATGTACAGGCAGATTTCAGATCATTTATATATCATAGAAAGAAAAGTGGACCCAGCACACTCCCTTGGGGTACTCCGCAGTTCAAGATTTTGGGTTTTTACAGGGTCCCATCCACATCCACCATCTGTTTTCTTCCTTGCAGGTAAGAGCTAACCCATTTTACTGCTAAGTTGTTAAATCCCATGGCTCTTAGTTTGATTAACAGAATCTCATGATCCACTGTATCGAACGCCTTTTGGAGATCTAACATAACCATACCACAACATTTCCCTCCGTCTACTTCCTTCCTGATGTGGTCAGTTAGATATAGTAGGCAAGTGTTGGTGGAATGGGATCTCCTAAAGCCAGATTGGAGCTCATAGAATAGGGTTATGTAAGGAAATATAATTGTCAATCTGCTTGAACATAATCCTTTCCATGACCTTCGATAATACACACAGGATTTAGACGGCCGATAGTTTCCATGATCTAACTTATTCCCTTTTTATATAGAGGAATGACCCTTGTGAGTTTTAGTTCACTGGGAAAACACCCTAGTTCAATAGACAGATTTACAATGTGAGTTACACAGGGGGTGATAATTACCACAGCATCCCTTAGAAAGCTGGCAGGAATGTTGTCAAGGCCAGTTGCTTTGGAATGGTCAAGTTCTTTCAGCTTCTTTAGCACAGTTTACTCAGACACATTTTCAAATGAAAAAGCATCTACTTGAATCCCCTGCTATGAGTAAAACTGCTGGACATGACTCTCCCAATAGCAACCTGATTGACAAGGTAACTGTATTAGCTATAGTTGTAAAATAGCTATTCAGACTGTCTGCAACCATGGATTTGTCTGATGTAACCTTTCCTCCAATGTTCAAGCTAAGATTTCAAGCTTTGGTCTTTAATCTGTTACTATAACCTAACAGCTTCAGACCCTTCCATAATTTACTCGGATTGTTCCTATTTTCAACTATTTTGTCATTCAAATAATCTTTCTTGGCCTTCTGTATCATCCTGTTGACCTCATGTCTTAATTTCTTATAATCTATAAATATATCATCTGCCCTGGATTTCCTGAACTCCAGAAAGCGTTAATTTCTACGCTTAATTGCCTTTAAAATGTTATAGTTTATCCATGGTTCTGTTCTTTGCTTAATTCTAACATTTGTTACTGGAGCCTGCTTATCTACAGCATCTAAAAACAATTATTTAAAATTGCCGCAGACATTTTCCACCTCATTGGATTTCAATACAGCAGACCAGTCCAATTTGCTCAAACAATTAACAAAAATATCTGAAACTTTGAATATCCCACGGAGCACCATTAAATCCATTATTAAAAAATGGAAAGAATATGGCACCAAAACAAACCTGCCAAGAGAGGACCGCCCACCAAAACTCACGGCCCAGGCAAGGAGGGCATTAATCAGAGAGGCAACAGAGACCAAAGATAACCCTGAAGGAGCTGCAAAGCTCCACAGCGGAGAATGGAGTATCTGTCCATAGGACCACTTTAAGCTGTACACTCCACAGAGCTGGGCTTTACGGAAGAGTGGCCAGAAAAAAGCCATTGCTTAAAGAATAAAATAAGCAAACACGTTTGGTGTTCGCCAAAAGGCATGAGGGAGACTTCCCAAACATATGGAAGGTACTCTGGTCAGATGAGACTAAAATTGAACTTTTTGTCCATCAAGGAAAACGCTATGTCTGGCGCAAACCCATCACCCTGAGAACACCATCCCCACAGTGAAGCATGGTGGTGGCAGCATCATGCTGTGGGGATGTTTTTAATCAGCAGGGACTGGGAAACTGGTCAGAATTGAAGGAATGATGGATGGCTCTAAATACAGGGAAATTCTTGAGGGAAACCTGTTTCAGTCTTCCAGAGATTTGAGACTGGGACGGAGGTTCACCTTCAAGCAGGACAATGACCCTAAGCATACTGCTAAAGCAACACTTGAGTGGTTTAAGGGGAAACATTTAAATGTCTTGGAATGGCCTAGTCAAAGCCCAGACCTCAAACCAATTGAGAGTCTGTGGTATGACTTAAAGATTGCTGTACACCAGCGGAAACCATCCAACTTGAAGGAGCTGGAGCAGTTTTGCCTTGAAGAATGGGCAAAAATCCCAGTGGCTAGACTGTGCCAAGCTTATAGAGACATACCCCAAGAGACAGCTGTAATTGCTGCAAAAGGTGGCTCTACAAAGTATTGACTTTGGGGGGGGGGGGTGAATAGTTATGCACGCTCAAGTCTTCTGTTTTTTGGTCTTATTTCTTGTTTGTTTCACGAGAAAAAAATATTTTGCATCTTCAAAGTGGTAGGCATGTTGTGTAAATGAAATTATACAAATTCCAGGTTGTAAGGCAACAAAATAGGAAAAATGCCAAGTGGGGTGAATACTTTCGCAAGCCACTGTAGCTATTATAGTAGGTCAATGCTGTGTGCTGGAAAACGATGGTAGAGCATGTAGAGCAACTATATCCATACTATGACCGATAAGCATACTACATACTCAATTTACATCACAAATAGTATGGTTAGTGTACAGTGGCTTATGAAAGTATTTTTCCTATTTTGCACATTGCGCTTACCTGACAGTTCTAACAGTTGAGTGTCAGACAGTAGATGTCACATAGGATGTTTGCCTTCCGCAAAAATGGCCATCTGGAGTTAAACATACCGAGATGTCAGATATGATTTTTGCCTTTGAAGGCAAGTGACGAAAGGGCAAGTGCCTTTGAGATTTTAATGTTCATCCCTGCAGAAAGACAGTGTTTCTGTCAGAAACTAAAAGCAATCTACTGCCTGGGTTTAGCCAGTTCCACAAACGTTTTAAGTTTCTTTGGACGAGTAAATGAGTTGGTATGTTGCTCAGGGGATTGGTCAAAAGCAAGAAAAGCAGCAATTGGTATCTCCTAAGATGGCAGAAAATGTGGCCCATCATAAAGAAATTGATGTCTCAAAAGACAAAGATGGCCACTCCAGGCCAGTTGATGGCTCACATCACACTTAGAACTATAACTTCTGAACGGTTGAACTAGCGGGACTGTAAGCAGAACATTGTGGGTCTCTGTACATGTGCAAGGTCCCCGAAATGATGCTTGCCGCTTTAATTTTGCCACAAGTTGCAGTGTCTCTGGATCACCATCTTTCTTCATCGGCCTGTACTATGATTGATTTTGAGGGACCTTTTGTTTATTTTCTTGTCAGACCTACACGCCCTGTCTCTGACCCTGGTGATGATTGGGAAAATGGGTGTCACTGGAGCGTTTGGATTCCTCTATCTGTACGGCACGGAGCTCTTCCCCACAGTGGTGCGCAATATGGCTTTGGGTGCCACTTCCATGGCTTCCAGAGTAGGTAGCACTGTGTCTCCATACATCGCCTATATGGTTGAGTCGTGTGTGTGTGTGTGTGTGTGTACGCATATTCAATTGTCTAAACATTTTGCTAACATTTATACGTGATTTGTGGATTCAGATAAATTGTCACACTTTCTTCTGATTGAAGGCACGTACAACAAGATACTATCCTACATTCTAATGGGAGGCACCACAGTCATCACTGGTGATGCTTGTTGCTACCAGAAAGAAATGTTCAACCAGGTCAAACCCCCTCAGATTATTGGGCTTGTTCGACATTGCAGCTGACAGCGCAGGTGACTGCCCACTGACTGATCTACAAAGAACCTTGCATCATAAATATATCTACTCATCATTATTTGTAGATCAGTCAGTCAGTCACAATTTACCCATGATACACTATGGTTTTGATCCTCTTGAACACAGAGCGGCAGACAGGTGTGTCGAGAGATACTACTGTAAGACATGTTACAATTTCAGTCTATTGTCCGTCCTCTTTAAACAGTCCTCTCTGCCCCTCTAGCATGTGCATTAACCAGGATTCTCGGGATGGCCTGAAGCAGAAAGGAAATGCACAGGTGGAGAATGAGGCAAGCTGTCCTGATGAGGCAAGCTGTCCTGATGAGGCAAGCTGTCCTGATGAGGCAAGCTGTCCTGATGAGACAAGCTGTCCTGATGAGGCAAGCTGTCCTGATGAGGCAAGCTGTCTTTAAGAGTTTAGATGATGTGTCCAGAATTCAACCTCTGTTTTTTTGCTTTGTTTTTGTATTCTTTAATTTACTAATAAGTTGACAATGTTTTAATTATTTATTGTAATGATTTGAATGATAACCATGAGTAATGTCAGTCTGATGAAACACGTAAATGGAGTATAGGCTTCTTCACCACACAATGATTAATAGTATTTAGTGCAGAGTGTCTGAAAACAATAGAAAATGTGTTTTGTTTATTTTGGTAAAGCTTGTGGAATGAAAGCAAGGTACACTATAAAAGTATGTGGACACCTGCTCGTCCAACATCTCATTCCAGAATCATGGACATTAATATGGAGTTGGTCCCCCCTTTGCTGCTCTAACAGCCTCCACTCTTCTGCCAAGGCTTTCCACTAGATGTTGTGACTTGCTTCCATTCAGCCACGAGCATTAGTGAGGTTGGGCACTGATGTTGGGCGATTAGGCCTGGCTCGCAGTCGGCGTTCAAATTCATCCCAAAGGTGTTCAATGTGGTTGAGGTCAGGGCTCTGTGCAGGCCAGTCAAGTTCTTCCAAACTGATCTCGACAAACCATTTCTCTATGGACCTCACTTTGTGCACGGGGGCATTGTCATGCTGAAACAGGAAAGGGCCTTCCCCAAACTGTTGCAACAAAGTTGGAAGCACAGAATCGTATGTCATTGTATGCTGTAGCATTAAGATTTCCCTTCACTGGAACTAAGGGCCTAGCTCGAACCATTATCCTCCTCCACCAAACTTTACAGTTGGCACTATGCATTCGGGCAGGTAGCGTTCACCTGGCATCCGCCAAACCCAGATTAGACCGTCGGACTGCCAGATGGTGAAGTGTGATTCACTGCTCCAGAGTCCAATGGCGGCAAGCTTTACTCCACTCCAGCCAACGCATGGCATTGCACATGGTGATATTAGGCTTGTGTGCGACTGTAACACAACAAAATGTGGAAAAAGTCAAGGGGTGTGAATACTTTCTGAAGACACTATACAATATGTGTAATGAGCCTCAACTTCTGATGCATCAATACGCTCTCAATACATCATCCACCTAATGGATTTCAAAGTGATGTAGTAAAAGGTAGATGACCAGCTTTGACTGACTCTGTTATATCTTTGAATTAAAACACTTACTGTATATCAACCATTATAGAAAGGTACTCTGTTCTCTCTATCTGTACAGAGTCCTGGGTGTGGTTCTGGCCATGGTGGCTAAGTATGGGATCACAGCAGTGTTCCCTGCTCTACATCGTGGTGGAGTAGCCCTTTCCCACAGAGGTGCATCTGATCCATGGCCTCCAAGACCGGCAGCACCATCTCCCCTTTCCTCCCCTACCTTGGTTAGTTTCTCATCTCCTCCACTCTCCTCATATAGACTCCCTATGTGAAAATAGGTTTTTATGTTATTTCCGTGTAATACAGCATTCATCGTTGTATCCTTGACAGACTTGAGTTGGTTAAAAAAGCATTAGCCCAAAACTGTGTGTTTAGCGAACTTCTGCTGCTCCTCAGCGACCTCTGACAGGACTCTGCCTTATATCCTAATGGGACCTCCCGACTGACGGCTGACCGGATGATTCATCTACTGTTGCCTGAGACACAGGAGACTGACTTGCCAGAGGACCTCACCCAAATACAAACAGTCCACTGCTGGTGAGTCTGATACACGCACACATGCGTTTACACACACACACGCATGCACACACACACACTGTGACACACACAACCTAATACTAATAACATTATCTCTTTATATAATCACTTGTGTGTACTGTAGGTGCTGGCCCAGATGTAAGCACAAGGAAAGGAAACCGTCAAAAAGGAACCAAAATATTGATGTGGTAAAGGATCATCAGCTTTCAGAGGAGAACGGTGTATAAACGTAGATTACTGGAGCACACATTGACTTCTATAAAAGGAACCCTCAGCCCCCAGCATGAGAAACAGGAATCTCTTGTTGAGTACACTCAGAGAGGACACACAGAAACACACATGTGGAGAATGAAATTTTAAAAAATGGTGTGTGCAAGTTTTCATTTGTTAAATGACTTGGCATGCTTGTTTGAGGATGAGCTTCTTCACTCTTGGTGTGTGTGAGGGTGCTGCTTGCTGCATGTGCTCTCCATGGCCTTTACCAGTGGTATTCAAGGTGGGGGTCGGGTCACGGGGAATTGGAGTGGGGTCGCCACATAAAAACAGTTTAATTATTAGGGAACAAACAATTAAGAGTACAGATTATTGTATGGGAAATATGCACACTTTTTTGAGAAACATAATTTATATTATTTTAATTGAGTCAATGTATTTATTGGTTCTTTTCATTTTAATTAGATGGTTACTTGTTGATGTAAAAAAAAATCTAGATTTTACAGAGTTTAAGGTTCTGTCAATAGATTTGGGCTGAGGTGGGGTCGCCAGAAGTTCCTGCCAAAAAAATGGTCTCCCCGCTGAAAAGGTTTGAATACCACTGGCCTAAATCTACAATGCACCCCCCTCTGCTGGTGAGATGCAGACTAACTATGTGTGTCGTTGAAGGCCTGTTATTCCTTCTTTATATGAATTTCAAAAATTCCACAGAGGTTGTCATTATAGGAAAAAGGAACTATCCTTTGTCAGGATGATGGAGAAAACAGGATCCAGCTGAAACCAAATGGTGTTAGTGGGAAATCAGAGGTGAGGGATCCCTAGAGTTAGGGTTGAACTGGGATGTGGACATTAAGCTAGGGTTAAGACTTGGGTTAGGGTTGAACTGGGATGTGGACATTAAGCTAGGGTTAAGACTTGGGTTAGGGTTGAACTGGGATGTGGACATGAAGCTAGGGTTAAGGTTGTGGTTAAGACTAGGGTTAGGGTTGAACTGGGATGTGGACATCAAATCAAATGTATTGGTCACATACACATGGTTAGCAGATGTTATTGCGAGTGTAGCGAAATGCTTGTGCTTCTAGTTCCAACAGTGCAGCAGTATCTAGCAAGTAATATCTAACAGTTCTACAACAAAAACCTAATACACACAAATCTAAGTAAAGGAATATGAATATATGGATGAGCAATGTCATTATCAGAGTGGCATAGGCTAAGATGCAATAGATAGTATACAGTATATACATATGAGATGGGTAATGCAAGATATGTAAACTTTATTAAAGTGGCATTATTAAAGTGACTAGTGTTCCATTTATTAAAGTGGCCAGTGATTTTCCAGTCTGTATGTAGGCAGCAGCCTCTAATGTGCTAGTGATGGCTGTTTAACATTCTGATAGCCTTGAGATAGAAGCTGTTTTTCAGTCTCTCGGTCCCAGCTTTGATGCACCTGTACTGACCTCGCCTTCTGGATGATGGCAGGGTGAACAGGCAGTGGCTCAGGTGGTAGTTGTCCTTGATTATCTTTTTGGCCTTTCTGTGACATCGGGTGCTGTAGGTGTCCTGGAGGGCAGGTAGTTTGAAGCTAGGGTTAAGGTTGTGGTTAAGACTAGGGTCAGGGTTGAACTGGGATGTGGACATGAAGGTTAGGGTTGTGGTTGAGACTAGGGTTAGGGTTGAACCGGGATGAAAGCTAGGGTTAGGGTTATCCTGGGATATGGACATGAAGTTAGGGTTAGGGGTTGAAGCTAGGGTTAGGGTTGTCTTGCTTGCTTGCAGTCTTCTCTTTGTACTGAACTCTCATTCACCTTTTCTTGGTAAAATATGTGATTTTATGGGCAGAGACGGTAATCAAAGTAATTTGATCACTTATTGTGCTATCATATCACTCCTGCACCAGCCTGCTGTTGGCACTTTCTTCCTGATGGGGGTTCAATCCAGGTGTAAACCTATTTTTCTCATCACAGCTGTGAAATGTATACTATTTCCATATGCTCTCTATATCAGTGCCCATTAGAGAGGAAAATCCAGGAACATGTCCAAGGGAAACCTGAACCGAGTAAGGGAAACAACATGTTACGATACACTACCCTGGACTCCTGCCCAAAAGGCCTATCTGGGAGGTATTTTAGCTCTCTGTTTTGAATCTGATTTGAATCTGGCATGGACAGACATTTCATCCACTCATGCTTTACCTTTCAGGGGTAATAACACCATACAAGTGACAGATATCATCTGTTAAACCTTCTAGACTGTAAGATATTTGTCATTTTTGTACTGTAGAGAAAGTATGGGCTTTTGGTTCACTGGATTTACTTCACTGGATTCACTTAACTACACTGTGAGGACTGACTTATCTACACTGTAAGGACTGACTTATCTACACTGTAAGGACTGACTTATCTACACTGTAAGGACTGACTTATCTACACTGTGAGGACTGACTTATCTACACTGTGAGGACTGGCTTATCTACACTGTAAGGACAGACTTATCTACACTGTGAAGACTGACTTATCTACACTGTAAGGACTGACTTATCTACACTGTGAGGACTGACTTATCTACACTGTGAGGACTGACTTATCTACACTGTAAGGACAGACTTATCTACACTGTGAGGACTGACTTATCTACACTGTGAGGACTGACTTACCTACACTGTGAGGACTGACTTACCTACACTGTGAGGACTGACTTACCTACACTGTCAGGACTGACTTATCTACACTGTGAGGACTGACCTACCTACACTGTAAGGACTGACCTACCTACACTGTGAGGACTGACTTATCTACACTGTGAGAACTGACTTACCTACACTGTCAGGACTGACTTATCTACACTGTCAGAACTGACTTAACTACACTGTCAGGACTGACTTAACTACACTGTGAGGACTACTTATCTACACTGTAAGGACTGACTTATCTACACTGTGAGGACTGACTTTGTTCTATTTTGGCTGTGTGAGCAGTCTCAAGTCTGTCTGATGCTCCTCAGGCTCCTGACAACTGATCGCTGGCCTAGGTCACGTGCAGGACCAAAAGGGACCAGCATATGGTAATACCTAAACCAATAGGGTTGCTCATAGGCCTACTTAGAACCCCCAAAAGTCAAGAG